TTGGCTCCCAGCACGGAACATCTCCAACGTAGGGCTTACAACCTCAGCCCTGTCGAAATTACTCGTCGTTTTCTCGGGGGTAGAGTGGTCCCGGACGCAGACATGTTCGAGCACGCTGCCAACATCCAGAGAAACGGGGGTTGGTTGTCAGACGTACCGCAAGGAGAGATGTACAAAAACAGCCTCGAACCAACTTTATTCCGGGGTACACGGCGTATAGGTCCGTAGATAAAGTGGATAACGCTTGATTGCACGGCACGAGCGGTGCGAGGTGGCTTATATGTGGGCCATGACGAGATGATGACGAGAATTCTATTTCTGTCTCGAATCGAACTAGCTCGCCAATGAAGAGAGCCGGCATTGAGGCTAAGAGCAGTGGAGTCTCGTTCTGCTACCTCGGGAAGAAAAGCCTTTCGGTATCGTGCAGGACCCGAAACCTCCTGCGTCCGAGAAGTAAAGATAGACCGCAAGGATCAGAGCCGGAAGCACATTCTGAGAGAGGAACAAAAGCACGCTTGATATTAAACGAGCCTGGAACGTACAAGAACCACTTGGTAGATATTGACATGGGCGAGAAAGAAAAGTGGAGCCGAACGTTCGAAAGATGGGCAGCCGCCACAAGAAGCTGTTGCGGAGAAACACGTCGATCTCTCGCGTTGTAGTGGGATCCAATTGAAGAGCGCGACAAGACGCGGGTGCTGTAGAACATGAGCCTGAGAGGAGAGATAGCGTCCAAGAATAAGATTACGCCGAAGTCCTTGACTGCTGAGAAAAGTAGCGCTGGGCAAGGGGACATGTTTGATCGATGAGAGACTAATTCCCCACCATCAAAGTGATTGTCCGTTCGTCATTAGATGTGCCCCAGGAAGCACCGCCGTCCAGATAGCCCTCCGAACAAAAACTCTGGAAGCACAAACATCCAGTGGACGATACACGACAGCTGAGGCAGACGACGTACTTCTAATCTGCCTGCGAACCCGGCGGCACTCCATGACAATCGCGAACATGGCGCCACATTCGGAAGCCGATTTTGAAAAGCACAATGGAAGGAGCAAATCTGTTGGGAAATAAACCCCTCATCTGGCGATATTTGGAGATATTGATAGAGAAGCTAGCGCCACAGAACCCGAATCGTATGGTGTTGATGGGTAAGAATACACGTTCGGGCTCTCCTCTGAAAGGGACAGCGGCTGCTTTCTGGCGTAGAGGCTGCTGGCCTACCAATAGCGTTGAGCTTCCCATGGTGAAGAGAAGGTGGGGCGTAATATATATGAGGTGGAAACGTGTGGGAGATTTCGTGAGAAGCGAATGGAAGTCCAAGTTGTAGGGGTCTAGTCCTGGTCGATCGACGAGTAAGCCAGTTCTTCTTGGCCAGTAGAGCAACCCAGGCAAGGGAAATTGACCGAATAACTCCGAGAAAGAAGATAGGCAGAGATCATATTGTGATACCATTCAGGACGAAATAACCAAGGAGAAGACCCAAAAAACATCGTCCAACATTTTAGGGACTCGACGTCCTATGGAAGAGTCCTGGAAATTCGGCAACTGGTAACAAACCAAAGTGGAAATCCTTCCAAACTGAGTGGCGGAAGCGTTGGAGGAAGCCCTGGAGACCCCGAACACTGCCGCGTGAAATATCTCGGGACCGACATCGTTATGTCGGGCAGGTGAAAAGTTCTGAAAACAGCCATCGACTGAAAGAGAAAATCGGAGCCCCGACGTATGCAGACTAGAGATCCACTGAGGGCCGGAAAAACGTCAGAGATAAGATCGCTACCTTCTCCACAATCAGAAATTCGAAAAGAACGACAGATGAGAATGATGACTGCCAATCGGTGTCTATCCGCCATGAGGAAACATAGGACGAAGTCCTCGAACAAGCCGGAGTACCAGAAAAAGTTTGCCACCTCAAGGAGGGTACGGATATACCAGGAGCGGACAATTAGGTTTGGGAAAGCGCAACAAAAGAACCCACAGAGAGTACAAAACCAGGGATACCAGAAGTCGCCAAGGAAAAGAGGAAGAGGCGCTAAAAACACATGTTCCCAGCAGATGGTCATTTTAAAGACAACTGTTGACAAACCGGTTCTCCTCGGCGGATGAGCGACGAATAGGGGTGTTGGTTTGAGGAACATCCGCGATCAATAAAAATGCGGGGTTATGCTATGCGAGTGCGGGGTAAAGGTACCGTCAGGTTCCTGGCAGCTCGAAGTGAATCACCTTCCTAACGCCGCGAACCAGGTTGACTCGAGACTCTTCTCTAATCCATCGATTTATCGTAGCCGAACACGCAGATTTCCGGAGCAGTTCGAAATCGCGAAGCTCATGTCAGCTCGAAAGAGGTGAAGTCGGCTAAGGTTGGAAAGAGAGACTGGATATTCCAAGTCTCCTTCATGGCCTCGTTGATTCTACGAAGACAACAGGGAGATGGCAGACCAATGGCGAAACAACTCACCTCCATACCGCGCTCTCCTATCAGCATACTTCATTTCAACTTTACTTTCCTGAGCTCTTCATCCAAGTTCAAGATCCGTCCGTAGACTCATCATAATAGAACCACAGGCTGCGTATTGAGTGCGATGCAATCCATGGACCTCCGGGACGTTCTGCAGGACCTCAAAAAGACCACGACAGTGCCAGCGATTCTGAGCGCGAGGAGACGGCCGGGCGCCGGGCCAGATAAGCTACCTACGTGGCTTTCGCAGGAAGATACCGCGCAAAGACCATTCGCGCAAGATCAGAGCGCCAGGATCTTCGGAATCCCCGTAGCTGTAGTGGTACGAGCATTCACATAGTGAGCAAGACGGAGAGAAGAAAGTGGGGAGTAGAAAGGTCATTCCTGTCAATGGCGACCTTTATAGTGTATGACCGTTGGGGTTTGAGACAACATCTGACTACGATGAGGTCACATTCCGTGATCAGCTGTGTGATCACAACCACCCTTGGAGGTCATGGGCCTCGTACACGCGATTCATTAAAGTACGGGAATGTCTTCATTTCGTACCGAAATCGGAGAATATTTGGATGCGACAGGGTGAATGGTTTTTGAGGACAACTTCGCATCGCTTTTTTGCGTGTTGTGGGACGATTTCGGGCGCCTTTGGGTCCTCATTTATACCGACTCCAACACAGGCGATAAAATTTGAATAATCGGTATCCAAAATGAGAGAAAATGTAGTCTCTTGCACATCGTTGGATTTGTGTATTTTTGCCCCCAAAACCTTTGACCTAGAAATTGACTCAGAGTGGAATGCGGAGAGTTGGATCCTTGTCGTGCTTGTAGCCTCAAACTGTCGGATGCAACGAATGCGGGGCTTCAAGCTTCACCGGTCACCCTCTGCTCAATGGGAGATAAATAAACTAATAGCTAAGATCTGTTATTCTTATATCTTCGACCCAAAGCCATATCCTACAGACAAGAGGGCGGCCATGAGCATGAATCCTGAACACGTCTGATTAGGGGAGGTTAGGCAGGCTTGGGCTTTGAATGCTATCTTCTCGCCATACATACGCATTATCTGTTGGCTATGGCTATGGGCAGTCGCCTAACATGTCTCTCTTCTCGAACGCATTCCCCTGTATCCTTATTCGAACTTTCCGTAGTCGTCACTGCGCCAGGGACCTACACGTATCCATAAACGGATGTTCCGCTAAAATTCCCTATTTCCCTTGTGACTAGCTGGAAGGGGGGAACATCGTCGAGAAACCAGTCCCTGTCAAAAAATTCTATCAATGTGAGCTAAGTTACAGCAAGGATGAACACGGGGCATTTTGAAAGACAGTCATGAAGTCGTAAAGCCATTCGGCATTTCATAGTCGACCAGGGCGCGTTATCCAATATATGGGGATCATGGGGAAGAGAATCCGCCCCTATGTCGCAAACTAAATTCCCCCTTAGACTCGAGAGAAATCCGCCAAGGCTGCCAAGACAATGCCAAAACGTCGGCAACTTCCGAACCGGGCTGATCTGCACAAAAATCGCGTCTACCTCTTTGAAACCTATTTTTCGAAGTACAGCAATAGCGTTATCGGATATTTGTTCTCGAAAGAGACCTCTGTTCCTGTAGGGCCCCGCGAACTCAGCAATTGGAAACAAGAAGATCCCGGACCGTGATGCCCAAGGTGAGCCCCACGACGGCGTCTCCTGCCCGACTACTCCATATGAAAACATGAACAGGTGAGAAGAGGTCCGGAGAGAAAGCCGAATAATTCTCCAAGAAGCGAGCCTCTTCAATGAAGTTCCTGACAGAAAGTTCGCCCACGCTCTCGACGTGATCTACTGATCCTCGAGGAATATCAATTTCCTCTTCAAAATCCGACTACAGCGCTGAAAGATTAATCCAAGATCATGATATGAATCAGGAACAGGTGGTACGTATACATACCCCTTACAAGATGTGAAACTGGAAATCAAAACAACCTCGTCGACAACGCAGTCGAAGCGGCAGGTGCGACGGTCCACGTTCATCCACAGAGCACACTTTGCCTTTCCAGTCGGAGAACGTATTTATGCGTACTCATCGCTTTCTTTTAATCAGAAATAGAGCAGGAGAAGAGAGAAGCACAGAGAAGACATGAAAATACCTTCAAAATCCACTCTGACACCAGGGATCATCAGAAAAGTTTAGTCCGGTCATCCCTAGGTTGACATCAAGAGTTCGAGATACACCTCGACGTCCTGGGAGAAAGCAATCACTGAACATCATATTATCCCCGGAGAGAACAAAGGCACGGGCGCCTGAAAGTTATAAAGAACGCAAGAGTAACTTTCGTGCTCCGGATCGACCGCCTGCCACAACTCAAGATGCGTGGTATCTCAAAGCTCTTACTCCTTTTACTCTTTTCTGCTCTTACGAGCTTCGTCTACGCGCAGTCGTGTAAGTGCTATTTTAGCCGACCAAGTCTAACAACTAATGTGCCTTTAATTCAGCCTGTCCTACGCATTCTTGTGCAGCTTGTCCTCCCGGGTCGCACCAGACTTTCACGACGATCGGCACCCAATGCCCAAGTTGCGCGTGCGCCACGGTCACTGCTTCTTGTTCCGTATTCAGCTGTGCGGGGTGCCCAAAGGGTCAAACGCACACAATAACCCAATCCGGAACGGCCTGCCCCAACTGTACTTGCGTCCCTACCGCCACACCTCCCCCAGTTTCCTGCGCCACCCACAGTTACGCACAATGCCCGAATGGACGGACTCAAACCATCACCCAAAGCGGAACCGCCTGCCCATCATGCACTTGCCTCCCCCCGAAACCGACCTCCTCTTGCCCGATCTTCAGCTGCGCCCAATGCCCGACGAGCCAAGTCCAGACGTTGACCCAGGTTGGGACCTCGTGCCCCTCTTGCGCCTGCGTACCGCCAAAGACGGCCCCTCCACCCGTCTCCTGCCCTACGCATAGCTGCGCCCAATGCCCGACCGGGCAGCAGCAGGCCATCACGCAGGTTGGGACGGCCTGCCCGACGTGCACTTGCATCCGCACGTCGACTGCCCTTCCGACTCCGTGCCCTGTCCCAACCTGCACGGGCTGTCCAGCTGGACAGACCGCGACTGTCGCAACCACTGGCACGATGTGCCCGTTCTGTATGTGCCTCACTCCGAGCACACAACCGACCGCGACCAACGACTTTTTGGGCCAGACAACTCCGGTAATCGCCCCGCCTCCGACTGCCTCTGGCTCGAGGGGCCACAAAAACCATGTAAACCCGTTCGCTGGAATTTTTTAGGGTGATCAGTATGACAGTATTAGCTTAGGACGTGGCGTATACCCAGTTCGAGTTACGAGTACGTCAGTTGCAGCAAATTACGATGCTGAGGTCTTGATAAACTTACCCATCGACCCATGGTGTTCTATTTTCGTCAGTCTCGAACCTTATATCACGCCGCCTTCGAGCGATGATGACTCTTCGGAGATATTGCTGCGGAGGGACCTACAAGTTTCCATAAATGGGAGTGGTACCTGGTAGCTGCCCGGATTGAGTCCCTCGCGAAGCTGGCCACGCTATATGATATGAAATAAGATACGCTTCATGTCATACCGCAGAACTGTGGCAGTCGCGGGTGTCCTACGTTCCAGTGTGTACCATGGCCAAATTGTGCCAATCAATTAGTTTATGTAATTGGATCAGAAACTCACCTATCGGACTCTGCGTTACTGCAGCTTCGTGATGGCAATACAAATGTTCCACAGCCGTTCGAACGTTCTTCATACAAAACAAGCATGCATAATGAGCGACACTGGTCTAGGCGCTAAGAGGGTGCCCGTCGGCCATCCAAAACAAAGCAAGGGCGCCCTGTCGTCCATTTTTCGAGACCTCGGGCTGAGAAGTGACATGGTTACAAGAAGTCGAAGAACAGAGGTAAAGTTTCGCAAAGGAAGTTAGTGTCATGTCATGAGCTTATTTTGCAAGCGCTGAGACATAAAATTTCTAGTCCATTACTCAAGAATCCAGCGGCGTTTGCATTTAAACCCCTCGCAGCATCGAACTATGTTCTCCATGTCCAGCCTCTTCTCCTCCGGATCGCTTAGCCCGCTTTCCTCAGCCGAAATGTCCTATAACCACACTGACGGCAAGGCCATTCTCGACGAAATAGCCCTGTGCAAGCACATATTCAACCAGCTCCAATCGTGCACAGACACACTCGAGTCTGTCACTAAAACACGTCTCCGTTTCTTGGCACAATCCGAGTATCTGACCTTGGAAACACGCGCTCGAGTCAAGGATTTTCTTCGTCTCACCGAGAATCTTATGGAAGAAGCACCTTTCGAGAGCATAATGCGAGACTATCAGAAAAGGCTGAACGACCCCATTGAGGCCGCGATAGAAGCAATGAAGCTGGAGAGACAGAATTCGCCAGGGAGCACGAAGAGAAAATCCGGTACTTATGGTCCAGCTCCAGTTTCTGTCTGTCTAAAGTTCATTTGTAGAGGGCTCATCTTCCCGAGCGTACAAGAAATTGAAGGAGCTGTAATGGAATCAGATGGATCGGTATTGGGCGACAGTCAGTTGGGAGCGACTAGGGAGGCGGCGATGGACGTCGACTTGAACTTTGATATTGATATTGAACTTCGAACGCAACATGCTCGTAAGAGTCCGTTCGGTTGCCATAATCCAGCTGGATTATGATTATTGATGGCTAGCCGGTCTCTTCCCACCCCTCGTCAGCTTACCGGATTGGTCTAGGCGACGGGGAATTTGATGACCGCCAGGATTCGGCCCGTCGTCGGCGGGTGCCTGCTCGCCGTCTCGCACAGCGAACACAGAAAAATACATGTTGGTATCCCAACTTTCAAGTGCCATCTCTAGTAAATTGACCTTAAAACCCACCCAAGAACTACTTCAGGGACGTAGTTGCTGAAAGCTCCTCAGCAATGTCATAAATGGTCAAAGTTTGTCAAAGAGTTCAGGTATTGTGGAAAGGGATAGGGTGATTTCACGAAGAGCAGGCATCTTTAGAGAGGCTTACTATGTGTATTAGAACACTCGTATAAAATTTGAACTAATATCATGGAAAAGTGACCAAGATATCCGTGCTCGCTGCGCGAGACGGCGAGCAGGCACCCGCCGATGGCGGGCCGAATGCTGGCGGTCATCAAATTCCCCGTCGCCTAGACCAATCCGGTAAGCTGACGAGGGGTGGGAAGAGACCAGCTAGCCATCAATAATCATAATCCAGCTGGATTATGGCAACCGAACGGACTCTAATTCTGCACGTAAAATTCAAAAGACCATGTTCCCCCCATGAAGGGCTGCCGTAAGATTATCAGGCCCACCGTATCATCTGTCGGCTAGACGACAGTACAAATATAAGCTGACCCACATATGCAGCAAGGTTAACACATTCACCAAATACCAAAAATGCCGACATCGAAGCCTAACGCCATACGAGTGAAGCTGGAAGTCCTGGAAGTCCTCCTCCAAAGCCACGGAGAGCCGAAAGCCAGCACCGCTGAAAGGTCGGACGCTCTCGAGGACAGCAAAGCGATCGTCACGGAGCTCATTGCGTGCCGCGAAGTCGTCAAAACCATGAAACCATGGGCACGTCAAATCGCCCGCACTATCGAATCCGAGTTGGACCCCATCGTCGAATCGACCTTGTTATCCGACAAAGTAAAGGTCGAAATCAGCAATTTCATCGCCCGCGTTGAGGCTGTCGTTGAGGAATTTCCATTGGCGGATTTAATCAAAGAGTATGAGGCACGAATTTAGAGGCTGTCAACAAAGGAAGTAAGGGTATGAAAAAGGACAGACCTCCCGGTTCTCCAAAAGTGAAAGGCTTGTCGTTCTCTTCTCACATCCAATCTCGAACTATTCTTAAACTTACTGCTCTGCAGTTATTCCTTTCCGCGAGTTCCGCAGGCCGTTTCCTAAAGCAACCAGCAAGGAAGCAATTTCGAGCGACGATGCCACCAACGACGAAGATAAGTGGGTTCCAATCTGGGACGGAAAGGTCACAAGAACTAGCGAGAAGTCTGGGCGATAGGAATGTCGTTGTTGGTATCATAAAATCCACGAGTGCGAAACAGAATTAGGAACCTGACAAGATAACGTAAAGATAAGATTAAATGACGAGAGCCACTTCAGACAGCCTCGGAGCAAGGACCTCCCCCACTTAGAACCATCAAACCTCGACCCAGGACTTGACACCCCACCCGAGAATGTCGAACATGATGGGAAGGACCTCTGCAGCAAGGACAGCGATGCCGGCGTACACGATGACCTTGGTCAAGACTAAAGAAGAATTGGACTGAGCCCTTGTATGAGAAACAATTGCATCAAACAAACGCACCATCAGCGTCATAATGTTTCACGCCCGGCTTTCCCGAGCTCTCAGAGTCTTTGACTGGAGAATCATTCGCAACAGTGTACCCTCTGCTCCTCTCCTCGTTTCCGTTACCCATCCCGTTTCCATTGCGCAGCTTCAGATCATGACCCCAGCCAGCAACGTTCGAGCTGGCGATACCACTGCCGATGCCACCAGTCTCGACACCAACCCCAACCGTACTGGGCAGGTCGATGACGGAAGGGATGGGGTGCAAGCCGAACGCGCCATTGGCTCCGGGCGAGTGGAATTCTGAGGGAACAGACTTGTACTCGGTGGCGGGTGTGTAGAAACGACGGCGAGGGAGACTGAAAGCACGGGCGAGGAGACGGAAAGTCGGCGGAAGGATAAGGTGCAAGGCGGACTTGGCGAGGAGACGCCAGACGAAGATTGTCAGAATACCTGTTTTTGGGCGTAAGACGTATGGCAGGGTGAGGTCATAACGAGAAGGCTTACCGACGACCATCTTGAGGGTAGCAAAGGACCACCAGACCACTACGTCTTCCCACCCGCGTTGGACCTGGACCCACTGTCCCATCTCCTGTACCCACCCGCTGCCAGGGGTGACAACCACCTCTCTCATGCCTGCATCGATGCCACTGAAGCTCACAACCCAACGCGAGACCTGCGCACCGAGCACAACGCTCAAGAACGCAATCGCATCTTCGAAGCACGGGCAATCGTCGACCGGTTGGGGGTGCTTATGGACTGCGAGCAGGCATAGCGGTATGAGGATAAGAGGGACCTCCCATCCACCCCAGTGCATCCAGCTTTCCACCCACTTTCCACCACCGAGGCCGGTTCCAAGATGGATGATGAGGGCATGAGGAGAAGCGGTAGTCCCTAGTCCAAAGTAGTTGAGGGGGGAATAGAGGATGTTGGACGACGTGATAAGGAATGGGAAGCCGGCCCAGCTGGTGTGGCCCCACCAGATACCAGCTCCGAGGACGACGCCCATCAGGCAGTCGGTGAAAGAGTGCATGGCGGTGTACAGACGGCCGAAGACGATGGAGAAAGTGTAGATGATGAGAATGACGCATAATGCGACAAAAAGTGGTGGCGAGATAACAGTTTCGGTTGCTGAGGTTGTCGGGAGTAAGGTTTCAATGGAAGAGGAGTTGTGAGACGTCAGTAAAGAGACCGTGTTAGCAGAGGCGATGGGGGTCGATGCAAGACGGTGTACAATGGCGAAGAAAAAGAGCGCAATGGAAACACTATTAGTAGAATGTGTTGAAGGAAATCCGTATTCGAGATGGTGGGTGCCAATTGCTAGACAGAACGAATGGTAAGTTGACCGTCGAGAGAGTAAGGAGTACGCCCTTACTCAGTCGGGTCACGGGAGGAGCAAATGGTCGAGGAGAACAGATAAGGTCCTTCACAACTGAAGCAAAATAGACGCCAAGAGCAAGGACTATGAGCAACCTATACCAAAGTCCATCAGCACAAACACCTAACGCGAGAAATTGGGTGGTACCTACCCCCTGCCTATTTCGTCATATCCAAAGAAAAAGAACGCCGGAAGAAGAATCATGAAGAATGTGTGGGTCCCTAATGATGAAGTGTACACAAAGTACGCATCCAGCCACGGATGGCGGATTTTACTCTAAAAAGAAATACTGTCAGCTTTCTTGACGTCTGGCGTTGGAGAAAGTAAGACGATCGTCAACGTCGACCGATGGCTAAATGGCCATTTTTAGGAGTCGTTGACGTCGCTGCCATAAAAGTCCAGCAATTGGGCTGGTACAGCGACCAAAGGGGAATTGACGAGGAGACGAATCTTCCAGATTGCCATATACCAGAAAGCAAAGTTGCTATCCGCGCTCACCTGCATCCTGGCAATGATCTTCGATTCCTCGTAAACCGTCGCAACTAACTTGCGACGAATTGCAGCCCTCCACCACGGCAGGGTAGCCTCATAAACGTCCCTCCCCTGTCGCCCAGGCGTAGAATCTTCGCTCATGAGGCTTTCCCGAATTTTGGCGTCAATGTAGTCGTAAGAGGTGTCATCGTAATGGTGAAAAGTGGGAGATGCGGGCGACGGCGCTGGCGAAGACGCCCTTGAGGAAGCTTCTGAAGCGGGTATCGACAGGGTGAAATGCACCGACTTGGAACCGTCCGCGTTCTGCATCTTGTCTTGGGCCTTGGTTTGTTCTTCCAACCAAAGTGCGTTGGCTCAGACGTCCAAGTGTGACCTGAGGTTTTGAGAGAAGAATGAAGGGTTCGGATAGAAAGACACTACAGTCCACCCCTCATAGGATATGTCCTGTGGGGGTTGTCAGTAAGCCGTGCAAGTTCCAAAACCATGGTGCCGTTCTCGTTACACAACATGACCAAATCGTTGATACGTCAAACCGGCGTCTCGGATATCCCTTTCCGTCCGTTTCTCCACCTCGTGATTTTTTTCGACTATTTTTCTTCAAACTTCAAACTGGAAGGTTGCTGGATGGATGAGCCAGCAGCCGCTTTCTGTCTTCCGGATTGTCTTGTTCAAATGTGCTCTGAACCTACCCCAGTGGCAAATATCTGCGAGTTTGTGGGTGTTTGAATTTTGATGGGGCCACTTCAATGCTGGAACTCGAAGTTGGAACGCGTCCTCAACAAGACGCGTTTTCCTCCTTGTGGCAAGTGAATAGCGGTGCTCCCTAGTTGGAAATGTGGGTGCATTGACATAGTTTTTTCTATTCTTCCTCACTTGCTATCAGGTCTACTACTAGTACTTTCCTTGAAGTACCTCCACCTCACAATCCTTGTGCGATCATGGAGCAGTTCCCTCTGCCACGGGTATACAAGTCCAAGAACTCGCGGGGAAGGCCCACCCGTCTCATCGTGTTTGGCTTTCCGATTAGCAAAAACTACCTCCTGCAATTCGCCGACGCACACAACATTCTGCTCAATGACCAGGACCTCCGTCAACGTCGACTTGCGGCCTACATCCACATGGGGCTGGTGGTTGGGAAACACTTTGACGCGCAGCTAATCGACGTTTTGGATGACGACGATGGCACGGGAGACAATGCATCGTTCAGTGTTGCTGTTGCTTCCAACAGATCCTCAAAGCACTTGAGCCGCATGCGAACGTACCGGTACCTCGAGCAGCTTGCTGATTTCTTGCGGCTAAATCCTGATGGAGCGGAATGGGCGTATGCAAACATAGGTACGAACGTTTCTGTTGTTCCCCTGCCTACTCTACCTCAATGCATTTGTTGCAGATGACGTTAGACAGGTGACTAGAGCAGGCAACCGCGCTATTTGATGACCGCGTTCAAGCGGTACACATATGACCAATGAAATTTGCTGGTGGGTAGAACGAAATTAATTCATCCCGTGCACGGACTGTTAGCAGATATCGACTTCGTTCCAGGCGGAGAAGTGGTGGACCTCACGTATGGGGCTGGGGGGAGCCAGGAGCGACGCGAAGATGTCACCAATACCATCGTCAACATAACTGCGAAAGTGCTCTCTTTGACCAGTAGAGTATCGTCGGCTCTGGTCATGTCTTCTGCGGCTCTTACCGTTAGATATTGACGGTGTCAATGAAGGTGTCAATGAGTGGCTGTTCCGCCGACTGCCAGTGCCTTCTGACGTTAGGCGTACATCTACCGTTGCCATCGTCTCTCCATCGGCCAAGTATTCAAATTCTACCCGTTCTACCCTTATGTTCATTTCACTCGACTGCCAAGAACGCTTCCTCATCTCGCACTACAAGATTCGCTCTGCTGCAGCACGCCATGCCTTTGCAATTCAGTCACCAGATATTTCAAACGGGTAAAGATCCCTGGACTGGAGTCAGATAACGGCAACTCTGAGACAGACAACGGCCAACCAGCGATGGAAAACGACGAATTGGTGGCAAAAATGGACAAATCGGAGGCGGAGGATGCCAGATGGAAGGCATCAATCGACGAATTGGAGGATGGGGAGCAAAAGACGACGACGCAAAGGCAAAATCTTATGACACGGAGGCAAGTCTCTTCGTCCTTCTCCTTCCCGGCATGACCTTCTAACCTCCCACTAGAAATTTTTCACCCCTGTCTGTCTGACTGGCAATGTGTATTCAAATACAAAGGGTCGAAGACAAAGACGACGACGGGGTCCGAAACCGCGCTTTGAGGCACAGCTCTGCTTGTCAAAGTACAACCTCGACTTCGACGATTGTTTGCCGATTGACATCGCCTTTTGGTGACTTGTACGCGCAGGTATCATACCAAAGGGTCGTCCAGAGGCGAGGTATTTAATGGAAGTGGCTCTTTCTCTTCTATGTAAGTCATCCCTCAATCGTCAAGTGTACTTCCTCATGCCTCGCTACTGCAGCTATTCCATCATGGCTGCAGCGAGATACTATGGCTCAAAGGTGAGATATTCCCAGCTGGAGAGAAGGTCCCATGAATCAGAGCCAGAATACGGCGACTCAGATGCAGAAGATGACGACTCTGACGCAGAAGATGACAACTTAGATGCGGAATACGACGAATCACAAGCAGAAATTTATCACCAAAAGCTAGAAATCCACGAATTGGAGAAGCGATTCCATGGCTTGCGAGCAAGACACCACGACTCCGAGATAGACCATTACAACACGCATACGAGTCTCTACATTCCTGACCTTATTACTTGCCATCAGCAAACACGCGTCGACGTCGGTGTTCCTGGTGCTGTCGTGACCATCGCCGCTGTCCGTGGACCCATTAAAATTGAGGTTCAGCCTGCTCCCAAGTGGACACCACCGCGCACACCGATCAAGTCAGAACACCCCGGACGTTCATTCTCTCACCCAGCACGAACAACACGCCATTCGACAACCAGATCGGCAGGGTGTTCCGCCACACGGGCCAATCTTAACCGAGGAGAATCAATCGGCGGCCCTTGTATACGGGATGACGAGCTTTATTTCGTCGGTATGAAGACAAAAGCGATGAGCGCCCCATGCCGCGTGGGCGGCAGAGCATCTTGGAATTCGAATGACAGATGACGTACCGTCATGTTGAAGGGAACGCAGTGCACGCGAAAAGGCCGCTATCCCGATATTCAGTGTTACCAACACACCAACACACCAGCGCGGATGAACAGTGCTGATTTTACTAGACCATCACGACTTGTTCAATTTTTTCTTAATTTTGCAACGGACCATATGAATAAATTTCATGTGTCTGACTTAACATGCCCACAGACGAAGGCCGTCGCCAACTCGTATGAAACAGCTAACAATCCAGGTTGTCAACCTGTCCACTTACTGACTTCGAGGAGCGATCGAGTGGAGTCTTGAAACGCTCCTTCCTGATCGTGGCTAACTCGGTAGGAAATGTAAGTCTATCAGTACAGTCGTGCCTCGATATATTCCAACTCATTGCCCATTATCAGGTCTACGCTCCTTGAAGTGAGCTTCCTGAATTCTTGGGCGTACCTGTCCATGCAGCTGAGTGGATGGATCCAGACCGCAGCGTGCCGTTTATTACTCTTTGTGAATGGTCTGTTTTACATAACTTTCTTCTTAACTGACGCTTTTCAGGTGATACGAGACGGTTTCAGTATTATTTAACCGTGCTTATCGCGTCCCCTTGTGGCATTCATGAGGGAAGGGTCGTTGTCCACGCAGAGCAACTCCGAGATCCGGTTTGCATTAAAGCATCATGTCGCTGCTTGAATTGAATACTCAACAACATTACTACGAAAAGCTTCTTGTATTGGCATCGCATACTGTCTTGGATAAAATTCCTAAATTCTCTTGATCCCTTCAACTTCGACCAATGAATCTCAGTCAATCGTCGTTCGCAGGAGTCATACAGCCGTCGCTCGTGACATCCTCCCCTTCCCCGTTGGTGTCCATCCTCTGTTTCTTCAGGGTCTGTTCGTCCTCGACAGAGGTCGACTCGGCGGTGCGTTTGCGTGACTCTCCGCTATTGCCTGATGGGCCTGGATTGTCTGGCTGCGCCTAGGAGCAAATTTTGGAGTGACTCAGAGGGCGATGGGCAATGTTTAAAAAATGGAATCGCACCTGTTCCCTCGTTGGTAGTCGCCCGTGTTCAATGAAATAATGCAGGATGTAGAAGGCCTGATTGGAAGCCGGCGTGCTAAGACGCATGATATCCGACCATTTTCCCGAAGTTGGAAGCGCGTCGAGAACAGTGGCCTTGGCTTGGTCAGAATAACCGAGCTTTGCATTCTGTAACACAGTGCGGACTCTATCGTCTGGCTCCTTTCCCTTTTTAGAGGTCGCGCGCCGGACAGAGACTTTGTCGTTGTCGTTTTCACCATCCGGATCAGAATCGGGCTCCTTGTACCACTGCTTAGGCTTACTTCTGAGACGAAGCACAATACTGCCCTGGCCCCGACCGTCTTTTGCCTGCTCCTGGCTGTCTTGGGCAGTCGCTTCAGCCTGCCGAGCTGCTAACTTCTCAAGGCGCAAGGATCTCCTGGTCTCCTCCTGTTGTTGGGGGGCAGGTGGCACCGCCGGCTCCATTTCTAGTGACACTGGTGAAGGAATAGCGTCCTCCCTCTTGACTAACTTCCACGCCCACCACTCCCCGGAGACGGCTATTGCAACCAGAGCGCCGACCTTGTCATCGGCAGCGAAAGCACGTTCCGCTTGCTCAAATGCCTGCAGCATGGCTTTCCGAATGTTATTGTCCAGTGCGAACTGAAAGGCGCCTTCGTCTTCTGAATGCCGCGACGGCGGAGGCTTGAGCTCTGCCAGCAGAAGGACTCTTGCGGCGGCGACACGAACGATATCCCAGTCTGCCGGATTCTGAGGGAAATCTGCAGAAGTAATGATGTCGCCCGTCTCGCGATTGAGAAACTTGAAGGCCTTGAAAATAGAAAAATCGGGAGCCTTTTCTTCCGTCCTGGCATCTGGAAGAGTTTCAAATGAGGTTTCTGCTAGAAGTTCTGCTTCTTCGTCATCCTCTCCTTCCAAGTCGGCCGCGTCGGTCCCGCCAACATTCACTTGGTCAGCAAGCATTATGACATCAGGAGGTCCCGGGGTTGAAAAAGGGGGTGGTGCAGCTACGTCGATTGGCTTTCCCAGCATATTGGCTTTCCGCTGTCGTTCTAGCTCCTTCGCTTCTTCCTTTTTCGCCACCTTCTGCTTGAGCCACTTCTGGATCGAAAGACGGTCGAATGGAGCCAATTTCTGCTGTGCGATAACAAAAGTCTCAGGTCCAAGGTCCTGGATGAGATAATCGAAGCATTGTCCCCAAGGGGCGTGGAAATGACACTCTAGAAGGCGCGGATTCTGAATGCCTGAATAACTGAAAGCCATGGCCGTGATCAAACGGGAGTTGTTGGCTGCATGGGCGACGAGGCCAGGGAGTCGAAAATCGGAACAGTCGTCGATATCGTGATCAGGCATCTGAACGGCGGCGAGATTCATGGAGAGCGCACTCGGCTTGACCCCACTTTATACAAACGTGCTCGCCTACCAAAAATCGCGGAAGATCTGCCCAGATATAATATTTCGATCGCGCCACAACCATATGGACAGGGAAGTGTTTCGGAGAGAGAAAACGATCAAAGAAGGACAATGCTCAGAGAGTACAATGTCGATGAAGTCGTGATATCGCTGATAAGATGAAATGCAAAGGCCAATGCTAGCGTCGTCATTGTCGGAATTGCCAAAGTACGCCTAATCCAGAAATCTGAATGGATGGAGAATCACCCGACGGGGTTTTTTTGTTCTTGAGGTTGATTTTTCATGGGTGGGTCCTGATTTGAGCAAAGCTCGAGGAGATCTAAGGCTTGGAACTGGATCGAGGGCGTGTCACGTGTCACATTCAAGGCGAACGTGGGACTTTGATAGGTTCTTTAAACAAGTACCGGTCGGGTCTGAATTACTTTGGCCCTCCTTCAACCCTCCCGAACATGTACGTTGGCTCGCCTCGCCTCGTTTACCTTCGCTCAACGTTAGCAGGTCTGAACGCCTTGACGTGCCTAACACCTGCAACCCGCATGTCAGTATGGCCCAGTTCCCGGTGCCACAGTTGTACAAGTCCAAGACTCCGCGAGGCAAAACCATGGATTTTATTGTGTTCGGCTTCCCGCTGTGCAACAACTACCTTCTAGATTTTGCCGATGCGCACAATATTCTGTGCGACGAGCAGGACCCATACCGACGTAGACTGAACGTCTATGTACACCTGGCTTGGACAATCAAGAAGCGATTTGACGCCATATGTGTTGATCTCTCAGAAAAAGAAGACGGCACTGGAGACAATGCATCATTCTGCGTTGCGATTGCATCCAACAGGACTAAGAAGCATCTGAGCCGCATGAAAAGCTATCCACACTTCGAAAAGCTTGCCGAGTTTTTGCGTCTATCCCCTGATGCAGCAGGGTGGATGTTTCCAGACCGAGGCACGATCCTCATTTTGCTCTCTTTCAGCTCGACATTAATGACTCTATTTCAGCTGATGCCATAGATCTGATCAGAGACGGCACCCAGGTTATTTAGCTAACCTCCGTCCCCACTTGTCAATGTCATTTCTTGAAGAGCGATTTACATGGCATATCAGATTGGTAGACGACGACCTCGTAATGATGTACCTAGTTTCAGTGGCAGCTTCGTGAATCTAATTATCTTCTCGCGTCTCTCCTCCCCTTTAAGGACTCCTGCATCAAGCTTCGGTGTTTTCATGTCCTTCGTTGTGTTGGTGAAAGCCAACATCCAAGGCAGAATGCATGACGTCACTGGAGGCGCGTGTTGCACGACATTCAGTAGTGTTCTTCTCACCCTCTTCATTCGATAACGCATGTAAGTGACTTTCTCAGCATTCTTCTACTTTCGCTCAACGATATCAGGCCTGAACGTCTCGAGGTCCCTGGAGCCCGCAATTCCTGTGCCGTTATGGCGAAGTTCCGCGTGCCACCGCTGTACAAGTCCAAACATCGAAAGGGCAAAGTAATGGACCTCGTCGTGTTTGGCTTTCCAATTAGCAAGAACTACCTTCTACAATTCGCCGACGCACACAACATTCTACTCAACGACCAGGATACCTTTCAACGTTCACTAGCCGCCTACATACACATGGGGTTGGAGGTCGAGAAACATTTCGATGCTCGCCTCGTCGATGTGTGGGATAGAGACGACGGCTCAGGCGACAATGCACATTTCTCCGTCGCCATTGCTTCCAACAGGACCAGGAGGCACCTGAGCCGCATGAGGACGTATCGGTACCTTGAAGCACTTGCTAAGTTCTTGGGCCTAGATCCTGAGGGAGCAGGATGGATGTACCCAGAACGAGGTACGATTCCTTCATTTGCACCACTTCCTCTCGGTCTTACCTTTCCTTTTCGCAGATAATATTGTGGAATTGATCAGAGAAGGCAGCACGGTTGTTTAGCAATTCCTCTTCCCTACTCCTTCCTTCCACGCGTCTCGTTGCCCAGCGATTCATCTGGCACGTCAGTGTATGATCTTGTAATAATCTTATTCAAACCGAGACTTGTAAACAACATTTCTCCTCACTTTTGAACCTTGAAGGGAGATCGCGTGACGTCATTCAACCTGCTATCAACCTGTGGACGGTCTGACAAGACACTCCGAGCACGTCTACACCTCCTTCCCGCTGGGGTTGTCTTCACATCCTCAGAGTGTGCAATTCCTGGAAAGTGCTCTGCGCAGGAACGTAACCTTGGAGCGAGACCAGGGTGAGTACAATTTCTCGGTAGAAAGGAAGAATGTCAACTTACGGGGTTAGCTGCGGTGCTGTTCGAATTTGAACTGGACGTGAATGGGCGACTCCCTGTCACTACGTACACGGATCTCTAGACCTATCTGACATTGCTTTTCCGAGCGAAAATGGGCAACATTATCCAACATCCCGAGCGCAATGCAGAGGGTCGAAGACAAACGCCTTGTTGGATCCATCAACGCGCTGAAAGCAATGATTCCGTTTGTTGTAACTCAACGCTGACAGTGGCGATTGGCGATTGTTTCCCGTTTGTTGCTGCTTTCTGATGCTGGTGCGCATTGTTGTCGTCCCCAAGGATGGTCCACTGACGAAGTATTTAAAGGAAGCGGCCCTGTCTCTTCAGCATACATTCCTCCTGGCTCCATCTTCGTACTTCGCTATGCCCCGCCCTTTTGTTGCGCACAACGTTGGTCGTTCTCGCTACGAGTACGCAGCTGCCTCTACACCAAGACTCGACAAATCAATCGCCGGAGATTCCAAGTGTGACGAAAGTTCCGGTACTTTGGAGGCACAACACAGCGAGTTGGCATCGCGGTGCCATGATTCGCCACCACGATACCATAGCGCAGGAGCAAGCCATCACAACTCTGAAGCTGGATCCCACGAGATAGAGGCAAGCCTCTTCATACATCCTATTCTGCTTAACCTTCTCACTTCCCATCAGGACCTTCTCCGCGCCATTCTCTCTGGTTCTACCGTGAACTCTGGGAATATGCATGGATCTGTCAAAATAGTGATCAATGGGCCTGTCTACATTGGGCTCCGTGGGCCTGTCGACAACGAGCTTTGTGGGCGTACTGATATCGAGATTCGTGGGCCTATCGAAATCGAACGTCGTAAGTGCTCACGAGAGTACTCTCGCGTCACCTTCTTTCATCCCTCCCCAACTCACCACCGTCTCCAGCAACGACTAGTTCGGAAAATCCTGGACGACAGCCACGAGACGGTCGTGTTCTTTTCCTCTGGACGACCAACCGGCTTGTACGAACTCCGATCGGTGCAGTCCATCGCCTCGTCCAGCACCGACTTCGACACACAAACCGGCAACCGAATCGATAAATTATCCCCATGCACCAGCCAATTTCAACCGAGGCGAATCGATCAGCACCCCATGTTTCCGGGATGACAGGTTTGACTTCGTCGACACGAGAGAAACGATAAGCGCCCCACCTTTCTTGACGCGTGGCAGATGCCAGGCCATCACGTTGAAAGGCTCTCAGTGCAAGCGAAACGGAAAGCCCAATTTCTGTTACCAGCACGTCAACAAATTGATCGCGGTTCCTGGTTTTAACACTCGGACAAGCAAAGCTTCGCAATACGTCAACTTCGAAGGTATGTATGTCACTACAGTATTTTGCCTTTAGCTTTATGCTTACGTATCCTCCCAGACTGGATTCCTTCCTACCTACACCCGAAGACGCAGGCACGACTGCGGGTGGAAATGGAGAAGACAGGTTCTCCGTCGGACGTCGCTGGCTATATTTATGTTTTCGAGATCAAAGGTAATTCATCCGCTGGTGGTTATGAATCTTGGTCGTGCTCAATTCCTTCTGCAGATTTGGCAGAACCGGACATCATCAAGTTAAAGGTCGGCTATACCAAGAACCTGGAAAGGAGATTGTCCCAGTGGAATCGCCAGTGTGGTTCGCAACAACACGTTCTGCGTGGCTATTACCCGGAGCCTGAGGCCGGGGACGCAACTCTCTTGCCGGGGATGCTAAGGCCAGGTGTATTAGAGAGCCTGGTACACATCGAGCTTGAGGACTTGGCGTCCACCTTCTCTTATCTTACTCCCGGGTGGCAAGCGATGCCTGCGCCTGATGTCCAGAAGAACACCTCGCCAAGGATGCACGCTCTCGTCAACGCCCAAATGCGCCGTCCGGTGCTATTCCCGAATGGCGACCAATCCGCCAGCGCCAGTGTCAGGGTTGCGGTGCGATGCACAAGGAAATCTGGCGCTGGACGCATGGGCCGAACAAGGGTTGCGAGTGGGAGGGTCTTGTCAGGCCTATAATTGAAAGGTGGGCGAAGTTCGTGAAGCTTTATCTGTAGCTTGAGGAGGCTTTCTTTCTACAAGTTCTGCCACTCAGAGACGTCACCACTTTGTATTTTCCGTTCGTTTTACTGATGACCAACCTCATGAATAAATTTTACTCTGAAAATACCTATACAAGCAATAATGTGCACCAATTTGTACAAATGGCTAGTAACCAAAAGCATGAAGGTCGATACGTACGCGTATTATAAGCCTTAATAAATAAGTTTCCGAGGAATGTGGGAACTTTTCTGTGCTACCATTTCAGGCTGTGGTCTTCACCGTGACCAACGCTGTGACTTGGAACGCGTGGCTAGTGCTAGCGAAGCTTGAAGGAGCGCCCTGGCTATCTGGAACTAGCCGATACCCGTGCTCCGCACGAATTGTCTTGCCAGAATGTCTATTTCACCAAACCAAGATTCATTTAAGGGCTCTTACATTGTAAATACGCTTGTGGATCCTCTTAAATGGTCCTTCAAGTTTATTAACAGACCTATTCAGCTCTTGTCGAAAAACTAAGATGAATTGTCCGAGGTCATGCTGCTGAGAGGTTCGATATATGGCCTACATGCTACCTCAAAGAGATCCTCGTTATGCCCTTCGACGCTGTGTTACGATTGTGTCATGCCCCGCACGTCTGAACAGCTTAATAGGCGAAATGAGATTTTGAATGGCGAGACAATAGCCTCTAGTAATGTACATGTACTTTGACCCTTGGGATCCCCCTCAGGCCAAATGTTATTGCCGTAGGCAACTTTTTCGGATTGCAAAGTTAGCCAACAAATATCAAGAAAAAGGATTTGGCCGATCACCTCTGTTTTGTTGTGCTTCTTTGTGGGCATACTCGAAAAAGCTTTCACCCTGGGACTCCATGATCTCATTATCACATCCATGAAGATATGCTATTAAAGATATAAGGATGAAAGAATATCCTAATTATTACCTGAACATCCAAGCGCATCGTGCCTGTCGAGGACTCTTCCAGCTCTGACGCTTGCTGATTTCGCCTATCAGAGACTCCTGAAATATATGGTCTGCAATTTGCAGCTGTGACTCGTGAGCTGTAGTATCCGTATATAGTCCGAGTGCGAGGCGCTGGTCGTTGCATAGGTGGAGGGGTTGGAAGAGCTGAAGCTGTAGGGAGTGGCATGGTCATGACTGAGACGATAGGCCTGGCGTCGCAGAGTGTTTATGTTTGTCTCACTGGGAGGCACTACTGTTAGATGCACCATGAAGGAAATGTTACCGGGCTACCGATACGGATCGCCACATGGGGAGTAGGCAATCTGGTCGTAACAGTAGGAATGGTGCTGAATGGTGGACAGATGGTTGGAGGGGAGTACTGTACTCTGTCAGGCGCCTGCATTCGCAAGCTCTGCGCCTCTGTCGAGAAAAATACCGGCAATTTTCTGCGCTGAGGGCACGTCTAATCATCCATAACTTCAGGATACACCAGGATACGGCCTACATAAGAAACGACTCACTGTCATACAGCGACTCGCTAGGAACCTATGTCAAGTTGGCAGTATGCGGGGCTCAATTTTCACCTCCCTTGTTCTGGCATTGTCAGTGTCTTGGCGAGGTAAGAAGCTCGCTTTCCTGAGCAGTCGCGACTCGAAGTTGAACCGAACTGAACAACCGCATTTCAGCACGTGTGGAGTTTCTGGTTAAGCAGGAGTGGAGGCGAGTGTGCTGATTGGCATTTTGAGCGAGCCTTCACAGAGCCTGCAGGCCCAGTGTTTGCTGCTGTCGGCTTGAGGGGTAGTGAGAGCATCCTTGGATCTGGCTTGCATGGGTCAGCTGCAGGAAGCAGAACGGACGACGACGTAGCGCGTACCTCATGAATAGTCGCCGAGCCTGCTGGATGTGATAGAACAACGCAGTGCGGGGCTCCCCTGCCGAGATCCATTGAATAAGTATAAGTACCCGAAAGACTAAGCTGGCAAGCGCACTTGAACCGCTTTCATCGATGCATAATCCTAGTTGTGGCAACTTTCGGAGTGGGCACCTCCGAGTCCAGAATTCCAAGGCCAGCTTTTTACGGAGGTAGAGGTATACTGTGTCTTTCCCCTTCGTTGTCCTGAAAGTGGAGAAATCTACAGTAGGACATGCGCGAAGCGGACTGAGCTGGGTGAAGCATTCGAGGAACCAATCAGATTGCAGAATTTGCTTGTTTGTCTCAGCCAATCAGAAGGCTCATTTTGCTGGAGCGTGAGAACCACTTCTGTTTAATATTATAGATGTAACGGGTTCAGCAAATCTCGTCATATTCTCACTCATATTCTACTACCAGGTCTGATCTCCTTCAACGTGAAGTGCCTCCACTTCATGATCATTGTGTCGTTATGGCGCAGTTCCCTGTACCACAGCTGTACAAGTCCAAGACATCGCGAGGCAAATCCGTGGACTTCATCGTGTTTGGGTTTCCGCTCTGCAACAACTACCTACTGGATTTTGCCGACGCACACAAGCTTCTAGTCGACGAGCAGGATCCATGGCGACGTCGACTCAACGTCTATGTACAGCTGGCATGGACTGTTAAAAAGCAATTCGATGCCGTGTGCGTTGACCTCTCTGAAAAAGAAGATGGCTCTGGTGACAATGCGTCGTTCTGTGTTGCCATTACGTCGAACAGGACGCAGAGGCACCTGAGTCGCATGCAAACCTATCCGCATTTCGAAAAGCTTACCAAGTTCTTGTGTCTATCTCCTGAAGCAGCGGGTTGGATGTTTCCAGACCGAGGTAAAGGTCCATTATTTGCTATGCGCACGCCGGTATTAAACACCTCCCTTTCAGCTGATGCTAACGAGCTCATCAAGGATGGTATCAAGGTTATTTAGACATTCAGGAAATGTTGCAAAGTGTGGAGCCCAGAGGTCTTGTCTATGTCTCTCAGATCCAAGGAGTCATGTTTTTTTAGCGGACGAGTTTGTTACAATGGGGTGATGTCCTTCCTTGAGATCCAGCGACGTCGCAAGAAGCCTCGAGTCGAGTTGTTGTAACAAGATTGCCTTCAGCCATACAACATCACGAACATGAATCTGAAATGTAGCCTCATGGTTTCGTGGAAGGACGAACAAGCTGTCTCGAACAAAGGATTATGTGTACATGGCCATGGAGTGCAAGGCTTAACATCGATGACTCTCGCATAAAGGGCCACGTCGTGAGATCCACTTTGTTCGATTTGTTGCACCCTTTTCGAAGTTCACACAGGAAATACTACTAATGAATACAAAAACCTTGTATTGGCGTTGTACACAGATACATTCTTGAGTAATGTCACCACTATATTTCCTTGATCCCCTCAACTTCACCCCTCAAGTTAATCCTCCAAATTGGGGGGAGTCATACAGCCGTCACTTGTCATATCTTCATCCTCCTCACTCAAGTCCAGCCTTTGCTTCTTCTGGGCTTGTTCATCGTCAAGAGAGGGCCACTCAGACGAGCGTTTAAGTGAGGCTCCGGTGCTTCCTGGTGGGCCTGGGTTGGAACTGTCTTCTGGGTGCGTCTAGAAGTAGGCTTCGTGATTAGGATGTGGCTGAAAAAATAGATAAAATAGAGGCATACCTGTTCCCTCGAGGGTAGTCGACCGTGTTCAATAAAGTAGTGCAGGATAGAGAAGGCCTGGTTGGACACTGGCGTGCTAAGACGCATGTTGTTCGTCCATTCGCCAGGGGTCGGAATTGCGTCGAAAATAGTGTCCTTTGCTTCGTCGGAATGACCAGGCTTGGCTTTATGAAAGACAGTACGTGCTTTGGCATCTTGTGCTGCATGATCTTCCGGCTCCTTGCCCTTCCTGGACATCGGGAGCCGAACAGGAACTTTCTGAGTCTCATCATCAGTTTCCTCACTGGAATCGAACTCGGTGTACGGGGGGGCACGGAGTCCCGCGCCGCCATGGAGCAAGTTGCGCTCAGAGCGTCTGAGACCTGAGGTAGACTGAATGGATGCGGTGGCCTGTTCGGGCAGGGGGTCTTCTAGGTCTCTGCCAGTACTACTCGGAGCCCGGTCTTGCGGGTGGGGAGACAAGGTCATCGAGGGCGTTTCGTCAGCTTCCGCATCTGTGGGCATCACTTCTTCTCTCTTAAACACCTTCCATGCCCACCACTCGCCCGAGACAGCAACGGCAACGAGAGCTTCAAGTCTTTCATCAGCTTCGAATGCACATCTTGCTTGCACAACCGCCTGATGACTTGCTTTACCGATGGCTGTCTCAAGTCCAAATTGAAAATCTTCTTCGTTCTCGGAATGGCGCGAAGGTGCGGGCTTCAGCTCCGCTAGGAGACGAATCCTGGAGAGCACGACGCGTACGGAATCCCAATCTGCGGGATTCTTGGGAAATTCTCTGGCGGTGATGATTTCGCCCGTATGTCGGTTGCGAAACTTGAGCGCTTTGTAGATGGAGAAGTCGGGGGACTTTTCTTCCGCCCTCTTGTCTGGGAGAGTCTCAAACGAGAGCTCCGCGAGAATGTTCGTATCGTCCTCGTCCTCACCTTCCTCGTCCTCGTCAGCCTCGTCAGCTCCCTCGTCTTCCCCAGCTCCCTCGTCATCCTCCGATGTCTCACCGGCATCCACCTCCGGTACAGGAGGGAAGCGTGATCCAGACTCTGAAGGCGTAGAAGGGAGAGGCACGTCTCTCTGCTTCCCAAGCCTGTTGACGTTTCGCTGTTTTTCGAACATCTTGATTGCTAGCTTCTCTTCTTCCTTCTTCTTACGCCATGCCTGAATAGAAAGGCGGTTGAAAGGGGCCAGCTTGTGTTGTGCAATGACGAAAGTCTCGGGGCCGAGGTCCTCAATGAGATCGTTGAAGCAGAGACCCCAAGGGGCATGAAGATGACACTCCAGGCGGCGGGGGTTCTGGATGCCAGAATAACTGAATGCCATTGTCGTTATCAAACGTGCATCGTGGTCTACATGGGCGACAGACCCAGGCAGTTTAAAATCCGCGCGGTTGGCGAGGGCTGAGTGGTGCATCAGATCCATAGTTCAGAGCAAGCGGGGAGAACGAACGCACATTGATTGTCGTTGATTTATACAAATGCCAAGCATGGTATGTGGCTCGTACACAGCTCAGTCCGTGATTTCACTGGAAGTGAAATGCCCAAAAACTTCCAAAAACAAGGAACAATGGTTAACACATGACACGTTTTAGAGAGCGACACGAGAACGCGCATTGTTCGAATTTGCCGGTCGGTGGCAGAAACGGTCCACAATCGCACACTGCACAGTATCTAAGCCAGGCTATCTTGAGCCACATCAGAGTTCTAATTAGATCACGTGTCAGTGTGTGTGTGTGTGTGTGTGTGTGTGCGTGTGAATTTGATGGGAACGAGCCATATATAACTGATTGGCGACTTGAACATTAACCACCACGTCTGTCTGTTCGCTCACCTTGCTCTACGATTATTTAGCGACGAATGTAAGTGACGCTCCCCGCCTTCTCTTCCTTTGCTCACTACAATCAGGCCTGAGCAACTCCAGGTGCCTCAAGCCCACGATCCCTGCGCCATCATGACGCAATTCCGCCTGCCACGGGTGTACAAGACCAAGGGTCCGCAGGGACAGCCCACCCGTCTCATCGTGTTCGGTTTTCCGATTAGCAGAAACTACCTCCTAGAATTTGCCGACGCGCACAATCTTCTACCCAACAGCCAAAGCGACGAACAACGTCGACGAGCCGCCTACATACACATGAGAATTGTGGCTGAGGAACGCTTTGACGCTCAAATAGTCGATGTTTTGGACATCAACGATGGATCTGGCAACAATGCGTTGTTCTCCGTCGCCGTTGCTTCTAACAGAAGCAAGAGGCATATGAGTCGCATGCGAACGTACCGGCACCTGGAGAAACTTGCTGATTTCTTGCGGCTAGATCCTGAGGCAGCCGAATGGGCGTATGCAGACCTAAGTACGGCCCTTTTTTGCATCACTTTTGCCCAGTCTTACTGATTATTTTGTAGATGACGCTGTGGACATGATCAGAGCTGGCAACAGGATTATTTAACCACGCCACTTCTTTCTTACTGTGTCCTTCCAGAGAGAACGGCTTCCATGCAGAGGTGTTTAACGACGAGAGTTATGTATGACCCTGTAATTGTGTAATTTTAACAGCGACTATAAATCACCGTTCACTCTAAGTTGATTTTGTAGATGCCGTTACCATCGTCGTCAACTTCGCCTGCACGCCTACGAGCCATGCTCAGCTCCACACTTGTCAGTTTGGAACTTCGTTCACAAGCGTCTACATAGTCAACGCTCTGAACCGACGTAGTTTCAAGTTCTGATGTCTACGTACAGCTGGCGTGGACTGTCAGAAAGCGATTCAACACAGTGTGCACTGACCTCTCTGAAAAAGAAGACGGCTCTGGCGACAATGCGTCGTTCTGTGTTGCCATTGCGTCGAACAATATGCAGAGGCACCTGAGCATCCGCATTTCGAAAAGCTTGCGAAGTTCTTGCGCCTATCGCCTGAGGCGACGGAGTGGATCCGAGGTATGGTTTCTGCACTTTCCCCTAGATCTCTGCCTGCCGCCTTTTAACGTCTCTTTTCAGTGGATGTTATACGTAGAACCGATTCAAGATGGTGCTATGGCTATTTAAACAGCACAGAAACTTGAAGGGTCTTGGCCGTGTGGAACCATAGCGCTTTCTAGATGATGTCAAAAGCGTTGAGGGCGACGGGTTTTTTCTTGAATTGGATTAAGCCTAAGAGGGTCTTCAGCCGATCTCACTTCAATGACTAGAACAATCCGAAATGCTTCTGACGGTATGGACTGGTTTGGACTGAACGTGCCTATGTCTGGTCAATACGGCGGCCAGGCGGCCAAGTGCCTGCAACGAGCCTCATACACATATCGGACAGTCAATTTGATGGCCACTTGAAGTTCAAGTTGAACCAGTAGAGCCATCTCGCATTTATAGGTCATTTCCCAGCGGCCAGCGCAGCCCACCACACCGCCAGGTCTTTGCGATCCGATGTACGTGGCTCTCCATATATACCTCTTCTACATTCGCTTACAATCTACCAAAACTACTCTTCAGGTTCCTCGCAAAACCGATCCGGATGTGCTGTTATGGCCCAATTTCCTGTGCCATCGTTGTACAAATCCAAGACGTCGGACGGCGAAACAACTGTACTCCTCATCTTCGGATTCTCAATAACCAATTACTTCTTGCTGGATTTCTGCGAGAGGAATCACCTTGCGCTAAATTTATGAGGAGGACGCGGTTCGACGTCTGTACAAAGCGCACCTGCACATCGGCTATACAATTGAACGGAAATTCGACGCGCACTGCGTCGACCTTGTGGATGACGACCCTGATCTTTTCAGTCGAGAGACTTTCTGCGTAGCAATCACTTCGAATCGAACCACCAAGCACCTCAAACGCATGCAGACCTATCCGCACCTCGAGAAGCTTGCTGAAATTCTGGGCTTGCCCGTAGAGGCAGCCGAGTGGATGTATCCAGACCGTGGTGCGCTATTCTTCTTTTGCTTCTTGACTTCCCGGGCCTCACTGTCCTCTTCATTCCCAGCTGACGCCCTCCAGGTGATACGGGACGGTATTAGGGTCATCTAGTCATATACCTTCTCGCAACACAGCTCTTCCTTTATTCCACAGCGTTATCTGAGAGTTGTACGACGACGAAAATGAAAGTAACGACCGTGTAATTTTAAGGGTCGATTATCGTTCTATCTTGCTTATATGCTTCCTGGTGCCGTTTCTGAAGGCACTTGATGCGTCTTTATGAGATCCTCATGCTGTTCCTGACCTTAAAAAAATAGCCGGCAATAGAATGAAGTTCAATGAACGACTAGTCCGTTTAGCTGTCCTGTTGTAAAGACAGATTATTCAGATCCTCGCAGTCATAGCGGTTGTGCAAATGTACCCCGATTTCGACTTCCTGGAATCATGTCTCTGTTCAACTCGTTTCCCCTCCTTTGACGAAACACCTACGACATTGAATAAAAGAGAACAGCTACCCGAATTGCGAAGTGGCAGGCAGTTACTTAGCATGATTTTTCCCGTTAAATTTTGATGATTGTCTCTCAGCGTCGACGGTCGGTTTCCTCGAGGACAAAATATATCCAGAATGTTCAACAGAACTCTGTAAGCCCGGCGGATGCTTAGCTGTAGCACGAGTTCAATCATTGTAATTGCTGTTCAAGTCGAAGCATAAGAAATATTGACATTGATAACCGACTAGGAGACCTAAACCCCCTCGACCCCCTAATTAACGTCGTTCGGAGGTGGAGTCTCACAGCCGTCGCTTGTGTAATCTTCGTCCTCTGATAACCTTAGCTTTTTCTGGGCCTGTTCATCCTCGACAGAGGTTGGCTCGGCGGTGCGTTTGCGCGAACCTCCGCTCCCTGATGGTCCTGTGGGTTGTGGCCGTCGTTTGGTTGGACCTAGGAGCGAATTTTAGAGTGAGATTTGAAGGTAAGGACGGCACTCAAGAAAATGCAATTGTACCTGTCCACTTGCTGGCAGTCGCCCATGCTGAATGAAGTAGTGCAGGATGGAGAAACCCTGGTTGGAAGCAGGCGTGCTAAGACGCATGACCTCCGACCATTCACCAGGGGGTGGAAGCGCGTCGAAAATGGAGGCTTTGGCTTGGTCGGAATAAGGGGGTATCGCGTTTTGCAACACGGTACGGGCTCTAGGGCCTTGATGCTCTTCACTCTCTGGTTCCTTTCCCTTTTTTGAATTCGCAGGTTGGTAAGGGACTTTCTGGTCGTCACTTGGGAAATCCAAGGCGGATTCTTTCTCTTCATACGACTTAGGCTCGGTTCTGACACCGAGGAGCATACCATTCCAGACTTTGCCCTTCTCTGTGTCGTCTTGAATGGCCGCTTCAGCCTTGCGAGCTTCCGTGTTCTGGAGCCGGTGTGATTTCCTTAGTTCCTGCTGTTGGTGAGGGGAAGGTGGGGCGATCAACTTCAACTCTAGCTCCAGTGAAGGTACGGAGGCCCTTGTCACCAAGTTCCACATCCACCATTCCCCGGAGACCGCAAGGGCGATCACGGAATCGAGCTTTTCATCTGCAGTGAATGCAAGTTCGGCTTGGTCAATCGCTTGCAACCCGGCCTTTTGGAGGTTGTTGTCAAGGACTAATTGAAAATGGGTCTCGTCCTTTGAATGACGCGATGCTGGGGGCTTGAGTTCCGCCAGCAGAAGGACCCTTGTGGCTGCGATACGCACGATGTCCCAGTCTGCCGGATTCTTGGGGAAGTCTTCCGGGGTGATGATGTCGCCAGTCAAGCGATTGATAAACTTGATGGCCTTCAGAATTGAGAAGTCGGGTGATTTTTCCTTTGCCTTCTGGTCCGGGAGGGTCTCGAATGGGATCTCCGCTAGGAGGTCGTCATCGCCATCGTCATTGTCATCGTCTCTTTCCTCGGTCGCGGAGGACTCTCCAACGTTCACTTGATCTGCAGGCGCGATGACACGAAGCGGAGGACCCGGGGTTGGCGCAGTGGACGGCGTAGCTACTGGCCATGGCTTCCCCAGCATGTTTGCTTTTCGCTGTTGTTCGAACATCTTCACGTCGTCCTTTTCTTTCTGTTTCTGCTTGAGCCAGGCCTGGATAGAGGTGCGATCGAATGGAGCCAGTTTGTGTTGAGGGTTGATAAAAGTCTCGGGCCCGACGTCCTCAATGAGATGGCTAAGGCATTGGCCCCAGGGCGCATAGAAATAACACTCTAGAAGACGGGGATTTTGTAATCCGGAGTAGCTGAAAGACATTGCGGTGATCAAACGCGCAACATTGTCTGCATGGGAGACGAGTCCGGGGAGCCGAAAGTTTGAACCGTTGTCGATATCGTGGTTGAGCATCGGATCAGCCATAGAGGTCGGAAAATAGGGGAGCGCACTTCAGCTGCCCTCATCTTATACAAACGCGCTGCACTAAAAGTCGCGGAGATATCTAGAGATGTTATCGCGATGATGTTTTTCACCTACATAGTGTTTCCGATGAAGAAAATACCAGAACGGGGAACATTGCCGACTCTCCAATGCCGATGGCTGTGATAAGATGAATCGTCGAAGACCGATACCAGCATATCCATTGTTCAGATCGCCAAGTTATGTGTCCACTTTAGAGATGAAAAGACCAGGAGTCATCTTGACGGACGTCAGATGGGGGCCGGGAGACAAAGGCTTGGTTTGAGCAAAGACTACTAGTAGTCACTCTGAAGTGCGTCACATGTCACAGTTGATGGATCCTTCAAATAGCCAAACTTGAAGTTGAACGTTGTCCGCTGTTCCATCTCCCCCCTCTTCGAACATGTACGTGGCTCGTCTGGAATCGTTTACCTCTCACTCAACACTAGCAGGTCTGACCTCCTCGAAGTGCCTAAAATTTCCAACTCGCGTGCTAGTATGGCCCAGTTCCCCGTGCCACAGTCATACAAGTCCAAGACTTCGAAAGGCAAAGCCATGGACTTCATCGTGTTCGGGTTTCCTCTTTGCAACAACTACCTGCTGGATTTTGCCGACGTACACAATCTCCTCTGCAATGAGCAAAATCCTCACCGACGTCGGTTCAACGTCTATATGCACCTGGCGTGGACAATTAAAAAGCGATTCGACGCCGTCTGCGTTAACCTCTCTGAAACAGACGATGGCACCGGGGATAACGCGTCCTTCTGTGTTGCGATTGCCTCCAACAGAACGAAGAAGCACCTGGGTCGCATGCAAACCTATCCGCACTTCGACAAGCTCGCCAACTTCTTGTGTCTATCTCCTGAAGCGGCGAAGTGGATGCTTCCAGACCGAGGTGCGATCCTCATTTTTACTCTCTTGCGGCACGACACTAACATCTAGTTTTCAGCTGATGCTTTAGATCTGATCAGAAACGGCACCCCGGCCATTTAAGCGTCTCACCCAGCAGGCCATTCGCGTGTCGTATATCGGGTTGGTAGAAGATGACTTTGTAATGATGTACTTCTAATATCAGTTTTGTAAATCCATTTATCCTCGCCTTTCGCGGTCCCTCTGTTCCTCTTCACGGGATCCTGCCTCAAAGCCCCATATATTTGTGTATTGCTTACGGTGCTGTTGGTGTTTTCAAGAGAGAACGAGGTCTTCTCATCATCTTCTCGACATCGCCGTGGCTTGGACAGGCAACCGCGAATGACTTGTATTTGGCGGACTACTTCGCCAATTTTTACTGGAATAAGTGCTGTACTAGTATACTTACTACTACCCCTTGCCGCCATCGTGATTCACAGCTAGTATTGCTCAATGCTCATCGAAGCGAGCATCCATCGGCTATAGGGGCTGGGAGGTCCGGACAAACGAGAATTAAGAACTACAACTGACGTGGCGAAACTCTGCGTGCGCAGCGAGCCTTCCCCCGCTGAATACGGATACATAAACATGTTTGTCTATCAGAGTTTTCAGTTTGAGCGACATTTTTTCATCGTTTGCTCCAGTTCCCTCCCCACATTGTAGCCTCACCGACCGAAGTTACTTTAAGGGGCTAACCGCATGCCGCCTTCCAAATCTAAAATCAGCTGCTTTCCAGACCCCAACCAATCTTTCCAGTTGACCACCATCGTCCAACTCCCACTTTTCTTTATTTCTCGATGGCGACTCCTTTCTCCTGGTCCGACACCGTTCAAATTGCACTGGGCTCATGTCTGCCATGCCTAAGACCGACGTCGGGACACGATGAACATCAGCAGCAGTATAACCCGGCCATAAACCGGATACCTCGCGCTCGCCCCGATGAGCTACAAGGACTGCTGGCCGACCCCGACACTGACACTGAAGCCGAGCGGATGTCTCTGCATTCGAATCCCGGACGGAGCAGGAACAAGAAGAAGCGGAGGACGAAGAAGACTTCCAACAACCCCCGCAGGATTACCCTCTTCGGGTACGACCTCTTCGGACGACCTGCCCCACCGCCGATCCAGCTTCCAAATGACAGCGAAGATGCTCTGTATCCGCGAAGAACGAGCGGGGCGCTGACACCGACCACGATTGTGACAAACCATTCGACAGCGTCGACCTTCGACTCCGATGCTGCACCGCTCGATGCCGATGTCATTGCTGCCCTGTCATCACCTGCATCCGCGGCTGCTGCCATCGAAGCTGCCGCACAGGCATCTGCTGAGGCCGAGGCCCAGAGGCTAAAGGAGAAGGAGGAGCGCCGCCAGAGGCGGAGAGAAAAGAGAGAGCTGAAGAAGTTAGCTGAGACTTTTGCACGAGAGGGCATTGTGGGCGACGGGGAGCAATTCGAGGGTTTCCAGGGCAGCGGCGGGCAGGCGCCTCCTAAGATGACGAGACCTGGATCGGACTCGGGCTCTGGCTCGGGATCTGGCTTTTCTGGCTCTGCAAGGCGGTTTGTCGCAGTTCCGCCACCACAGCCTGCACCGATCCCTGCACCTCCTATGGTCCTCGAGAACGACGACGACGATGCGGCAGATCTGGATGGTGGGCTTTATACCCGCAGCGCACCACGGGGCAACTCGAACGGTGGATCCGACTCCCGAAGCCGCACCTCAGCCTCCATGAGCGACAGAGCCCACCAGCTCCCGGATCCCCGCAACGTCCTCGCACACCTCCAATCCCAATCGCAAACCCGCCTGCGTTCACCCTCACAATCCACATTCCAACCTCCTCCATCTCTAGATACGACAAGGAAGAAGAAAAAATCCAAATCGTCGTCAAAGTCACGATCCTCAGCAACGACATCCCAGTCACCTTCCATCGCCTCTCCAGTGTCATCAGCCTTTCCCGGCATGCCACACGAAATTGTCAGCCCAAGTACTATCGAGCAAGGACAAGGTTTCTTCGACCTGGACGACGAGCTACCCGTGCGGAGGTCGCCTGCCACGCCCGACTTTCCGAGCACGAGGATCGGCGGTGCTCCCGCAGGCGGGTTCCCTATAACCGGCTTTGGTGGAGTTGCCGGAGCGAAGAGGTCCAAAGACTTCGGGGCTTTTCTCGCCACCCGAGGCGACAACCACAACGACGACGCAATTGATGGGCTGTAGAGCCTCTCAAGATGACCTTTAATGACCTCTGATTATTATAATCGGGATGCTAAGTATTCCATACCCCGCGTTTTCGTTTCGCGATTTGCATATGCTTCTCTTTTGGTTCCGTCGTCCAACTCTAGAGATTAATCATGGCGTGCCTCATCCATCTCTGCGATCCACCCTCCTTACCTTCTCTCCATGGTTCTTACCCTAATATCCGTATGCCTGATGAACCATTTTTTTGTCGTACTTATCCTGAATTTCTTACACATAGTATTTCCGATGCTTCTACATGCTACGATCTGTGACGAGATAGTGTTTGATGAAATGAGGTTTAAAATGTTTCTTATATTCAAAATTTCTGCCTCTTGTCCGAGTGTAGCCAAGTCATTGATTCCTCAAATTCCCAGTCCTCGAGCCTCGAGGAAGAGATAATAATTTCGCTAAGGTATGCACAACTCCATAATTCATCTGTCTTCGTTGTTTAACCTCTCTTCCAACCCCGGTTGCGCAGGAGATTCTGAGATCAGAAGTAACTTGGTTTAAGGTATCGGACAACGCGAAAGCATCGCACCTCGTCGCTGGAATGTTGCGTGTTGCTCCGCCTGAAGATAAGGTAACATTTCGCTCAGGCAATTTCTGTGTCATTCAAATTGGAGAGAATTATACGAGGCGGCCACGGACTAGCTCGCACTCACGGTTGGAGGTTCTTATTCCGCGAACGCCTTGGAAGATGCCGTCAAAGAATCTCCCTTCGGGGAAATTTCGATATCCTGATGCAATATCCCCTTTGTCAACGAGGTTTTGGTTGTCCATCGAATCGGAAGGCCGTGGATGTTGGGTGCGTTGTCCAATAAACCCTTACGTTTCTTGAGGCTGATGTCTTCCTTACCAACGTATCACACCCTTCACGGCTGCCCTATTATTTGAAGTCGACTCATGATTGGCAAGTCGAGGGATTCGCGAAGCAGATTCCAAGAGCCTTCCACTGTGCTCTGTGAATATCGGCACAGTTTGCAAGGAGTCGACGCGTCGCGCACTCGGCTGAGTAGTAGTAGTAGTAGTAGTAGTAGGTATACCGGCATGGTCCAAACGCTGAACACCGGTTTTCCGGGAGTATCAGTATGCGGGCAAGCGTCTATCGCATACCGTCCCGGGCTCTGTGCACTTATATCTATCAAGCCGCATCGCGTTTAAGACCGCCCTCACGATACAGTAAGCCCAGAGCAAAGAGACTCAAATTTACATTCACATGGATGGGAGATTGCAGCATCTCATCATGGGCTAGTGGACCTTAGGAAATTTGTGTCCTCGGTTTTGGTGCCCATTAGATTAGTTTTCCCGAAGCCAGTACCAACACTCAGAATGTGCTATGGTAGGCTTGTGGCTTCCTTGAGGAATAAATGATGCTGCTTGTCCTCCAAATCAATGTGCTTTCAATACGGCCTCGTTATACAGCACATGTGGATACGTATCTTCCATCACAGACAGTCCATAGGGAATTGAGTCATTGTACTTGTTTTCTTCGAGCATGAACATGGCATCATTCAGGAACGAGGACCTCAGGCAGCGGTCCATTTATTCAGATGACCATTTATAAATTATAGTTGCTCGTATTGTACGGACCAACTTTTGGGACTATTACAAGGGGATGGTTCTATTAATCCAGCACGCACTTTGCTTGCCTTTTTAATTGTATTTTCATGTCTATTCCCCCAAGAGAATCACATTCACGGAGATTTTGCCACCAAGCTAGTGCACACTTGTTTCACCGGTAGGCTCTCGACAGGGTAAGCCACCTAATACATGTATAACGCGACTGTGGGCCGTAATTGGCGATGTCGACTACATAGCGCCTGACTTCTCTTGTACGAAGACTGAGGTGAACGCGACTGGAACGCGATGAAGTGCGCGGACCGGCTATCTCGGTTGTGAATGATGCCGGACTCCGGCGGAAGGAAGGAATGAGGAACGACCGACCGGCAGAGACGAAAATTTTCGTACGAGGTCGTCGTCGCTCTCAGTGACGGGACGGTCCCGAGCAGCACGCTTTCACGGGTATTGACACCCTCGCTCCTCGCTGTGTATTCACGACGATGCTCTCTACTCCACTGCAGCCCTCCACAAGAAGAGAAACGGCTACAACCACTGATAAGACTGATGGCGAGGGAGGTGACACGGTGCGGGGATCTCGAAGTCTTGCGATGACAACAATAATGTAGTCGTAAGGCAAGGGAGGTTAGGAGATGTAGATGTAGGCCTGAGACTATGGGTTGGGCACTAACCGGTCAGTGACGAGTCCCGGACTTCATGGGCAGGTGTGGGGAGCGTGCAGCGTAGCAGAGTCGGGCATGGGCAGTCAGCGCCGCGCGACGATGGGGAATGGTGGGCTATGTGGGCGAAGCCTGGGTTTCTGCGAGGCAGGTCCAGGTACGACGCGGGGGGGTGGTTTTCCGGTGGATGCGCAGTCTGGTTTCGCAGGGCCACTTTGGTTTTCTCTTCACAATTCCATTACTTGCCTCTCTGACTACGGTAGCCCAGTGGGGTGCTAGTATGTGTAGTCTGGGAGAGACTTTTCGCGCTCCGAGCAGATGATGGAAGTTCTGACATTAGCGGCTGGAAGGCGAGCGTCGCGTACATGTATGGGCGATAACTCGTAAGGAGAAGACAAAAATTCGACAGAGTTCAAAGAAACCAGACCGAGAAGGGAACGACAGACATCAGTCCATAAAATGTCGAAATATCGTGAATTCGAGGGAAATTCCTTGCGTCCCAAAAAATTGGGACGGGCGATATCGATGAGTCTCGAGCTACATCGCAAATTGTTCATGCTCGTGGAGTCAGGCCTTCAGGACTCAGCATCGGTTGGCACAAGAGAGTACAAGAGCTCCAATAGGAAGCCTCACGCTCCGCAGTTGTAAGAAATCCCACTAAGGGATACGAGAGTGTTTATGCGAGGCGCGAAGGAAAAGATGATGGGGGAAGAAAGAACGGTGAGCTGTTCGAGCCAGGGGATAACTTGAGATTGACACAGCCTGTTGACGATATAAAAGGAGGTTGGAGAGGCTCCTAAGGCTATCTCTGAACCTCAATCCCAGCCATCTTACAACAACAAGTCCTCGAAAAGAGTTCATGGCCATCCCTACTCGCAAGGTCGCTAACGAAGACATCTCAGCCATCGGCTTTGGGCTCATGGGCATTTCCGCCTTCTATGGTGCCATCGAAGACGACGAGGCTCGATTCAAGGTAGCTTCACTTTTCCTTACGCCTAGGAGTTTGACTGACATATCCCCTCCCTCGAAGGTCCTTGACGCTGCATTCGAGGAAGGTTGCACCTTCTGGGACTCAGCAGACTATTATGCGGACAGCGAGGAACTGATCGGGAAGTGGTATGTCGGGGCCGACTATTGTGACTGTTCCGTTGGCTGATGTTGCGTAGGTTCAAACGTACCGGAAAGCGCGACAAGATTTTCATCGCAACCAAGTTCGGGATCACGCCCACTGCCCCCAATGGCAAACCTGAATATGTGCGTTCTGCGTGCGAGAAGTCTCTCAAGAGACTCGGGGTCGATACGGTTGGCCTCTATTACATCCATGTGAGTACAGATTCCAAGGTGCGACGCATTATACTTACTTGAATACAGAGAGTTGACCAGACAGTCCCAATTGAGCTCAGGTTGGCCCTTTCATCGTTCTAGTGCAGAAGGCTGCTTTATTGAACAAGAAAAAAAAGATTACAATGAGGGCATTAGTAGAGCTGAAGAAGTAAGCGCACTCATCTTCGTGGCAGGAAAGCAGCCCTGAAGTTTTTAATAGCGAAAGAAAAAATTCGCCACATCGGTCTCTCAGAGTCCAGCGCTGCCATACTCCGTCGCGCGCACGCGGTTCACCCAATTGCCGCATATCAAGTAGAATATTCCCCCTTCGTCCTGGACATCGAGGACGAAAAGATAGGGCTTCTCGAGACATGTCGGGACCTCGGCGTAGCGGTTGTAGCATACTCGCCGCTTGGACGAGGTATGCTGACAGGAACCTACCGTTCACCAGCCGATATTCCTGCAGACGATAATAGGAGGTACTTAACTCGGTAGGTGTCCAATATTCTGGAAAATCTTGCTGTAACTGAGCAAAAATCGATTTAGATTCAGCGAGAAGAACTTCCCGAATATCAACAAGCTCGTCGATGGGCTCCAAGAACTTGGCAATAAGCACAACGCTACCACTGGACAAGTGACGCTCGTGTGGCTCCTCACTCTGGGAAATGATATTATCCCGATTCCAGGGACGAAGAAAGTCAAGATGACAGGTGCTGTGAGGATACTTACAGGTCGATTCCTTACTAGTACCTTAAAGAGAATATGGCGGCGGCCAAAATACAGCTTTCGACTGAGGAAATTGCTGAGGGTAGAAGGATTGCTAATGACGCTGACGTGACAGACGGTGATCGTTATCCTGCCGACCACATGGCTTTTCTCTTTGCAGATACTCCACCTTTGGAGTGAATGGTGCTTGAGGCATCATTGGGGAGCTGGTCGTGGAAGGTCGGGACAAAGCTTATACACAAAAACGCAGTAAATTTGATGTTCCATGCCTCAATTATTTGTCTCGAGGCGTCCTATTGCTCTCGCAGCGTACGTCACGATTCCTGTGACAGTGACCGTTACTGAGGCGCACTTGCCTAATGTGGAAGGCCATCATTTGATCTGTTTGAGCACCTTGGCGTGCAAACAAACGAAGAAAAACGTAGCTCACAAAGCCATTCTTATTCTCTATAAGCCCCAGGATACTCTACGCGGAGAGCGAATAGATATCTCCAGCTCATTTTAAGCGCGTGCGATCGTTTCCACGCAGGATTTGTCGATGTTTGTCGGCAGCTTCGGAGAGACAATGGGACATTAGGACGCTGAGCCACGTTGAGAGCAGTCGCTTACCTCAATGTGCCATCAAGGGTATTTTCACTCCGTAAGGCGAACAATTGTTGCCAGATCGTGTGGAGGGTGCGGGAAGGTGGATGCGCTATGATCATCTTGGCATGACAGGCATTGCCGAAGGCCTAACTTCAACGGCGCTGAGCGTAAGCTGAAGTATCTCGAGTGAATAAACTCTCCTATATAACCTGCAAAACTTATCTGTTGAGGCTGTACACTGCGACGAGTCCGGGGGTCAAAATGAAGGCTCTAGGACCTTACTCACATTGAGCGATTTGGACCACAAGGCATCGGGCAGATAGGGCAGAAGCTCCGAGAAAATCAACTCTCGAGATTTCTTCGATCAGCATCCATGACGCAGTGCAAGAGCGGGGCCTCGCGAGGTTGGTGTTAGGGGACAATGCGTGGGAACGGCATCCCACATTGTCTTCTGTATTGAAACTCCGATTTATACCCAAATAAGGAAGGACCCTGAATACTTTGTTCTCAACAATCAAGGAACGCGCACAATGACAGCCTTGTATTTAAATACAAGACCCAAAATGCATGGGTTCGTCGCCTTCTCTCATCAAATACCATTTGCTGAACAAGCATCTGGTCACGACAAATCTCCTCTAGACTTTATTTCAACCTGATCCACGACTCCAGTAATGACTTCTGTTTCGAGTTGTGAGTACTCTTTTCTTGCTCTTTGCTCTGGTGAAGATTTCCAATCTGACTCTTAACATAGTCTTTTCACGAGACGCGATGCTGAAACGGCAGGCGCGTATTACCCGTGCGCGGAAGGTTGAACGACAACCCACTTTGAACATCATCCCAGAGGAGGATGAACTCAGAACGTCTTCAAGTTCGAGGTCTCCATCGCCAGTGCCACTCTCGAGCATTCCGAGTGGCAAGCAGTTGTCTGGTCTCAAGGCCAGACGAAGATACGCGAACATCTCTGACATTCGAGTCACTCACGATGCCACTTTTCGCGACGACAACGACCTTTCACCAATTGACGACACCCTCCTAACTGCACCACGCCCTGCCCCACGACCTCCTATGACACCCTCGAGCCCGCAATCATCGCCAGACTCCTTCCATTTGACCTTCACCGAGAAATCATTCACATTCCCCCATCCTCCTGAACCGACCTTTTCGCCGCTCGACCGGTCGGAATGTTACTCACCAACTCCTTCAATTTCCTCGCTTTCTTCAAGCCCATGTTCTCCTAGTGGCGCCATGCCACTGACGCCTTCTACATCCGACGACGAGTCAATCCCTTCTCGTACTTTCCACCATCGTGCCACCATCCGACCACTTGTCATTCACAAACATCACCCTCGTCCAGTTTCTCCTTCTGGAGAGATTTCTCTATCGCCTTCTCTCCTCCAGCCCTTCAAAGATGTCTCAGAAGTGAACATGTACGCGACGCTGTCACCTTCATTCCTGGAATCCGAATCGTCCGAATCCGACCCAGAGTCAGACTCAGAATGGTACACGAGGGAGTTCTCTAAGATCATCTCTCTTCGCTCTCCTCTTCCTCCATCTTTCCCGCTTCAGCAACCCTGTCGCCCGGATTCGATGTCCATCACCTCCGACGTTATCGTCCCCACCACGACCGTCAATAAACGACGTGTTTCGAAGACTTTCCAACCCTCTGTCGAGGCCGCTCCTCGTAAGAGAAATAGCAAGACTCGTAGCATCCCAAAATATCCCCCTCCTCCTGTTCCTCCTATCCCAGCCCACCTTCGCTCGTCTGTTCCCCCGCCGTCGTCACCCGCACCGGCTGTCCCACAAAATGTTCAGCGTCCACCTCCACGCTCGAGTATCCCCGCTGACTGCGTCATCGACCTCTACCTAGACGAAGACGAAGTCAGCAATGATTCATCTTCGGCGTTCTCGTTCACAATGTACGAGATCGACCTCGGCGAACGCGAGCTTGGACGCGACAGTCCTGCGAGTGCCTACTCTCAGCCCTCGTTCGAGGAACAGGGACAAGAGGTCTCTATGGACAACGTGAAGTTTGAGCTTGATTACCCTTTGATGCTTCCACTGTCGTTGCCTGGCACTCCCCTCGATCTCGAAGCAGACATCGCACGGGGCTTGGAAAGACTCCACAACGCCGAAGACGAGGCGATTTTCGAACAGGCGGAATTTGTTATCGAGGAAGAGGCAGTCCAGGAAGAGATAGTACAGCAACAGGCTTCCGTCGTCGATGCCGTTCCCGAGCGCCAGCAAGTTGTCGACGACGTCTTTTCCCCCATCTCCTCCGATTTCTCCTTCTCACCATCGCCGTCTGCCACCTCACAACACTCCTACAGTCGCTCCAGCCCCTACTGCGAGGACGAACGGGTGCTCAAGTCGAAATGGAGCACCTCTACGCTGGGCTCGATCCGCGAGGAGCACGAGCGTCGGGGCACCTCGAAGCTACGGCTCTACTTCGGCGGCAACTCACCCAAGCGGGCCTCGTCGTCATCGAAGAAGGCACCCGCGACGCCGTCGACGCCCTTTGGCCTCATCTCACCTCGCAAGGCAAGCCGCGGCCAGCCCTCGCCTCCTCCGGCTCCTGCGGTGCGAGGACACAAGTACGGGCACTCCGGGGCAGCTCGACGAACTCGAACTCGGACGTGATGGTTATCGGGTACGGGGTGAACGGGGCAGGTGTGAGGAGGCGCGGCAGCTGCACGACGGTCAGCGATGCTGGCAGCGAGGAGAGCTCGTCTAGTTCGTCGAGCAACGGCCTGAGGAGGAAGCCCATTCCCATCGAGATGTTCTTGAGGAATGCAGCCTGAACTACGAGTTTCGTTTCTCTTACATTCGTTTTTAATCACCTTGATCAACATTTTGCGCAACACACATCATAGCATTTTAGAAACATCGCTTACTTATTCCTCAGTCGTTCTTTACCTGTTTTAATCGTCTCTTGAGCATCTTATCTTTATTCTGAATACTGTATACTGCACTCTCTTTACGCGTAAACCCCACTGTAGCCATAGTCTCTTGCTCCAAATAAATGAATCCGCTACTCTTTAAAGTTGTCGCGTGATGTCTGTGGTGTCTATAACACGAACCTCCAGAGTTTCAGCACTATGAGTTATGAAAAAGGAAAAAAAAAAAGGCCGACGCTTTCAGCTGAATAACAGAACATCAATACGGTTCTCGGCACTCCGAGCACTCTTATTTCCTCCACTGTTCGAGTCTCAAGAATCGGTTTGATCATCCTCGCGCCGTGAAGGTCTGAAATCTTTCAGTTGATGGAGTCGATCGAGCACCCGGGAATATTTTCCATCGATACAATTCGTCAACAACAAAGCTCTTCCGCCTGACCGTGGCCAGGCCGTAACGAGGGGATTTATCTTATGGGTCTGCACAAGGCGAACTGCGACGCCTTCGAAGGGCTAACAGATACACCACTCTAGGGACTTTCAGCGATGCTCCCAAGTCCTTGTTACCTAAATAACCTTGTAGCCATTCCGGATGAGGTCTTTGGCATCAGCTAAAAGGGAGGTGTTAAGCACTGGGATGCGCGTAGCAAAATAAAAACAATACCCCGGTCTGGAAGCATCCATTCCGCTGCTTCGGGAGATAGGCGCAAGAACTCGGCAAGCTTTTCAAAATGTGGATACGTTTGCATGCGATTCAAGTGTCTCTGCGTCCTGTTGGAGGTAATTGCAACGCAGAATGATGCATTGTCGCCAGAGCCATCGTCATTTTCAGAGAGGTGAACGCACTCGGCATCAAATCTCTTTCTGATCGTCCACGCCAGGTGCATGTAGACGTTGAATCGACGGCGATTCGGATTCTGCTCGTTGACTAGAAGGTTATGCGAGTCGGCAAAATCTAGTAGGTAGTTTCGGCAAAGTGGAAATCCGAACACGATGTAGTTCATGGCGTTGCCTCGCGGAGTTCTGGATTTATACAGCTGCGGCACGGGGAACTGGGCCATAATGGCGCAAGAGTTGTGGGGTGGAGGCACTTCAAGGGATGCAGACCTGTTAAGTAGTATGAAATGAGCAGAAATACGACGAGACAATCTGATACACTTACATTGGATCCAACCACTAGTCACGACTATGAAGGCAAGTTCCAAGTTCTAGCATTCTTGAGGACACCAATAAGTTCCCACACCCCTATCGACCTCGAACTACTCTTATGTGTGGTGTCCAACAAGTGCAATTTATTTATGTAGTACGTTGTTAAACAGCAAACAGGGAATCCAAAGTTAGAGTATATAAACAGGTGAAGTAGAGAATCAGACCTCTCAGAAAGAAAATCTCCTCAAGTTACAAATAAAGCTCCACAAATTTTCCCCATCGTTCTATGACAGGCCGGACCAGGTCCTCCCATTCTCGTCCTTTATACGGGCCCTGTGTCCAGCGCCGGAACTCAAAAATTTCCTTGTGCACCGTGCCGCAATCCGTACACTCGTGCCGGCGGGTTGGTCGAAGTGGGAGAACAGCATCAGTGGGGATGGACGTAGGCGCGGACATGCCTCGTGCGCGTGAAGCACGTACATCCTCTCGCAAGCCATCATTCGATCTGTCGAGGTCATCGGCAGGAGCAGGCATCGCTCCCCAGCCATGGTTGAGGTAGGCTCCAGTGGATGCCAAATCGTCGAGTTCGGTGTGGACCAGTTTCTCTATGATTGGATTAGAACAACGCAAAAACTCAAGCTAGGTGGACTAAAGACAAACCGAGCCGGTGGCACCATGGTACCGTGGCCCCTGGCTTGAGGCTTCCCCTCATGAGACCTGCTTCCTCTTCGCCAGAGTCGGGGTAGCAACCACGCAAAACATGCTCTTGTGAGTGACACTGACGATCCCATTCTGACAATCGTTTTGCCACGTTGGCGGTACGACCAATCTTCAGCTTGATTATGTTTTTCTCTCGTGGTTCTTTGGCAGACAATGAGAAAAACCTAGTATCATAGACAGAAGTGGACGTCTTACCTCGAATCTCGAACGTGTAGATATACCCGTCCGAGTCAGACGAAGCACCCTTCTTCTCCATCAGCACCCTCAACGACGCCTGCGTCTTCTGGAGGAGGTAGGGAGGAATCCAATCTAGGGGTACAAGTAATCGTCAGAACTGAAGGCGACACATACTTGATTGACGTACACTTGAATCTAACATACTGCGAAGGTCCGCTCGTTCGAGTCATAAAACCAACAACTTCGAGAAACTTGTTGACATGCTGTTGACAGAAAACGGGGTCGCCTTTTCGTGTGCACCGTTTACCCTCTAACGTGGTGGCCTGGCATTTGCCATCCCAACGAGTTCTGCCACCAGTATGTGTGCATGGGACGCTTATCGATTCCTTCTTCGTTTCGATGGAATCAGCCTCATTATCTCGTATATGTGGTACGCGGACTGATTCTCCTTTGTTCGAATTGGTCTGCGTGAGAACCTTGTCTGTCGATCTGGGTGTCTGGTGGCGCGTCTTTGCCAAATTAGTGGATGTCGATGATCCCCTAGGATGCTTCTCCGACTTGATGACTGTCCGCGGTGATGTCGGCTGCTGAGCACCAGTGCTATGAACCGCAATTCGATGGGTCCACAAACACCCTTGATGACCACAGAAACACCGGGGATGCTAAGGGTAGCGTGTACACCCTGATCGGACTTGAGAAGGTTATATAGGAAAAGGATGAAGGACGAGGCTTGCCTCCGGGTCATAGAATCTTGCCTCGGCCACTGGTTGATAGTCTTTGCGTGAGCGTCCTACATTATCTGCAGGGAAAGGACGGGGCATAAGGAAGTACACTTGATGACCAAAGGAAGAACTTGCATAGAAAAGAAAGGATCACGTTCATTAAATATCTCGTCCGCGGACCGCCTTGGCCCTTCGGTGATGAGACCTGTGCACAAAGCCATCAGAGGGCAACGGCAATCGGCAACCAACCGTCCAATGCCACTGTCAACATCGGGTTCTGACAAACAGAACTGCGGGTCGGAGAGGGTTCTCGGACCCATCGATTCTTTGTCCGTGACCCTTCGGCTTAGGTGAGAGACGTGTGGTGGTAGGGAAACGTCAGAATCGGAAGCATCGCTGCGGTACCTTGTAAGTCGATTTCCAGCTTTCTATTGACGCTATGCTCACCTTTATCTCACTGCAAAACTGGACCTCGTTGTCGGCATATATCAAGGAATAGAGAACTTTGAGGAAGTGAAAGACCATTCCGGTGGGGAAGAGATACCGAATTGATGTCGAGCAAGTTGGGCTGGGCCTGGATTCGAACAACCGAAGGAGACTGTTGACATAATCATTTTCCACGCTTGTTGGTGTTGAGCAGGGACAGCCTCAAATATCGTGGACGTTGGAAGCAAGTGTATGTGTTGCTTCGAGTAATGCTGCGCCCGCCCTACTTTCGAGGGGGAGTTTACTGTATTTCGTACAAGAACAAGAGCGCGGTGAGTGTGAGACAGCGAGTTCCTCATCGCAAACACCCACTCAAGCCTGGTGAGACAGGTCGCACAATCTCGCTGTCAGGAGGTTTCGCAGGGAGTGTCACGTAAACATGCCGTCGGGTGAGTCTCTGTCGAGGACCAAAAGCCTAGAGGTAGTAAAGGTTGGACACCAACGAGGAAGGGGAATTTTCCACGAGTGACATGTGGATGCCTCCTGCGAACGACGATTAGAGCGCTCGACGGACGAAGTTGAAGGGATCCAGAGAATTCACGAATGTTATCCAATAAATTATACTTATGCGACGCCGATACAAGAAGCTTTCGCATTGCTGACATTGTTGAGTGTTCGATTCAAGCAGCGAAAACAACGCGATGCTTTGACGCAAAAGGGATCTTAGAGTTGCTAACTTGCTCTACGTAGACAACACCCTTTCCCTCGTGCACTCGAGTAAGGCTATAAGGTAGGACTAGGAAGCGATACGGCCAAATAATCCCGATGCCGTCTCGTATCACCTAGAAAGTGTCAACTAAGAAGAAACTTAAACGAGGCTGTTCACAAGGAATGGCTAAACAAAGGAATGGATAAACAATCGTGCTGCCTTCTCCGATGCTGTAAAATTAAGTTTAAAGACTTGGATTGTGGGGTCAAAAGGGAATATTCTACAAGTCTTTCTCCGTATTCTCAAAGTTTGGCAACGATCCTTGAGTCTTGGATGACTTGTCGCGAGGCCGCGTCATCACATTCCTAATCGGTCTGGTTGATCGCAATAGTAGAAGTTTACGTTCGAGACTTGATGTATTGAAAGTTAGCTATTATGTCGTCAATGAGCTGTTACCATAGCACCTAGTCGAAAAGTCAACCTGCCGCTGCATAAGGTTCATTCAAGACTCCGCACAATAGCACCTGGTAAGTAGGTACAAGAGAAAGGTCTCAACTTGATTTGTATGGTTTTTCTTTGTCATTAGTGCATAGGTTCTCAGTAAATAACGGTTGCACGGCCTAGCTCCTTGCGGTGAAGGAATAAGCGCCCGAAGGCAATTCGCCGGACCGGCCTTCCACTTGGCATCTGCTTCGCCAAGCCAACGCCAACTAACACCGATGGTCGGATGATTATTGAGCGCTGCTATGAACGCCTATTCTTGTTCACCTACGATGAGCTACTTTTGTGTACGTGAGTGGTTGAAGGGCTGCCAGGGAAAGAAGCCTAGTTGGAGTCAAGATCAAGAGTCAGCTGCCGCGGACGTGGATGGAGGAAACAAAGATGTGCACGTTGCTTCGACTAGCGAGGACAAACGATCAGGTGTAGACTATGTAGGGTACGAGAAAAAAATCAAGGTGAGAAGGTGAGGTCATCTAGGACCGTGACCATCACACAGCTAACGATTAATGAAGACCCTTCGTTTTAGACCGGTGACCGTCTGTATATGACAGAGCGTGATCTATGAGAGGAATCTGTGATCATCGATTCTCGTATTCAGGCGCCTATCTTCATTTGTCGTCCCAGCAGTCACCATGTTTCTGCCAGCCCTCAGCACTGTCGTCATTCTAGTCTTGCTTTATCGGGGCGTGGCAAGGCTCTTCAAGTACAAGAAGATGTCACCCGACTTGACCTATAATCAGCTCATGCTCGAAATAACGGATATCCTCCATCCAAATACGAGCATGGAAGAACACCTCAAAGAACGGGCAGAGGCAAATCAGAGACTAGTCCGCGCCCTCCATATATCCAACACTTTTGTTAGCGCAGACATTTCGGTCCACAAGACCTTTGTCGGACATGCAAGGCTCCTCCTGAAAGGCACCCAACGCCGTGGATGGGCCCATTTCCAAAGGATAGTCGCTGAAGCCGTGGAATGGCAATTGTCATCCCCCCAACTGCCTCACGATCAATCTCATCACATATCCCTATCCACAAATCAAAGAAAGGACAAATGTTTTAAATTCGACTCCTCCATTCAAAACATCACCCTTGTCATCGTCCTCATTGGCATTCTCCAAGTCGACAAACCCATCCAATCCCTTTCCCACCAAGATGTCACCCTTGTCGCCGAGCGTATCACCACTCTATGGAGATTATCCAAGAAGCCTGGCCCAATTCCCCCCGTCCTCTTGACGGAGCTCACAGCGCACCTGCGTAGCCTGGTGCCGATGAATGGCGTCGACGATGAACTGCATTTTATGGAGCCTCTGGATTTTGTGATTCCCACTTGGGAGACGCTTTGGAGGGTGGTGGCTACGACTGTGGCATATGCATATGGAGATGTGGCTATGAGGAGGGAGTTTGAGGCTTTTAATGCAGACCCGTCGGAGGAAAGATTTCGAAGAGGAGGATGGGAAGACTCTGTGCAAAAAGCTGACAGAGTGAGCGTCATGGGTATTGTGAGCGAGGCGATGAGACTCCACCCTCCTTCGAAGCACATCGGCAGGTCAAAGATGAAATGGAGATGGTGTCCCTCCTTCCTTGCAAATTGGATTGGACAGGACATGATAAAGCAGATGAAGCATGCGGATGTCGAGAAACTTCTCCGGTGCGAGATTTGGGGGCCAGATGCTGATATGTTTAAACCAGCTCGACACCATCCAGCCGAAAGCCACCCAGAACACAAATGGGCCTTGGCATGCATATTTGGACACGGGCCTCTGAGGTGTATAGCCAGCTCGTGGGCGGCCATGGCAGTAGGCGTCATCAGTGGTACTGTCCTCGACCAACTCGACAGTAATGGATACGTAGTATACGCTGGGCAGGCAATTGGCAGTAGAGAGGGTTGGAATGACTGGGTTATAAAAGGAACACAATTACTGTAAAATATCTGTACTCAGGCACTATATCTCTTGGCATTACCGCTTTCTTCACCAAGGCTCGCAAGCTGCACTGACGTTCCACATAGACACAGCTTCTTGGATGACGAGCATGCTGAACGAACCCGAAGGTGACAAAATGCGCAGGACAACCCGATTACCGAGCGATCGACGGTAATCACTGGGTCGAGCGAGCCATCGTCGAGCAGATCCTCTTCCATCGTGACCTGATTATCCAAGCTGGATTGAGGGCATAGATACCAATCTTGCCGGTGGGAGCGTCTCGTCGTCCAATCTTCGATGTTATTGTAGGTCAAAGTCGCCTTGTAAACCCTGTTTGAACCAAACTGGGACCGATGCTCGAAGTATAAGCACCGCTGACTAAACGCGTCAGAGCGACCGTTGGTGGCGATTAAGACAGGCGGCCGCAGGTCGTCGTTCGCAGGGAAGAATTTGCCAGTGGCGTCAGCCCTATTGACTGGGTTGTAGTTAAGGAAGTGGTCGGGGTCCATGTTCGCTTCGCCGATCTGCCTGACAATGGCGATGTATCGAGCCTGACATTGAGAGGCTATGGGCGAGTCGCAAGTATCGGTGCTGTTGTTGGAACTTGGCCAACAGCTTCGATGGCGACACAGTTGGTGGCACACCAGGATGCCATGTCGATGACTGGTAACATCGGCCGGGTCAAGGCGGGGTCCACCATTTATAGGTCGTGATAAGGTAGGAGCCAATACTAGGCTAATCGAGGGCGGCTCAGATGCACCGTCCAAAATTGGCGCAGTTCATTGGAGAGGGCGATCCTCCGGCTGGTTGTTGATGGTGGTGTTGTAGCGGCGCAAGCCAGTCTTGCGAGACACCGGCATTGGTGACGCGCGGGCTTTCGACACCATTGTAGATTATGCCGCCCAATTCATCGAAGCACTTGTCAACATTCCTACTCGCAACGACGAGCAATGAGTTAGAGCACGATCGGAAGAGTGTCGTGTCAAACCTGCTTACCTCGTCTGGCCATAAGAGCACCGCGAACGGTCATCAAAAAAGAAGCAACCAATTAGCTGGAGAGCGGGATGTCAAACATTGAAGCTCGAAGCATGACAGATTACTTACCTTTTCGTCTTGAAATTACTCTACTGTTCACGCTCTACCCAGCCAGCGAGACCATACTGACCGGACCCTAATAGAACCTCATCACAAATCGCTCCCGCATCGAGGGCTAAGCAGATGAGCAACTAGGTTGTCGTACAAGACGATGGCTAGTCAAGAAAAGGGAACCAGCAGCCAGTGGTCTCTAGTGGTTGGGGAGTAAGGAGAAAAACACATCACGCGAGTAAGCACTTTCCGAAGAACCACGGGATGATCGGAAAGCAATTACTGCACTTGGAAGATGTTCAAGGTCTCCTAGTCTCTACTGCGCTGCATGTTTGGAACTTACCTCCTCATGCACTCGGCCATCCACAGGTCGATAGCAGGTTGAATGACGTCACGCGATCTCCCTTCAAGGTTCGAAAGTGAGGAGAAATGTGGTTTACAAATCTCGGTTTGAATAAGATTATTACAAGACCATACATTGACGTGCCAGGAGAATCGCTGAGCAACGAGACGCGTGGTAGGGAAGAGGAATTGCTAAACAACCGTGCTGCCTTCTCTGATCAGTTCCACGATATTATCTGCGAAAAGGGAAGGTAAGACCGAGTAGAAGTGGTGCAAACTGAAGGAATCGTACCTCGTTCTGGATACATCCATCCTGCTCCCTCAGGATCTAGGCCCAAGAACTCAGCAAGTGCTTCAAGGTACCGATACGTCCTCATGCGGCTCAGGTGCCTCCTGGTCCTGTTGGAAGCAATGGCGACGGAGAAATGTGCATTGTCGCCTGAGCCGTCGTCTCTATCCCACACATCAACGAGGCGAGCATCGAAATGTTTCTCGACCTCCAACCCCATGTGTATGTAGGCGGCTAGTGAACGTTGAAAGGCATCCTGGCTATTGAGTTGAATGTTGTGTGCGTCGGCGAATTGTAGCAGATAGTTCTTGCTAATTGGAAAGCCAAACACGACGAGGTCCATTACTTTGCCCTTTCGATGTTTGGACTTGTACAGCGGTGGCACGCGGAACTTCGCCAAAATGGCACTGGAATTGCGGGCTCCAGGGACCTCGAGACGTTCAGGCCTGATATCATTGAGCGAAAGTAGAAGAATGCTAAGAGGATCACTTACATGCGTTATTGAATAATTGGCAAGTAGAGGCGAAACGAACACTGAATCATAATGTCGTGGTCAGGTTCGAAGTTCAAGTGTTCAACATGCGCCCCTTTATGCTCGTGCGTGACAGGTGACATTACATCTCTTAAGTTCCGCTCCTTCATCTAGTCCTCACTTTAACATCAATTGTCGACCTTATCTGGCCATGATGGGCCCGGTTTCGACATAACTTGGCGAATGGGAACAATGTGCTTTCTTATGTCGGACTTTGAAGCATGAGGTTATCCACTGTGCTGAGTAAGTATCTGAGCATTGTTCTTCTCTCTAGGATTTTTCGCTGTGTTCTAGCAGCGAAACTGTCGCAGTCCTTGTACCCTCTAAAGCGTCAGCTAAGAAGAAAGACTGGGCCATTCTGTCGCAAAGAAACGAACGGCGCACCTGAAACGAGTTGAACAGAGACATGATTCCAGGAAGTCGAAATCGGAGTACATTTGCACAATCGTTATGACTGCGAGGATATGAATAATCTGTCTTTACAGCAGGACAGCTAAACGGACTAGTCGTTCATTGAACTTCATTCTATTGCCGGCTATTTTCTTATTTAAGGTCAGGAACAGCATGAGGATCTTAGAAAGACGCATCAAGCGCTTTCAGAAACGGCACCAGGAAGCATAGAAGCAAGATAGAACGATACTCGACCCTTGAAGTCTATAAATTACACGGTCGTTTCTTTCATTATCGTCGTCGTACAACTCTCAGATAACGCTGTGGAATAAAGGAAGAGCTGTGTTGCGAGAAGGTATATGGCTAGATGACCCCAATACCGTCTTGTATCACCTGGAGGGCGTCAGCTGGGAATGAAGAGGACAGTGAGGCCCGGGAAGTCAAGAAGCAAAAGAAGAATAGCACACCTCGGTCTGGATACATCCACTCCGCTGCATCTACAGGCAGGCCCAAGAATTCAGCAAGCTTCTCGAGGTGCGGGTAGGTCTGCATGCGTTTGAGGTGCTTGTTGGTTCGATTCGAGGTGACTGCTACGCAGAAAGTCTCTCGACTGAAAAGATCAGGGTCGTCATCCACGAGGTCGACGCAGTGCGCGTCGAATTTCCGTTCAATTGTATACCCGATGTGAAGGTGCGCTTTGTACAGACGTCGAACCGCGTCCTCCTCATTTGGCGCAAGGCGATTCCTCTCGCAGAAGTCCAGCAAGAAGTTATTGGTGATTGAGAATCCGAAGATGAGGAGATCAGTTGTTTCGCCGTCCGATGTTCTGGATCTGTACAACGGTGGCACAGGAAACCGCGCCATAACAGCGCATCCGGGATTGGTTTTGGGAGGAACCTGAAGAGTAGACCTGGTAGATTGTAAGCAAATATAGAGGAGGTACGAAGAGCCACGTACATCGGATCGTGAAGACCTGGCGGTGCGGTGGACGGTGCTGGAAGAAAGGTTCTGGTTCAACCCATCAAATTCCCCAGTTGGAACCGGTCATCCGGCCCGTGCAAGTCCTCGAACCTCTCGCTTATGTAAGTATAACTTCTTCCTCTCCGACTCCATATGAAGTTCCATGGCACCCTACGGTTGAGGCTGCTCCATGGACTTCTCCCTATGATATTAAATCAATCGCCATCGATTTTCCGATCGAGGGAATGACATTGTTCTTGTGCTTTGTTCTCCATTCCGGGCGTGAAGCCCACATTTTCAGGACGCCAATGTCATTTTCGACACAGGCCAGGATACTTATCTGTCTTGTATAAAGTCTTTTGTTGAACGTGCGTTTTTTTCTTCTGTTAACGTTCTTCTGTATCCATGTCTGATCAAAACCGCAACTCAGACTCCAACAATCATTCCGACTTTCGCCTCCCTGGTGCCGTTTCGCGCCCGTACAGACAAGCTCGTCTCATCACGACACTGGCCTTCAGCTACTCCGGTATCCTGAATCCTAGTCTAAAGGAATGCCACCTGCACGCACCTTGGGGGCACATATTTGAAGATCTCATTGACGATCTCGGACTGGAGACGTTCATCGTCGCTCAGCACTCGTTTTCGCCATTCGACCGTGTCTCTATCCAGGACTGGTACAAGAAGAAGCAGGAAAAGAAGAAAGAAATCAGGAGAATTGAGCAGGAGCGAAATGCCAATAGGTTGGGGAAGCCATTGCCAGTTAAGGTGGCCGAGCCGCCTGTTCCGACTCCAGCCGTCCCACAGTTCTCCACTAGCCAGGCACTCAATGCAGGCACCGACGCAGATGACCAAGACATAGACCTTCTCGCCGAAACCTCCTTCCGAACTCTTGCCGACGAAAGGTCTGAGGAAAAAGTTCCCGACTTCTCCATTTTCAAAGGCCTCAAGTTTCGCAATCGCGTGACCAATGCCATTATGACCCCAGCTGACTTTCCCAACGATCCCGCTGACTGGGACATTGTCCGGGTCGTGGTGGCCAAGGCCATGCTGCTTGCAGAGCTGAAACCACCACCCTCGCGCCATATAGAAAGCGAAGTCGCTTTCCACACTGCTCTTGGCAAAATCATGGTCAAGGCCAACCTGCAGGCGTGGAGGCAAGCCGAACGCGCTTGCGCAGCCGATGAAAAACTTCAATCTTTGGTTTTGGTTGCATGCGTAGGGGAATGGTGGACGTGGAGGCTGGCTAACAGGCGGGAGGTTATTCCACCAGAAGATACGCAGCCAGAGTCGACCTCGAATATCTTGCCCTCCGACCCCCGAGTAGAACTGCCAGAGGCGGCCAGCCAACGCCAGTCACGTCGTCGCAATGCAGCTGCTCCCGCCCAACCCAGTTCGACACCTGAAGTTGGTATCCGCCCACAACCGCGAGTGGCAAAAGAAAAAGCCAAAGGAAAATATGCACAGCCTCCAGAAGACGAACCAGACGACGATGACGACAAAGTTCCTTACGACCGCGGTTCTAGGAAGGGAAAGGAACCAGAAGACGAACTACCTCCCACCCTCGCGCCCCGCAGAGTATTCAAGACCGCGCAAGCCGGCTATTCCGATCAAGCCGAGGCGAATATTGTCGACGCGATTCCTCCTCACACCAACTGGTCAGATTTCTTGCGTCTTAGCACTCCAGCCTCAAACCAGGCTTGGTACTTGGTTCATTACTTCCTTCAGCACGGCCAAGTGCCAGGTGTGGAATTGGTGCGAAGCCATCCTGATCGTTTTTTTTGCCTTGCTTTTCTGACCCCAGGGGTTTCAGCCTTCCAACGACAGTGGTCCTGTGCCAGGGCCCAGCAACGCATCTCGCAAGCGATCTGCAGAGCCGACTCCGGTGGTAGGGGGCCGCAAGAGCCATTCAAAGAAGCTGAAGTTGGACTCCGTTGGCGTCGAAGTGCGTGAAGAAGAAGATTATGCGAGCGAGGGTGTCATGACAGATAGAGAAGAACGGGGATAAACATGAGTTGAGTCTGTTCGTAGGCATCATAACCAATATAACACATCTTATGGCATTCTGCTATCGGATGAGCAGACCTGGTGGGTGATGTAAGCTATGGAGACAGATCAGTTCCAAAATCATCCCGTATGAGGTTCATTTCAACCCGCCGTATTGACCAGGCGTAGGCGCCTTCCTTGCGTTCAGTTCACCTGTGAATACTTTGTCACGTGACACGCTTGGACGACCAACGTGCGGATACAGTACTTGTATTATACTGTTATAATACAGGAAACCGTGAGTAAGTAGCGTTTTACCTATGGCAAAACCCTGTTGGACAGAAGCGATGTGACCATTTCTTCTCTATTTCAGGATTTTTCGGTCAGTGACATGAGATTGGCGCTAAAGACCCTCTTAGTGATGCAATTCGCGAACAAGCAATCCCGTCGCCCTCCAACTTCGAAGCCTCTTCGAGGTAGCAATGAAGAAGATTATCGCCGGTATGTTTCTACCTACAGTAGTTTGACACAAATTTTTGCGGCACATACTTAGAAAGCCCTGTGGTTTCGCACAGCCGAAGAGGCTTCAAGTTTCTGCTGTGTCTGTAAATGACCATATTAATGGTGCCATCTTGGATCGGCTCTATAGCATTCACTGAAAAGGAGACGCTGAGAGGCGGCAGATAAAAAGGAAAGTGAAGGACCATACCTCGGTTTAGAAGCATCCATTTCGCCACCCCAGGCGACAGGCAAGAACTTCACAAGCTTTTCGAAATGCGGATAGGCTTGGAGGTGGGCTCAGGTAGCCCTGTGTATTGATCGACGCAATGGCAACACAGAACGACACATTGTCGCCAGGGCCATCTTCTTTTTCAGAGAGGTCAACGCACACGGCGTCGAATTGCTTTTTGACAGTCCATGCCAGCTGTACATAGACGTTGATCGACGTCGCCATAGATCCTGCTCGTCGACTAGAAGCTTGTGGGCGTCGGCAAAATCCAGCAGGTAGTACCAGTTGTTGCAGAGCGGAAACCCGAACGTGATGAAGTCCATCGATTTGCCTCGCGGACTCTTGGACTTGTACAGCTGCGGCACAGGGAACTGCGCCATAACGGCACAAGGATCATGAAGTAGAGGTACTCCAAGTTGAAGGAGATCAGACCTGGTAGTAGAATATGAACGAGAATACGACAAGATATGCTGAAATTGTTACATTCCGGATAGCCGAGGTCCTCCTTCAAGCTTCAAGCTTTACTAGCTTCACTGGCCACGCGTTCCGAGTCCCAGCGTTGGTGAAGCCTACCACAAAGTTGAAATGTCGTTGAGTGGTGGCACAGAAAAGTTCCCACATTCCTCGAAGACCCTGACATATCGACCTCAGAACTCAGTAGATAGCCTTCATACTTTTGGTTACTAACCGTTTGTACAAATTGGCAAACATTATTGCCTGTATAGGTGCCTGCAAAGCAAAATTTATCCATGAGGTTGGTCCTCAGTAAAACAAATGGAAATTTCAAAGTGAACGAGAGGTGATGTCCCTGAGATCGGAAGCAAGACTTGTGTACAGGAAGTTAGCTGGAGTTATAGATATAACCGGACAAACGTTGCCCAACGTTCGATGATAGGCTTAACCAAGCTGTGCCACTCTCGACCTTTATTCGGTCCATGCGTCCAGCGCCAGAATTCGAAGATTTCCTTGTGCATCACACCGCAATCCTGACACTGGCGCCGACGGATTGGTCGCCATTCGGGAATAGCACTGGAGAACGTATTTGGGCGTTGACGAAAACGTGCGTCCCGTGGCGAGGTGTTCCTATGAGCATCAGGCGCAGGCATCGCTTGCCACCCGGGAGTGAGATAAGTGAAGGTGGACGCCAAGTCCTCAAGCTCGATGTGCACTCTCTAACAATGAATTAGAATGTCAACAGAGGATCAACAAAGAGACAGAACATACCGAGTCGGTGGGACCATGGGACCATTACACCTGGCCTTAGCATCCCCGGCAAGAGAGTTGCGTCCCCGGCCTCAGGCTCCGGGTAATAGCCACGCAGAACGTGTTGTTGCGAACCACACTGGCGATTCCACTGGAACAATCTCCTTTCCAGGTTCTTGGTATAGCCGACCTTTAACTTGATGATGTCCGGTTCTGCCAAATCTGCAGAAGGAATTGAGCACGACCAAGATTCATAACCACCAGCGGATGAATTACCTTTGATCTCGAAAACATAAATATAGCCAGCGACGTCCGACGGAGAACCTGTCTTCTCCATTTCCACCCGCAGTCGTGCCTGCGTCTTCGGGTGTAGGTAGGAAGGAATCCAGTCTGGGAGGATACGTAAGCATAAAGCTAAAGGCAAAACACTGTAATGACATACATACCTTCGAAGTTGACGTATTGCGAAGCTTTGCTTGTCCGAGTGTTAAAACCAGGAACCGCGATCAATTTGTTGACGTGCTGGTAACAGAAATTGGGCTTTCCGTTTCGCTTGCACTGAGAGCCTTTCAACGTGATGGCCTGGCATCTGCCACGCGTCAAAAAAGGTGGGGCGCTTATCGTTTCTCTCGTATCGATGAAGTCAAACCTGTCATCTCGGAAACACGGGGTGCTGATCGATTCACCTCGGTTGAAATTGGCTGGTGCATGGGGATAATTTATCGATTCGGTTGCCGGTTTGTGTGTCGAAGTCGGTGCTGGACGAGGCGATGGACTGCACCGATCGGAGTTCGTACAAGCCGGTTGGTCGTCCAGAGGAAAAGAACACGACCGTCTCGTGGCTGTCGTCCAGGATTTTCCGAACTAGTCGTTGCTGGAGACGGTGGTGAGTTGGGGAGGGATGAAAGAAGGTGACGCGAGAGTACTCTCGTGAGCACTTACGACGTTCGATTTCGATAGGCCCACGAATCTCGATATCAGTACGCCCACAAAGCTCGTTGTCGACAGGCCCACGGAGCCCAATGTAGACAGGCCCATTGATCACTATTTTGACAGATCCATGCATATTCCCAGAGTTCACGGTAGAACCAGAGAGAATGGCGCGGAGAAGGTCCTGATGGGAAGTGAGAAGGTTAAGCAGAATAGGATGTATGAAGAGGCTTGCCTCTATCTCGTGGGATCCAGCTTCAGAGTTGTGATGGCTTGCTCCTGCGCTATGGTATCGTGGTGGCGAATCATGGCACCGCGATGCCAACTCGCCGTGTTGTGCTTCCAAAGCACGAGAACCTTCCTCACACTTGGAATCTCCGGCGGTTGATTTGTCGAGTCTTGGTGTAGAGGCAGCTGCGTGGTCGTAGCGAAAACGACCAACGTTGTGCGCAACAAAAGGGCGGGGCATAGCGAAGTACACTTGAAGATGGGCCGGGAAGAACGTATGCTGAAGAGACAGGGCCGCTTCCTTTAAATACTTCGTCAGTGGACCATCCTTGGGGACGACAACAATGCGCACCAGCATCAGAAAGCAGCAACAAACGGGAAACAATCGCCAATCGCCACTGTCAGCGTTGAGTTACAACAAACGGAATCATTGCTTTCAGCGCGTTGGTGGATCCAACAAGGCGTTTGTCTTCGACCTTCTGCATTGTGACAGGGAGTCGCCCATTCACGTCCACTCCAAACTCGAACAGCACCGCTGCCGTAACCTCGTAAGTTGACGTTCTTCCTTTCTACCAAGAAATTGTACTCACCCTGATCTAGCTCCAAGGTTACGCTCCTTCATAGAACACTTTCCAGGAATTACACACTTTGAGGATGTGAAGACAACCCCAGCAGGAAGGAGGTGTAGAGGTGCTCGAAGTCTATTTCATAATCATTTCCCACGTTCGCTTGCGCCGACCCTTTTCGGGAGGCTACACCATCACTGACGGCAAACCGAGGGTCAAGAAATCCCGTTTAACTCGTTCCGGGTTCGGGAATATTCATGTTCACTGCGATGTTATAGTACATCTCTCAGAACCTGGTTTAAATTTAGCTCTGTGAGCCTACGTACAGGAACCAAATAATTTCAACATGATTTCTGAATTTAAGGAAGCCTGTTTGTCAGGGCCATTGGCGACTACTTAAGATCATGTTTATGAGAACTGGCAAGCACCGTTACTTCGAATCTACTGCACAGCTTCAGATGTAAGGCTACGGCAGCAACACGAAAGACTGCCTAACAGCCGACCACATGTGTATGGTCCAGTATCACTGACCCAGACGTGGGCCGCAACCAGGATGGGATTACCTACTTCCACAGTCCATGCATCGGTAAATAGGCAGGACACTCATTTCTTCCAATGCCTTCTGATGTAGGAAATTAACAAGGTACGGGATCGTGACGCCTTCATTAATTGCGCCTTTTTGCGACCTCATTCAAGCTAGTCTCATAATCGTAGACGACCCGAGAAAAAAAGTACCACTGCTCATGCTAATTATACTGCACCTATCAGTACCTGCTCTATGTCTCATCCTGCGTCCAGAGAAGAGGAGGAAATACTGGAAAATTTTTCAGGTCGACATCTTAACCGTGCCTCCGTCATTTCTTAATCCCGGCGCTTGCCTGTATAACAGAGAACTCAGCAGCGTCCGCTGGATAGAGAAGCGACATCAGTCCCTTGAAGGTACTTAGCAAGGAAGAAAAGCTCGTAAAAAGAAGCTTGGCTAAATTTAGCAGCAAAATATGGAGTGGAGATGATATAATAAGTCCGCAGCTTACACGCAGAATAGATATCCGGGCGCTAGCGCGTAGGCGTAGGCAAAATACTCCAAAACAGTAAAAAAGCGGCAGAAAATGAACTATTAAATGAGATAGTAAGGGCTAGCATAGGGCAAAAATTGAATGCGGTGCGATAATAATATGCCAACAATATGCATGGTGGATACACTAAATCTATGATCATGGTGCATACTTGTAGCGCACCATCATCAGCACAACAGGCGTGGGCGCCAAAATGGAGGGGTTTCAACATGCGTTTACCGGGCGCATTCCAACAGTCCTAGCAGAAATTTCAGAATGGGGCTACATTGCAACATGGTGATGCACGTAGATTTCTGACCAAGAAGTCCAACTTTCACCAGCCACAATTAGTTGAAGATACTTCTAACATTCAAGCACCCGGCTCAAATTCCGGCGCTCGCACATTCCTACTTACCGTTCGGAAGAGTTGAAGGGAAATTATGATTTGAACAAGATAATCCAGAAAACAGAAAGCGTCCGGGCGCTGCTTGTCCATTTACCCGATTTGAAGTTGAAATCATGAGGTGGGGGGATTGAGAGATCCGAGACGCCGGGATCGCGTATCAGCAATTTGGTCATGTTGTGCAAACGATCGCGAACAGCGCGAATCTTACACATACGCACTTCTTGCCGACAACCTTCATGTAGGACATTCCATGAAGGATGGACTAGAGCTGCGGGCATATCTCTCTCTTTATACCCTCCATTTCCCATTCTTTCGAAACTTCGGGACGTACTCTTGGGTGTCCTGACCAACACCCATGTGGTTAGAATGACCCACAAGATGCAGAATACGGATGGTGCCAAGTCGGTACATTTACCCCGTTGACAATGATACCCCGTTCAGAAGGTGGGTGCCGCATCGACGGTCATGTGGAACTATTCGGTCTGTCTAGAGACCCTAATACTTATCTTTCCAGCTCTCTCTATCTAGGAAGAACCCCCTACGAAGAAATAGAACACGCTCTGGCGAGGAGATACCGCTGAGGATGTTGGAATGAAAATGCCTGAACATTTGTCCAGAAGAATGCGAAGGCGGAGATTTGGACCTCACTATCCTGTTCTTCGTGATGCGATGATGGCATCTTTCAATTTCCCTTTTTCTTCCCGACTATCAAAGCGTTCCGGGCAAGGCACAGGCAACATTCAACAGGGCGCCTCCGTCAAGCAATAATCCCTTCAAGCTGTGCCTGTCAGGGAGGACTTATGACGAAGGTACTTATACCTGTCGAATTCGCGGGGCGATTCTGTCCGGGGACCCTTCCATCTCTCTTCAAGATGCATCTTCTCTCCCTGTTCCTTTCACTCTCCCTCTTGCTCAGAGCCAGCGCAGCACCACCGGGCCTAACTATCCCCACCCAACAAGGCTCCGTTACCGGCACTCTCGTCTCCCCCACCGTACGACAGTTCCTCGGGATCCCCTACGCCACCGCGCAGCGTTGGCAGCCGCCCCAACTGCCGCCCAATCGCACCCGCACCTTTAACGCGAATAGGTTCGGAGACTCATGTTTCCAGAACCTCGTACCTCTCTTCGCGGACTACCTGCGCGTCGTGGGTGCCGGGGAAACACTCGACGTGCCGACCTCCGAGGATTGCTTGAGCGTGAACATCTGGTCTCCAAGCGTGGAGCGCCTCAGAGGGAAGCGGAAGGCAGCAGTGTTAATTTGGATATATGGTGGCGGGTTCATTGTTGGAACGGTTCGTACATTCATATGTGAATCCATAGAGTATCATCCAACTCACGTTCAATTTGACGGACAGAGCAACACCAGGTTCTATACTGGCCAGAATATCGTCTCTTCCAATGACGACATCATCGTCGTCTCCTTCAACTACCGCCTCGACGTCTTCGGACAGCCGAACGCGCCCCAGCTCGGGTCGGACAACCGCAACTTTGGGCTTTTGGATATCAAGGCGGCGGTGCACTGGGTGCATAATAATATCGCCGAGTTTGGAGGCGACCCAGAGAGAATCACCTTGTTTGGGCACAGCGCTGGTGCGCAGGCAGCAGATCTGTATGCCTTTGCGAACCCGGGGGATACATTCGTCAAAGGTGGGCCTCGAACGTGATTTCATGAATCTTGCACGATTTAGAAGACTGACTGCGATCATCCTCTTCGTCCAGGCATCATCCCACAATCCGGAACGTCAGTGTTCTTTCTAACCTCTTGAACCGACCACTCGTCCTTACCGTATTCTTGCCTACAGTGTCTCCGGTAGTGCGCTCATCGACCGTGTGCAAACCGACAGCATGGCCTGGACAACTGTCGCAACCGCTGTTGGATGCGGAAACGGTATGCTTCCAGATCTCCTTGGTAGTAGGATACCTCGCTTACCCCCTTCTCCATCGTTGCAAGCCGCCACTCCCGCGCAATTCACCTGCATGCGCAACATCAATCCCCGGACGTTGATCAATGCTGTCATCAGCACCGGAACGATCTTTGACAGGATCGTCGACAACGTCACGGATTTTGCGAACATCCCGGACCGCGTGGCTTCAGGGCAATTCCTCAAGGCGGCTTTCCTAGTGGGTAACACTCAGAACGAGGCAGATTCGCTCCTCGTCGCCACACAGCTGTCGACTGCGAATAGGATATTGCCGGGGCTTACGCAGGCGATTTCGGAGGTGCAGAGTCTGGTAAGAATGATGGGACTTTTTCTGTGCTCATGGATCTAATGGTGTCTCGTATGTGTCATATAGGTCAGCACTTGTCCTTCAGGTACCGCAGCTGTCCGCAGACGCACCGCGGGTGTACCAGTGTGGAGGTACCAATACCAAGGTCGGAAACTGATTTTGCCATCGTCCAAATATTTTCTTACCCTCATTTTCAGGCATATTCCCTAACCTTCGTCTCTACCCCGAAATGCGGGCATACCACCACGCTGAAATCCCAATGATATTTGGCACCTACGGGCTGAGCACTCTGCGCCCTGGCGTCAAGCCCACCGCCGACCAAGCTGCTTTGTCACGGTATGTGCAGCGCGCGTGGGTGGCATTCGCGCGCGACCCGCAACGCGGTCTTCTCGGGTTAGGGTGGCCCCAGTATGACCCCGAAACAAAGAGTATCGCGCAGCTGGGTAACCCAGTGTACAGTCCGACGGGGGTAACGTTCGCGCAGGGCAGCCTGGTGGACTGGGCATGCACGAACCAAACAGAGCTTGTGCAGGTGCAGAGTCAGCTTTTTGGGATAGTGTTGAGGCCATAAATAATGGAAGGAAAGAGAAATGCGCAAGTGATACTGTAGCATTTGTTAATAATGGGCCTATGTTTTGTCGTATCTTATTAATAATTCAAGTCAGGTGTTTGTACTTTGTGGTAATACCAGCGTAAAATGGGATATATTTTGTATTTTATGCCCGCTACTTAAAATACTGTACCTCGTTCTGATCCAGGATGCATCCACCTTGCCACTCCCTCGGGATCTACTACCAGCCCCGAGAATTCAGCAAGCTCTTCAAGGTAAGGCCACGTTCGCATGTGGCTCAGGTGTCCCTTGGTTCTGTTGGAAGCAATGGCGACGGAGAAGGATGCATTGTCGCCCGAGCCATCGTCTCTATCCCGCACACGTCAACAAGTCGAGCATCCAAGTGTTTCTGAACCATCAACTCTGTAGGCGGATGTAGGCGGCCAGTGAGCATTGAAAGGTATCCTGGTCATTGAGTAGAATTTTGTGTGCGCCAGCAAAGAGGAGATAGTTCTTGCTAATAGGAACGCCAATGGCGACGAGGTCGCCTTCCAATTTTTGGACTCGTTTCACAAAGATACTCTTTCAGCAACTGAAACCTGATTCTCAATCAGAGGTAGGAATTATTTCCGGATAAATTTATAATACGCAGGGTTTTTTCTCGCTTAGATTGGCCCTTTATTCACGGGGCCTCGGTCTCCATAGATGAAAGAGGCGTCGTCCATATGATTTCATCCTCTCCGCCAGACTCGGATTCAGACAAGTTGTCTTCACCTCGAGTTGAAAAAACCGGTAGCAAAAAAGGGTCCATATTCGAAACGGTTGAAGGGGTTGTAACAAGCCTTCCAGCATCAAGCAGGGTATTTCTTTGAGGCACAGTACGCTGGCGCATTTTTGAGTTTAACACCAGTCTGGGAAACGCGGGCGAAGAGACGACTTACATACCTTGAGATAAGAGCTAACTTCCTTCTCGAGCACGGAAGCCCGTTGCCCATGATCGACGCGTACCCTAGGGTCGATGACATGGCTTAAGAGAAAATAGATCAATTCCTCGCAGTACGTCGAGCGAGAAATCAAGGTTGTTGCACAATCCAGGAGGCCATCTTCGAGTTCGTAGGTTCGGACAAAAGGAGACTGGTCTTTGGGACGAATAACTTCTAACCATCTACACAATTGCCTGGGTCAGCGTGAACTTGCGTTGATGGCGAAGTATGTTACCTTGGTCGGCGTTGATAGAGGTTCCGGACGACACGGAGCGTAGCTTTCCCATAATCAATGTGAATTGGTTGATCTGAGAGGACTGCCTCAGCCTCGACGAACTGGGATAGCAGTGTGAGATATTGCATCTCGCGGACGAGTGCGCAGACTACGGGCAATGAATTCTGGACTCCGCGAACAGGTCTCAAACAGACTACCAGCTCCCCACTGAAGGGTGCCCTCGCAGGAGCTTTGCTGGATCCTGCGGGTTGCATGACTGGAAACATATGCTCCACTCCCCTGGCCAATTCCATCATATCATCCAGACGTGGGTCTTCAACCAACGGACGAAGCTTATTGAAGAGAAACAAGCTATAATGTTTGACATGCCGGACGAACAGAGAAGGGTGGGCGGATGCGAACACCTGTAGGACAATTATATTAGGCAAAAGAAGGGTCAGAACGTAGACTACCTCACATTGGCTGAGGAAAGACAGAGGAAGAATGACGAGAGCCAGGACCAGAGGAACTCTATATTTGTTCTGCCTTGATTACAGCGAGAAGTGTTGAAGGTCTTGAAAAGCAGTCCCATATCAAATGAATGCACTGCCCCATGAAGTTCGCTTGATAGAGATGCTTGCATAGAGTGCGCTATAATCGGCGTCCAAAATTTGCTCTGGATGTCTGGGTCATAAATCGAAGGATCTGTAGCGCCAAGTGCCAAGTATCAGTGAGAGCGAAGATAGCTGAGTGTTTGGAAAATTACCTTGATTGAGAGATTCAAGGTAGCGGATACACCCTATGGCCAGCTTCGCATGAGCGTTTCCGATGTTTGCATGAAATTGCTTTGACCTTCTCGGGTCGAGCAGAAATTCAACGAAGGACGCGTGCATGATGCGAACCGGTTCGTAAGGATTGCCAACATGGACAAGAGAAGCGAGATCGACCAGGAAAACTTTGATGTCTCCAGACTGCAGGAGAAGCAGCTTCTCCAGGACAGCTGGTGTAGGAAATTCCGTGAAGTCGTCATTACTTCGGCGAGGAATGGTTAAGATGGAGAGGATTTCTAGCACGGCCGTGATGTTTGCGCTCTCGACGGAAGAGAGGATATGGTCATAGAGAGCATCGAGTTGGGAGAAAGGGGTGTCATGGTGAGGAATGGAGGAGAGATTGAGGATGATGTTCAGGCGGTCGGCCGGCTTGTGCTTAATCGACCTGACGTATTCGACGACAATATTGGCATAGATGAATTGACCGGAAGCTCTAGCGGTGAGTTCCTCTATTAAGTGTCGCTTTGGCCAGCCCGGAGGAAGGGTATCTTTGAAAGGGTGAGATGATCTGATTTCCTTCAATTCTCGTTCGAGATACGTCCCGATGTCTTCTTGAGCACTGGTATCATCCGAAAGGTCCATTTGGACGATCCTCATCCGCATGTTCGCAGCGATCAGGCCTATGACTTGACAGATGTGGGGTTCAGCCCTGCTTGCCACGAAGAACTTGAACGGCAGAACCAGATCCTTCATAGCTTTCCCGAGAACCTGGAGCAAATCACCTTGCAAGGCGACGTCAGAGCACTCGTCGAGCCCGTCGATGATGATAACACGCGGGGTGCGAGCTTGAGAGCCAGTAATTTTGCCAATGTATGACTTGAGCTTGTTGGGCTTGCTCGCTTTGTTGAGCGGCTCGATGATGAGTTTCTGCATCTGGACCCCATGCGTGCGCTGAAAGATTCCTGAGTCACGTTCTACGACTTTTTTGATATGGGCGCAAAGGGCAGGAAGGGATTGAGATAACTGGAAGGCCAACGTCGGGATAAGGAGCCGGCCGTCACTTCTATTTGCGGCGGTGCGGGCAAAGAAAAAGGTGGCGGCCAGACGTCCAGTCTTGGAGCAATGTTCCGATAACCATTGTGCGAGCGCTGTCTTCCCAGAGCCAGCTGGTCCATATAGCCAGAGAAACGACGAGCTTTCTTCTTCTCTAGAGGCCCATGCTTCTAGTCGAGCTCGAAAAGCGACACGTGTTTCTGGATGACATCTTGGAGGATCGGATCGCTCTACAGAATCGTAAAGAGCACCAAGGGCACTGTGCCTTCGCAGGACGTCGATCCCTGTTGTCGATGTAGCAGTAAGCATGGCGGACAGAAGAGGGTCTGCATAATGCTGCGTACCCGTATGACCGGCGTCAACTGTGGTTGTTGGGTAATTCTGCGTCGTGCTGAGGAAGTTTCCGCCGGTGATCAGAACATTCTCGGCATGCGCGACAGTGGCCTGGCGCGACATGACTTCGTGGTAGTCATTCGTTTATATAGTCATAAGTAAAGGCATTAGAAAAGGATGTTAGGGGCTGTTAGGGGAAGATCTAGAAGGATGCCGTAAGGAAAGCGCCCTTCTTGCCAAGAAAAGTCCCACAGCGCAAACGATATCGCTTTCCGATTTTCGCAGATTCCCAAATTATTGAGGCCTCGAAGATTGACACCCTCTTCGATTCGAACAAAAGCGCCCTCTGAGAGCTTAGATTCCGCAATGTGTGTAAATGCCTCGAAACAAGTGCTCACTTGGAAACAGTTTGACTTCAGTGATTGTTCCATATTCTGTAGACCTTTAAATTGGATTGCGCTGTCCTCATTGCACTGAAGTTCAGAAAGAATAACCTAGTAGATACAAGCGTTTAGAGGATAGAGAGAGCTGCTCGGTCGTCCGACGTCCGTTGCAACGGCTTGGAGAGAAGAGGAGGGAAAGCCTTTGAATTTGCTCTTCGTAAGTCAAGCTCGGGATATTCCACTTGCAGATACTCTTAGTTATTTACATTCCCTTCCTGTGGTTTTTGCCATGACCTGCGATGAAGATTACTCCGTAACGCTATCCTAAGCTGGCTTCAAGTCGTCTTTTAGGTCCTACAAAGGTGCGGATGAGATGAGATACATGCTATATTTTGTCTGAGAACTACCTCGACGTCTTCGCCTCCGATGCTCAACCTGAGCATACGAGGGTCAGCATCTCAATATAATGCTTTCGACGCCGCCCAAGCTAGTTGCGGGCGGCTCAGGAAGGTGGTTAGGACCTCGACAGTGGAAGCAAGTAGAGGATTAACTGATGATAAAGTACTTCGAGAGGTGAGGGAATCGTCAAGCACGCTCCGGTTTCGAGAGCTACAGTAAACGAAGCTCAGATCCAGAGATCGTGGCATTTCGGGAAGGACCTTTAGTACCTATATAGCAAAAGTGGCGTTCCAACCTCCCTGCATTTGCTTATTGGGGTCGAATCCTCGCTTGTCTACCCCTTGCAAAGCGGAATGCGAGACTTGAGCCACAACGCCACCAGGAACACCGTCAAAAATGTGTCCGACAGGCGTTTTAGCCACGGAACCTAGGCATTGCGCAAGAATAGTGGCAGGGGCGGATTGGCGGGGCACTCTCAAATGTAGGGTTCTGAAGGAACGAAGGAGAAGCCACGACTCGAGTGAGCCCATCATACCGGCCAGGAGAGTTCTATCAGTATGCAGCTGTAGCATTCATTAGCTTCAATGGCGGGCAGACTTTAGGTCAAGCACACCTGGTTCCACTCGTCCAAGGTCTTAACAACCAGCACGCCGGCCAGCAAGTTGGTGGACGAATTGTGCAACCGAATATAGAAGCACGCAATAATCTGCAATAATAAATGGTGCCGGTGACTGGTGACTCATCGTCCTCATAGATCCCGTGAACCACCCCTTCGACGCTGAAACCTTTTTAGAAAACCGGTGTATTTCATGATAGCTGTAACGTATCTAAAGGGCCACAGGAGTCGAACAGAAAAACGAGGGAAATGGCCTTTTTGTTCACAAGCGCATTATAAGTTGTTTGATTCCAGACATCCACATTCCAATATCGTCCGTTTGCGATCCACGGGTCAACAATTCGACGTGAATAGCCAGTGCGTTAGGACGATCGCGTGCATCCATAGCTATGAAATGCAAAACATTAGAACAGAGGGTTAGAACCAAAAAGACACAATGTACCTCTCGTCAGCACAACGAGTTGATCAACCACAGGACGAGACAGAGTTTCGCAATTCAGAGCGTCGAAAAGAGGGTTGATTCGCCGTTCCAAATCGTCGACGAGACGCTTTTGGTTGGGCTGCGACCACAGTAATCAGTACAGCGTTAGAATCTCCTGGGACCAAGAAACTCACGGGCGTCGTTTGCCTCAACCTGTTCAGGTGCTCCGAAATGGACTCGTATGCGGACAGAGCATAATCCGGTATATGGCTTCGGTCACCAACAGCTATCATCGAACTCAGTCAAGAATCGTTGTCCTCAATTGACCGTACTCACGGTATTTGGGGGCAGGAGGCGCCGCCTTTACAGATGCTGCCCTTGGAGGTGCGCGAGCTGGGCCTCCAGGAGGGCCGGGCGGAGGCCCACTAGCTTGTGGAGGCGGTGGGGGGGGACCCTGCGATGAAGGTGGGCCTTGTATGTGTTGGGGTTGCTGCAACCCTTGCGGAGGAGCATACGGGCCGGGCGGTGGTGGTGCCTGCTGATGCTGGTGTGGAGGAGGTCCGCCCATCAACATTGACGGTCCTGGTGCCTGGGGCGGCGATGTCGTCCTTGAATATGGGTTGGGCGCGGAGGGTTGGCCAAGTTGCCCTTGCTGAGGCGGAGGTGGTGGCCTACTGAACTGCGAAGGGTTGGGCGATGGCGGCGCCTGTCCAGGAATCGGTCCTCTTGGAGGTGGGGCGTATTGGCTGGGAGTCGGTTGACGATTTGGTGGCAAGGATGCCGGAGCGCCTTGCGGCGGCGACATCAAGCGAGACGGAGGCGGTGGAAGCTGTCCACCTGTCGTCGATGGCGGCCTTGCTGGAAATGCACCACCAGCTAGTGGGGGGCCAGGGTGTATACGTCCTGCCGGTCCTTGTGGCGGCGGAGGAACCGGCCCGCGATTGACGCTTCCGGGCCGAGGAGGTGGTGGAAGGGTACCTGAATTTTGGCTCATGTACGGCGAACCTTGAGGCGAAAAGCCAGGGGAGGGTGCCGCATTAGGGAAGGGCGACGTGATGGCGGCCGGTTTGCTGAGATGGAGGGGTGCCGGAGTTCGACTAGTAGGAACGGAAGGGGCATCGTTCCAACCTCCAGCATCTCGCTTAGGCGGTGGAGGTGGTTGGGCAAGGCTCGATGGCGTTCCGTTTGCCGCACGGGGTGGTGGCGGGAACGTGTTCGCCGTTGGAGCAGGAGGCTGTTGTGGTCGAAGATGTGGTTGCGTAAGGGATGCTTGCGGGGCATACGGAGTGTTGTAGCTCGGGGCAGCAGGTGCATATGTAGATTGTTGCTGCGCAGGAGGAGCGTACATAGATTGTGGCTGAGCAGGAGGTGCATACGCGTTATGCTGAGGAGCAGATGGGGCGTATGCGTGGCTCTGAGTGGCAGGTGCTTCAAAAGATTGGTAGGCTATGGGACGCTGTTGTTGAGGGATGGCGGGTTGAGCAGGCGCCGCATATCCTGTGTAGCCTCCGTAAGCCGTTCTGGTCGTGGTAGCAGCAGCAGCAGACGCCGGTTTTGTCGAGCTGGACGCCACGGCTGAGGTGCTGGCAATTGGGCCAGGACCAGCAGCACCGTTCAACCTCTTCCTCTCCGACTCGAGATCCGCACCAGGTGCAGATCCTTTGTAGCTGACGGGTGTCAGATCCAGGAATTTGACGGCCTCCTTCACCAACCCTTGCGTCGAGAGCAGTTCTGCATATTCGAAGTAACGATCATACAAAGGGGCAAGCGTATACGCCTGGGCAGGCTCAGTAGCCGAAGCAGGTTGGCTGAGCGCTTGATCCTTGTAGTTCGTCGCAGCCCGGAAGACCGTAACTTTCTCCACGAACGTCTGGAGGGCATGAGCATGGGCCGAATAGAATGTTCCACCCTGATTCTTCGGGTCAGCGACGAGCGCCTTCTCTTCCTCCACCAGCTCCTCCAACCATATGCTGACTAATCTTTCCAGACGGGCCGAAGCAAGATATGTAAGCGTGGCATTCTTCCTATACGCATACGCCTCTCGCTCGCTCTCTGCATCACCATCGGCACTGGCAACCTTGAACCGGTACTCAAGCCTGCTTCCCAATTGCTCGGCGAGGGTCGAGAATTCGTCGTTGTTGGCGAAAGTGCAAAGGACAACAAAGATCTCTCTCCATTCTGCCAGGTCCGCGTTCTGCACGATGTCGCCGAGATCGCTATTGACAATGCTCTGGAAGAGACGGAGGTAGGCGACCTGGTTGGTACGGCGCTCGAAGTACGCCTTCTGTGTACGCTGGAGTAGCTCAGGACCACCACGAACAGCGAGCAGGATGGCATCCGCGAACCTGTCGGCGGAAAGGCATAGTGATACAGCAGACTCAAAGTCGCCGAGGACGAGCGCCCTGGTGATGAGCCTATCGATATCCGTTTCCTCAGTCGGGTAGATCTTGAAACCATTGTTCTTCATCGTCTCTGAGGTCACAGAGGAGGGTCCAGATCCGATGGTGGCCGCTACGGAAGAGTCGAGCCCGTAGTTGGTGTGAGGGACGAGGACAGGATGAGACTCGCCATCGTCCTGAGCAACGCCTACAGTGTTGAAGAAATCGTGCTGGGGCGTGCCGGGAATGTCGTCCCCAAAGAGACTCGGAGCAGTCGTGTTTGACTCGCCATCAGCCTGATGTGTAGCACTCGCAGTGTCCGACGTAACCCCAGCGCTGACCTCAGAGGGAGTTTGCTCCTCCAGAGGGGTACTGTCGCCAGGGTCGCTGCGGTCGGAGGGCACCTCTTGACTTTCTGGCTCGGCAAACGACACGACCGACTCGTGAGGTTTGGACATGGTGATATCCTCTTCCTCCTCCAAAGGGGATTTGGCCGACTTCAAGTTTTCCACAGCTTCCGCCACCCTCGCCGCGATTTCTTCCTTGGAGAAACCGAGTAGAGTGACGAGCTCGTTCCTGGAGTTTGCCTTAAACAGACTCAAAAGCGCCTTCCATCCCTCGCCACCTTTCTCGTCCATCCTTCCTTCTGCGAATGTCTGCAAGGTATCATTGTCGATGGCCTCTTGCAACTTGGTAGCACGCTCGACGAGGTCAGCCTCTGTTACGGCCTTCCTGAGGTGCACGACACTGGACTGGGTTTTGCCTTGCGCGGAGGCAAGGTTCGACACCGTGATAAGTTTGCCACCAAAGCCGAAGGAGCTGGACACTGGGCGCCGGAGCCATTTGGGCGGTTGCTTGAGCGAGAGCGTGCCCTGGTTGGCGCCACGGGAGAAACCAGGGGTATCGAAGATATCAGCGCCGTCAGCACGGGGCGCAGGTGTTCGAGAGTCGGCAGTCGTCTCGTTGGTAGATTGCAACGAATGTATGCCAATCGTACCATCGAAGAACGCCGTGGCTAGCATATCGGGGTTGCGCGGGCACCAGTCGACTTGGAATGCCCAGTTGTCTGCAGAGGGAAGCTCGCCGATGATCTCGGACGTCTGTGGGTTCCAGCATAGCGCTCGGTTGTCTTTACCGCAGGAGAGAAGGAGGTCGGCATCTTGCTTGCACCATGAAAGAGAGAGAACGCCCTTCTCGTGCCCTGTGAGGATCTGGGGTCATTGGGTTAGGGTAAAAAAAATCACGAGAGTTGTGGCGCAACAAACTTTCTCTGGCGCACGCGCATTACGCAGATCCCAAACCATGATGATCGGGGAAGAGTCGTCTTCTGAGGCTGTCACAACTCTGGTAGCCTGTCAAGCAGATAAAGATTAACGAAGCGATGAAAGATGAGACTGTTCATACATTATCGGGATGCCATGCAATGTCGCTCATACCGCGTCGGCCACCGACAGCCATGCCAGCTCCAGCTCCACTCTGACCTGCCAGAGTGCCTGCTCCACCTCCATAGGCGAGGGCAACGACTTCACGCTTTCCTCGCAGATCCCAAACGACAGTGTAGCCGGTGCTGCTTGCGCCAGCGAGAACGTACTGCACTTGCTGATTCCACGCAACGGACGTAATTTCGTCGAGCTTTGTGCTACGACTGCCTGGTGTTGGCGAGTAAGGCTTGCTAGGGTCTTTCAAATCCCAGATAAAAACCTAGGATACGATTAAAAGTTGGGAGGTGGTAGATAGGTGCTACGACGTTACCTCCCCACTGATACCGCCCGAAGCAAGGAGATTGCTTTGGATAGGGTTGAAATCTAATCCTCGAACTGGACCCGTGTGCGTTGTGTTGCGCAAAATGAGAGAATCAGCAGTACTACAAAGACACCATAAGTTAAATCAACCTCGCTAGAAAATACCACATACCCAGCGCCGGCTAGAATTTTGGCTGGATCCCACAGGGCGAGTTCTCCATTCTCCAGACCCGCTGCAATCACGCCTTGCGGGCGGGTTGCATCACCATAACCCCATGCCAGACGATTAAACCTGTACCACGAATCCAAAGTTAGATTGCTGGACGACTTCTGCTTCAACAACTCTCTGACCTGGCATTATCCGTCACATGGCCTTTTGGTCCGTGTAGTCCCTCAACGCCGAGATCGAATTCATCTTTGTCGAGAAAATTCGGAGCCCAGATCTCCAGCTGGCTTTCGTTGCTGAACGATTCGTCAAGAGCTCCTGCTACGGTTCCCGTGGCCAGCAGCGGAAGCGACGCAGAGGGAGACCATGCGAATGTCGACGTCCTGTGAATTTCCTTTAACTTCATGGAATATTAGAGCGGAGAAGCGCGTCGTGGTGGTAGACGTATCAGCAGCGGGGGACACGTCGGTCATTCAGGGTCCGGCCCTAATGCATAAATCATCACGTGAGTGTCAATGCCTACTGTCGCGGCTGACATTTAACCAGACCTACCTTAACATCCTTTTCGTCACATCGTGAAGTTTTGTCAGTGTTCAAACATTCACCGACAAGCTTTGTTCTTCACGACTCGCGACAATGTACAAGCTATTTCAATTGCAAGATCTGGACAAGTGTCAAGTGAAATAATGTCGATTTCGCCGGATGGTCGCTTTCAACCCCAACATACACTAGATTCACGTCGGTATCTTCGAAATATCTCTCCGACGCATTCAGGCCATAATTTCCGTCAAAAGGTCGTCGGGCCATCTGGGCTTGTCAATCCCATTTCCCCTGGACCCTATGTTGTATCCCAATCTGATGGCACCTTGTGGAAATTGAAGGATAGGCTTTACCGTCTTAACAGGAACTCCTATGGCCCTATTCTCGCGTATCTCGAAGAAGTCCTGTTGAAAGATAATTGCCCCCTTGATCATGTCCATGACTCGAGGGATTGTGATCGCCATGTTGTCGGTATGCACGAAGACTGGTCGACCATACAACGACCGTAGGGCTTCCCACACGGCTGGTGGGTATTTGCCACAAGTGTCAACGAGCCATTGGTTGTAATAGTTCAGGGCCACCTGGGTATTGCGATTAGTTGACCTTCGCATCTTGAGGAATAAAGACGCACATCTACCACAAAGGATCCGCCTTTCTCCGATTTTTCTATCAGTGCTTGCAGGACTCCGGTCGCGCCTGCCACTCCAGTACTGCCAGTCGACCGAGCATTAACACCGTTCAGGAAGATAAAAGGCTCAATACGAACGAGTAATCAGAGTTGGGGAAGACCGGTGTCACAGGTTCGTCATTCCCCATCGCCCTCCCGTACTCCAATGACACGCCACTGTTCTACAGGAAAGGACTCAGCACAGGCCGAAAGTTCGTGGCTCGACTCACAGCATCACTAATTTGCTGCCACCCCGATCGATATGCCCATGGCCCTCTCCACCCGTAACAATTCTCATGCACATAGATGATACCCCTTTCTTTATCCTTGAACATGCCCAAGATATCGTCCTTTCCGAACCCCCATTTTTGCATCACGCCTGGCCTGTATCCATCAACGACAACGTCGCTTTCCTCGACCAACGCTCGAAGCGTCGCTCTGTCCTCTTCCTTCTTCAGGTCGAGATAGGCGTTCCACTTTCCCCAACTCAGGTCGACGCCCATGATAGTAAGGTCTGTAACGTTCGGAGATGTTATGCGGAGGACGCTCGCTCCGAGCTCAGCAAGCTCTCTGGCTATTGTCGGCCCTGCGATGATTCGGGTCAAGTCAAGAACCTTGAGCCCGAACAAAGGCCGAGCAGCGGAGGTGTGCCCTTCAACAGGTGTCCACCATCCAGGCGCTTGCTTGGGGTTTGGGATGTGGTGTACCTCGAATAACCCAACATTTGCGTTGGCCTTGCCATGCTCGCTGGCCTTGTATTCTTCTGTGGACCAGCAGGTCGTGCCAGCTTGCCGATACTGGTCGTTTATGAGTGCCTCGATATCGGTTGCATTGTGGTGTGATATTTTTCCTTCATAGATTCGGCAAGAGTCTTCATGGGTCAAGTCCTTCGTATCAAGCAAGTTGTCAAGTCCTAATGCCTCTTGAGATGGGGCGGCGTTCAGGCTCGCTATAGGAATGTTGGTGAGATAGATTTTATGTTGGAGGCGAATCGGAAATACCATGCAAATGGAAAAATCGACCGTCTTTAGTTCTGTAGATATTGGTACAGTCGTCCGAGAATTTTGTCCTCTTGCCTTGGCCATGATACAGGTCTCCGTCCGGATAATATTTCGCATAGTTGGCGTCTATGTACGCTATCTTCTCTCCGTCTGGATCGACAGTGGCGACAATAACTGACATGATGAACAACTGTGCGTGATCCCTTCGAACAAATGCAATCAGCATAAAATGACGTCGATGGCAGGAGTAATCTATGACCTACGTATTGATTCGGATGTCCTGGTAGTCGACTCCGTACTTCTTCTGGAGGAAGACGTTAAGCATGGAAGCCTGGAATGCCTTGATCGCAGAGATGCTCTCCGCAAAGCGCCAGACAATCGGAAGGGTCGGCGACGGACTGCCATCCAGTTTGACATGCTCAGCCGCCTCACGCATTTCTTTCGGGGCAGATGCGTGAAGAGGGTTATTGATCAGGCCTCTCCAGAACAGGTCGTGCGCTTCGAGGGGAACAGAGTACTGTGCCATGCGAAAAGGGGGGTTTAAGCTCGAGACTGGAATACGGAGCTCGCGCTTCACCGAGCTATATATGTAGGAAAATTAGAAGCGCGCGTGGGATATCGCGGGCTTTCTTAGATCAGGTGTTTCCGATAAAAGCGATTCCTGACCCAATAATAGAGCTTCCAGCAGTGCTCGGAATGACCCTGGATAATTAGCTTCTTCAATTTATATGTTTTCCTCCAGCAGAAAGCAAAGTTGGATTTCGCTTCAAGCTTCATCCGAGATCTCTTGCTTGAAAATCGTGTGGCGTGCGCCACATGGAAATGATTTCCTAACTTGGTCACGCTCCGACCCTGGGCTTATGCAATTGTCTGCTCTACGATGTAATGGCTAGTAAAGGGCTAGAAAACTTATTGATAGCAAAGACACAGTCTAATAACCTTGCCTAGAATATATTTATTAATATCACGGGGAGACAATATCTAAGTCGGTAGGTATCTACTAGCATCAGGAGAGCACACCCCCGCCCTCATTCTCGGCTGAGGCTGTGAATTGAAGATTTTATTGTATGGCAGTTAGTGAGCTCGTATTATCACGTGGGTGTAGATCGTTGATCGCGAATACCAAAGGCTAGAGTAGAAGCTTGAAAGTGAAGGGAAGACCATAGTACATAAACAAATTTGAAGGCAATGGGCGTGACATTACCTTTTTTTTTTAAAAAAAAAAAGAAAGGAAACCGTACTCCTGTGTCGATTTTCATCAGGTGCCCCCTCGAAGTCACTTCGAAGCTCGAACGAGCGAACGAAGGCAGCCTACACTCAGCACCAGCACCGCGTCTCCACGGAGTCCAGAACAGAATAAGAGACAGCCAAAAGGCTCATATTACTTAAAGACTGCTTTTAAGACGCAAAGGCAGACCACGACGGGAAAGTCAACGAGGTGAACAGGGCTAGGTCGAGACCAAATTATATCCGGTGCCTATATCGCTTTGAGGACACAACATCAAAATTTATCTGCTGTGCGCTGCGGATGGCTAAATTGAAACCCAGAACCCGCGAAGGGACGAAGGGGGAGGTGTGGGAGCAACCGTGGGCGTTCGAAGAAGAGATATCCTCCTTCGCGTGCGGTGCTCGGATGTCGAAATCGAGCACAAGCTGGGGGTCGATAGGTTTTGATGGGTCGACGTGGTGGGGGATGACATTCTGCGGCAGACTGGCGATAAAACTACACCTGGGGTTAGGTTTATATACAGGCTGCGGTAAATATCTTGGGGATTCTCACATAGCTCCCATAGATTGAGTGTTGTGGGCGCGTTGGGACCACAAGTTTTGTCGTTGAGATTCCGATTTTGGTAGTCATACTGCCAAATCGGGAGTTCACGCCCCTATCCCAAACTGTTTGTAATACGAACCGGCCGGCTTCAAGCAGGATGGAAATATAGATATTATTGTTCAAAATTTAAGTAAATATACAAATCTGGGAGATCATCCATACGTCGCGCATTGCACGCAAACAGAGGAAGAGAGAGTCGGGAACGAAAAAAAATATTATTTGGAATTATGTATAAGCAGCTTTAATGATATCAGAAGCACGTTCAGCAATGACATAGACACATGACTGGGTGTGTCCACTTGGTATGCGAGGCTGTTTTAAGAACCATGTGATGTAAGAATAACGTCGAAAGAAGACGGCGAGCACTTACGAAAACGGATGCATCGACCACCCTGAGACCCGATATTTTCTTTACCCTGAGATCAGGATCAAGGACGCCTTTCTTCGAACCCTTCGGCGACATGAACGCAGTTCCAGTAGGATGGAAGAAAGTGCCGGCCTCAGCGTTGATATACTCATCTAACTGCTCGTCCGTGGTCGCGCCGGCCAGATCTCCCGCACCGCCACGGACATAGTCATCCCAAACAGGTGCCGTCAAGAACTTGAAGGCGTGTCGAAGAGCAGCGCGCATCATCCGTCTATCAGATTCCTCCTTGAGAAGAGCAAGGTCAATGAGTGGCATAGCGAATGGGTCAGTGGAGTTAATTGTAAGAGAACCGATCGAGGATGGCGACACGATCGCCGTCGCAACGCTGAAGATGGGTTGGCCAGGTGGAACGAAAGCATTCGGTACAATGAGGCCGTTCTTTTGACGCAGTGAGATTCTATCAAGGTATGCGACTTGGAAGAAAAGACTTACCGCGAAGAGGTGCTCGAAATGTGGCGTCTCCGGTCCAGGTGCAGGGTCCGGATTTGGTATGTCGGCGCCTTCGACACGATGAAATCCGACCAAGGACGCAACTGTGTTCACGAGTGGGCCGGTACCGGACTTCTTCCACTCCTTTAAGAGTTGGGCTGTCACGTTGGGCTGTCGAATGCGCTCGAAGGTGTCGTTTCCTAAAGCAACAAACGGATTCGCGATGGCTGAGTGGTCGGCAAGATTTTGTCCAACATCTGGGAGGTCAACGAGAGGCTTGATTCCGAGGGCGTTGAGCGCCTTGGCGTCGCCGATACCCGAGTTAAGCAAAATATGAGGAGAGCCGATGGCTCCTGCCGAAAGAATGACTTCCTTCTTCGCTGTGAGTTGGGTGAGGCGTTTGCGAGATCGGTGCCTGAACTCGACAGTCAAGAATGATGGTGTCTTGCTACGCGACGTTTGAATGAGACGGGACACCTGGGCGTTGACCAGAACGTGAAGGTTGGGTCGCTTTAGGTAACGAGGCGCAAGGTATGCTGTGGCAGAGCTCGCTCGTCTCCCATTTTCGTCCACTGTTACTTGCAGGAAACCTGTCAACCAAACAATGTCGTCTTAGCTTCTTTCTTCCACCCAAATATTCAAACTTACCAACACCGAGAGGTTTTCCGTTATTGTAATCCTCCACATACGAAAAGCCTCCACCGAGTTGCTGCGTAGCAGTGACTACCTTCGAATCAATGGGTGTTTCGAAGCCAGGAAGGCTGACGGCCAGAGGGCCTTTGAACCCGTGAACAGATGGCGTAAACTGCCCTGTGATATTATGACGATCCGCAGGAAGGACGAATTTCTCATTCTTCTTGAAGTACGGGAAAAGACTATTCCACGACCACCCTTGGTCTCCCGTGATTTTTGCGATTCGATCATAGTCTTCTCTGGTCGACCGGGTATACATCAGAAAATCTATAAACGTTGAGTTATGATGAGTAGAATGAGCAGCCGTGGGGCCTACTGATGGAACTGCTTCCTCCAAGAACATGACCACGAGGAATAATCGCCGACTTCCCACCCAAACCGGGCTGTGGAACAGTAGTGTAATTCCAGTCGTATTGAGTGAACCAGTTGTTGATAGCGAAGAAAGGGACTTCTGAGTTTATTATGCCCTCGTGCCTGTAAATAGTCAGCACACGACTCGATCAAGATGCATATCTGGCTTACGACGGGCCCGCTTCGATAACCAAAACAGAGAACTTGGGGTTCTCGGTCAACCTATTGGCGACCACATTGCCTGCAGTTCCACCTACACGGTTGGGACAAATGAGATAATTATGAAGTGTGAAATGGCAGAGCCATGGACTGACCACCGACGATGATGAAATCGAAGTGAATGTTGTCAATCTCATCCACACTGTCATGAATTGGAGCCGCAAGGGCGACATGGAAAGTCCCCAATATGCGCAAAAAGGCGACCGAGAAGAGAAGGTTGGACGACCACATCTTCAGGCGGCTTGGTGTCCTGAGGGTGTCAGAGTAGTCCACCTTTATATGCAAAAGCAGAAAAGACAGATCCGCTGAATACAGAAAAGGGAAATAGCGAAATGGATCGGGAGGTCCAAATCCTGCCAGTTGAGCGTCCGCAAAATGGTTGAATGTTCGGGAAGATACCCCCGGAGTCGAGGCACGACAAGGGTGACAAGTACAAGCATCGGACAGACTCGGCGCAGGAGTGCGTGCGAGACGATTATTGTCCTGGATTAGTTCGGACACCCTGAGGGACGTGTTTCATTTTGCAACTAGCTCAAAAAGTTACTATGAGCGGTATTAAACTGCTAAGAACAAGCTACCCACTTCACCAGAGCATTTGGGTGGCAAGGTGCCGCTTGCCCTTGACAACGATCCCGCTTCAGGTTCAGCCACCATCCACCCGGCGTGCATTAAACATCCTCCTGAAAGCGTCAGGGTGCTGCCATCATACTCGAGGTCGAGGTTTGAAGGCATACGAGACAATCACATAGTTAAGGGTAAACCCGGAGAGGAGTCGATAGGAGTCGATCGTGAACTTGGGTAAGAATCAAGCTTACATGACAGGGTGCGGACTGTCACTGCAGCTGTGTGGACCCGAGTCCTCTAACAGTGCCCGAAAACATGTGCGGGACCGGTGCTTGGGCATACGAGTCTCGGCCTCCTAGTGACGCGTACTCGTTCACCCGACGTCTGCCGCTGAGCTCTTGTGTGCCGTTGAGTCTAGAGGATTGGAGATGTCGTGGACGGAGCCAGAGAACGCCTGCGCAGTAGTGCTAAACGTCCTAAGCTTGGAAAAAGGTGAGCTTTCGGCCATTCTCAGTACCGTCCACGCTTGCACACCTCTGTCGCAGCCGTCACCTTGACCACCTTCCGCCATGTTTAACATCGTTTACGATTTCAATATCGCGAACCAAAGGGATATAGAAGGATTAGGCACCTTTTCATCGAAAGAGTCAGATTCACCCTAGCTTATTATATTGAGGTATCGTAATTTATACCGCGAGATAAATATAAAATGTGCGGTAATGCACAACAGATAGGAACGAGCGGGAGACAGAACCGGGGTGAAGTGGTGGGTCTATGGAGCGATTACAGGTCCTTGGCTAGTATTTGACGTAAATTGTCATGTTCTTCGGCAGTCTTAAGGGATTAAAACAATGAAGAGGGCTCGTGAATGTGGATGGGAATGGGAGGAGGCAGAAGTTGTTGTGGGGGCGATTCTTGGCTATTAATCGCGGGCGTGTGAAAAGAGAGATAAGATAATCGAGATCTCGACTTTATGTTCGCGCCTTGCGACACAAGAGTTTCCACTTGCTCCTGCTCACCATGCAGCAATTCGCTCATATTTAACTCTCTCCCGCGTCCACGCCACTACTACTAGTAGCGCCCGTTCACCTGAACCCGCTCACCGCGATACACAACCCCCCAAACGCCTTCAAAACCTGACAGACCTCCCCAACTGACCCGTCACTCCTGTGCTAGCATCCGGCCCACCTCAATATTATGTAGATCCCGTAGCCCCGTACGCTACATTCACCTCACTCACACAGCGTCAAGAAAGACCTCCGTCAATTTGTTGGAGTCGAAAGAGAAGATCAGGTTCGATGGCGGGATTCTGCGCGAGTATAGTCAAGCGAGGAAGAGTCTTTTGTTCAAAAGGCACGTTCAATTTTCGCCTTCTTGGTTCAGGCGCAGACGCAGAAGAATCAGCACCCCGTCCCACGTCCTCGACCTCCATGGTACCTCACTCGCCGTTCGTATTCTGTCCCCAGCCTTTCTCCCGGCCCATCCTCGACACCATCTGCTCTATCACCACCATCACCTCGTCGCGAGAATGCCTTCGGTCTCCTAGTCGCCACCGTCGACTTTGCTGACGAGCAAGCACCAGCTGCTGAAGCTGCGCCTGTGCTCGCTGAGGAGGGTGTAGACGGACCTGAAGCAGGTTAGGGCAGCGTACCAGGTACGTCATGCAAGTAAAAGAGTGCCTTCACGAATCGGGAGTAACTCGGAACGAGAACCGAAAGGTGTTGCCAAACAGTAATCGTAATGCATGCTGTCTCGTTGTAGATTACTCAGAATAAAGTTTCTCATATTTTGCTCTGCTCTCAACAGATAAACAGTATGTGTCCTACTTATGATGATAAAGAGCCATCAAATCACCTCAGCTGTGCCTTGAGCACCGCAACTCTCAAAATCATCGAGCTTCGACGCGGCGAAATCGCTGCCATGAGGAATGACAGCCATGTCCAAACCAGAACCCTCCAGATCATTGAAAATCACCACCTCTCCCCGCCATCCATCAATCCTGTTTGAGAAGTCCTCCTCTGATTCCATAAAGTCGTCCTTATCATCATCTTGCCGAGACGACGAGTCATCGGACCCGATCAGCTCGTCTTCGGGATGTTGGCTCAAGGTGTATCCCCGCGAGCTGTCACCTCCAGGACCATCCGTTCTAGTGGGACGTTTCCGTTTTTGACCACGTGTGCCACGAGAGGGGCCACCAGCGTTCGGATCCGACTCTGTTGTTGTTGTTGTTGTTATTGTCGCCATCGCCGTCATCGCTGTTGTCGCCGTCACTGTCATCGCTGTCATTGTCATAGAACCACTCCGGGGTTTTGAAGCCATGCCACATCTCAAAAATTTCCAAGCAATCTCTGAGGACGGTGGCATATTGCCTCAGAGGTGTAAGAGTGGGATCCTCAGCTATGTACTTCGACGTCAGTCCTTGCCGCTTGAATTTTTCCCCGAGATTCCAGATCACGTAGTGCGGCTCGACGTGAAGAATCAGTTCGGGAAGGGTGTCGTATGGGAAAATGTGCATGTCAGCTGCCGTTTGGGGGACGACGAGGGGAGGCCTAAGACGAAGAACAGGCATATGGAAGCGTGGGGAGGCCAGAGGAAGCAAGACATATTGGAATGCCTTTCTCTTTCCGTAGACCGTAGACTGTACTGGATGAGTAAATCGCGGTTTGTAGAGTGATTCTAATTCGTACCTGCTTAAATATGTGGTGCTCATACTGTTTCTTGCTCATTTCGGGTCCGAGAATCTTCCACTCCTCGTAGTGTACTCTCATAGACGAAAGGACCTTGATGTCAATGGGAAGCAGCGCCCAGCTGCCTTCATCGAATGCGCGGTGAAGATTTGCGGACACTAGTTTCGCAGTGTTAGACCGGTCCAGTTGGGCGGATTCAACGAACCACATACATCTCATCAGGTTCCTGGACGTGTCAACGCAGAACTCTTTGTATTCAATGCCCCACAGGAACTCAAAATAACTGAGCTATTGTTACGCGTCGTGAGTCTAATGCACGCCAAGGTTCAAAATGCAACACACCTTGAAAGGGCCCGTGTCTTTTTTCCTTGAAACAATGTGGCACATTTCGGTCCCCGCCCAAGGCTCGGACTGAAGGGTTACGACACAGGCCTTGGTACCCATGGGCAGTTTCAGGAGCGAGCTGGCCTTCAGAAACCTATCGTCTGCAGATTCCTTCTGATTCGAGTCACTCGAATCTCCGGTTGAACGCGCGTTGGGGGTCCGCTTCAGTTGCTTGAGTCGTTTGGGTTTGGGTTTTTGAGGGGTCTTGGGATCGTATGGGCCACCATCCTGACGCTGGCAGTGGTCGCATCGAGTACAGGTACTCTCGAATCTGTTAATTCCCTGGCAGGAAGTGCACTCGCATTCCCGACAGAAGCCGCGGGGGGGCTCCATTGTGGACAAGTCACAACAGGGACGACTTCTGAGCTGAAGTTGAAACGTAAGCTGGGCGCAGATTGAATCTGAGTCGGACTGTTAAAATCTGATGTCATCCGAACCTTAAAGTTTCCCTCCAGGTTAACATCGCCCGCGAAAAGAACATGAACACGGCATGAAGACAACACGCAAAGGCAACCCGGACCGTGTTCAGTGCTTCTGTCGCAAGGGCAACGGAATCTATGTCTCGAAGCGCACAGAAAGCGACCACCGCTTATTTACGGATACTTTCTAAAGCATTGGTAACACAACGCCGCCGATGGTCCGAAAATAAAAAGTCTATTAAATTGTAGTGTACGTTATCTGGGAGCATCTACGGAATATAGAGGTTTAGAAATATGTAAAGAACGATTTAGGCAGAGTATGCAGCCTTGATCAAATCTGAAGCTCGTTCCGCATAGACATAAACCGCAGCCTGCGGATGAGCGCCGAAGATATAAGGCTAAGATGCGGATTCGAATCGTAAGCAGAGCTTAAGGACGTCCGAGCAAATAGGACTTACGAAGATCGAAGCATCTACAACCCGCAATCCATCCACGTTCTTAACTTTCAGATCAGGATCAACGACGCCATCCTTGGCTCCCTTCTTGGACATCTTGGCCGAACTCGTAGGGTGGAAGAACGTTCCGGCGTTATTCAAGATGAAGTCTTCCAACCCAGCATCCGTGTTCGTGCTTTCCAGCCCACCAGTCGGCGCAACGATGTATTTCGACCATGTCGGAGCCGCAACGAACTTGAATGCACTCTTTATCGACTCCTTGAGAAGGTCTACGTCTGATTTGTCTTTGAGGAATCCCGGATCGACGAGCGGTGCATCAAAGGGATTACTGGACCTAAGTCGGACAGAGCCGGTGGATTTAGGTGTCATCAGGGCTGTGACAATTGTAAAGAAATTCCGTCCAGAAGGAACGAGGGGATTAGGAATGATCAGGCCATTCTGTAAGGCGTCATGTTTGGAATGATAGTGCAGGAAGGCGAGGAAAGGTCACGCACCGAAATCAGGAACTCGTACTCGGGTGTATTCGAGGATTTAGGGCTACCTTTCGCGCGGAAGAAACCCAGATGAGAGACAATCGTGTTGACGAATGGCCCAGTCCCGTTCTGCTTCCACTGTTGAAGGAATTCCGCACTCTCATCAGGCTCTTTCAGAGTCTCAAAGGTCTGATTCCCATTGACGATCCAGGGATTGGCTGTCGCGACGTGGTCGCCGAGGTGGCGCCCAACATCAGGTAGGTTGACGATGGACCTGACCCCGATGGACTTGAGAGCTTTGGCGTCGCCGATGCCGGAGTTGAGTAAGATGTGGGGAGAGCCGATAGCACCTGCACAGAGAAGAACCTCTTTTGTTGCCGTTACGCGCTTGAGAGGGCCTGAACATCAATCGATATCAGCTTGGATTTGTCGAATGAAGACGAGCTGCTTACCTCCGCCGTTCTCACGGAACTCGACTCCTCTAAATGCAGGAACCCGAGTACCGGAGGTGTGTACCAGCTTGGAAACTTGCGCATTCAACACGACGTAAAGGTTTCTCCTTCCCAAATAGCGGCTTCCAAGGTACGACGTCGCCGAGCTGCTCCTCGACGCTCCATCGATAGTTGTCTGAACCCATCCGATACCCAACATATTGCCAGAGCTATAATCCAAATTGTAGCGGTAGTCACCCCCTAGCTGCTTCGCAGCGCCAACGATCATCCCATCTACAGGGGTTGGAAACCCGGCGAGGCTGACAGCATTGATGCCTTTCTTGGAGTGAATGGAAGGGTCGAATTGCCCTCGGGTATCGTGTCGGTCTGCAGGTTCGACCCAACGCTCATTCCTTCGGAAGTATGGCTGAAGTCGATTCCATGACCAGCCTGGGTCGCCGACGATGCGTGCATAATCATCGTATTGCGAGGATGGACCGCGGGTGTAGATCATGAAATCTAGAAGAAAGGTAAGTATCAGACCAAAGCTAGCGTTCTTGCGAAGATCACAGGTGCTCACTAATCGAGCTCGAACCTCCAAGAATATGGCCTCTAGGATAAACTACAGTCCTGCCTTGCAGGGCACTTTGGGGCGTAGTCGTATAATTCCAGTCGTAAGGAGTATTCCATAGGTTGCCTGCCAGGAACGGAACTTGGGCATCCAGGACTCCGTCGTGCCTATTTCGCGCTGTGAGCATAGAGAAGGAAAAAGAGCTAGTTTGGAGTTCCATACGACGGGCCCGCCTCCAAAACAAGAACATTGAACTTGGGATTTTCCGTCAGGCGATTCGCAAGGACGTTGCCAGCTGTTCCGCCTATAGGGTAAGATTCATGAGCATAGGATGGCAGAACTTGTCGAAAAAGCTTTCATACCTCCGACGACAACAAAATCAAATTTAACATTCTGAATGTCGGAGAACCTCTGGTATACACCAGCTTGCACAATCGCCGACAAGGCGAGAAGAGCCAAAACTGAGAATCGGGTGAGGGCCATAACGCAAACACTCCGACTCGTCTTCGGCAGGAAACAACAGTTCCTCGAAGACGGATATAACCCGGCTCTGACAGGACTGAATGGGTGGACAGGGCGGTGTCATGCTTTATATTCTTGCAATGGTCGCGACCGGCCTAAGGGGTACGACAAGCAAGGGTGGGCGGTTCGGCGATACAGGTACATCGAAGATCATTCCTTGAGAATGGCGCGCCGAGAGGATAGGAACTCGGAAGCGTGGATGAGTCGGAAAAAGTCCATCTTTAACAACGCTGGGAACTGATGGCAGGAATCAGCTACATGGTAGCAGCCATACTCGTAAGGTAGATAAAAAGTGAACAACCGCACGTACGGCCCCTCCTTTCCTCCCAAACATTTTCCATCGGCAAGAAACCCGTAAAAACCAAAAACACTGGTCAAACGTTTCCAAGTTCGCCTGCTAGAAATGTTTCAGGTACAGCTGAGGACAGATCCAAGATGGACAAGACGTACTTCGACCCACCACGCACTGCGATCAGGAACCAACGCACGCCAGGCCCTTGAAAGGCGATGGCGATGATCCGCCATGTCTGTCAGTCATACTTAACATGCCATTCGATCTTATCACTGACGAGAGCGCTGTATTCGCCGCCAACATTTAGACGGACCGGAGTCGATGGCGGGAGGCCTCTCAATGTATCATCACCGCCTCGCCATGGCATTTTAGCAGCTCGAGGTATGTCAGAACGCAGTGTAGGTGTGGGTCGTCGGCCGCTCTTCGCCGTGCCCGACTCCGAGTCTCTGGTAAATGATCAGGCATACAAAAATAGGCATGATATCAACGGAAAGGCAGGGCGTACCGATGAGAACAGAGGAGAAACCTCCCTCAGTATCTCCATTATCGTCGCCTTTGAATGGTATCAAAAATTGGAGAGATTTGGAGGCAGTTTGATACCGTTCGGCATTGGGCCAGGTTTTGATGTCACAAGCAAAATACACGATTACATGAACGAGGCTCTGTATCCGACGAAAACGAAAATGTCAGAAGAGCAACGGGATAACACTTCAGGCATTACTCACAATTAACCAACGAGAAACAAGAGTTCCTGTCAACACAACCTTTATCCCTCTGACACGTCCATCTGGTTGTGAAGCCTATCCTTCTGTGGATCCTTTCTCTCCCTTATCCTGATTCCACCCCTTTGCCGTTCGGTGCCTTCTTTCTTCTTCGCCACTTCTTCGGCTGCCTTCCTCCTCGCCTCCGCGTCCCGTATCATCTCGCCCTCTTTCCTCCACTCTCTCTTCTCAAAGGCATCGTAAGCTTCCTTCTCATCTATCCACCTTTCCTGAATATCTCGAGCGTGCGCACCTGGTCCCTTCAATGGACCGGCTGCACTCGAAAACAGAGCGTAGGTGTTCGGACGGGCACTTGGCGGTAAATTGGGCGCATTTACCGTGCCAGGCGGACCAGAAGGGTTCCCAGGTACGGGCTTGGGGATAAAGACGTAGCCGTTTGCGCGGTCGATTGCTCGAGTGAGGTTGAGCATTGAACTTTTGTCCTCCACTGCGAGCGTTTCGAAGCCGACTAGAGAGAAATCTTCAACGAGGGATATCAGGGCTATATTGAGCGCCGCGAAACGTGGTGGAAGTGAGGAAGAAAGGCTGTTGGCGAGGTAGCTCAAGTCCTGAACCTCGGTGTAGAAGTCGAGGTTGAATTCTGTGATTTGAGCATTAGCATAGCTGAAAAGACCTTTGAGCTAACACTTACCCAGGTCACCATATTGACCCAGCAAATCGATCTTTGATAGCACGTTTATGTGTGGCAGTTCGAGTTGCAGCATTGCACGTAGGGATAGGAGCAAAATTGAGATGTACTTTGAAGCATCTGTGATATAATGGGCGTCGCAGAGATGCACAGCGGCCAACTGTCTCTATTGGCGTCTGTTCCCTGTTCAGATCAAGTAATTTTGCGTACCCTGAAGCCAGACTTCGTCAACTTCTCCACGATGTGCTTCACGCTCTCGTGGTTCGTGCTCAACTCGACTTGCCCTGGAAGATCGAAGAGCACATATGCATCCCCTCCGAGGTCCTTCAGCTTTTCCTCAAGCCAATCGTAGTTTGCTTCGAGATACTCCATACAGTAAAGCATGGCCCCGTTAGGTCCAAGACCGAACTTGTCCATAACATCGTGGAGGGTGATGAGCTCGGAAATGTCAATCGCACATGGATATGGCAAAGAGTCGTTCGCTGGGTCGAGGTTGACGATGGAAATGGGCCGTTGGAATGCAGTGAATAGTTGATGCTTTCCGTAGCAGTACGTCGATTTACCGCTACCTGGTGCACCACACACGACCTCGCCGAAGGGCATCCTGGGCGACGAGATTCCCAGTGGGACCTGGACAGGACCAACACGTTACAGGACGCGTCACGTCTCACTAGATCTCATAATTGTGACGCAAATCTTTTTCGTTTCGTCCAGTTTGCGTTCGATATGGGTTCCCCTCACTGAGTAAGGTTGGTTATTACAATTTCACTAGCGTGGCCATCGATATTTGGTGAGGATCCTTCGGAATGTTATCATTTTTTTGTGTTACGTATACACACGTTTTGGATTTTCATAATGGCCCTGTAGCCTTAGACCCGTCGGACTTCTATCGAAAGTACAATGGATGATATACTGACAGGACAGATGAATAAAATGGCGCGGCAGAAAGAAAAAGAGAATAGCGTTCAACGCAGAGCCGGGATGAGACCTTCAGACGACCTTGTTCTTCTCATTCCTGAGGTCAGATGCAGTCCGTTCCGACGCTGGAAATTTATGTGGTGTCAGATGGTTTTAGCGTGCCTGGAATGGCAGAGAAACTCTTACAGTACATTGGGAAAACCCAGGTCGCAGCGGAGGGAGGAAGGCCCAGAAACGTAGCCAGCTGACGGAAGTGAGGGTAGCTCTTCATTCTGTCGAGATGAGCCTGCGTCCTGTTTGAGGCAATGACTATCGCATATTCATTGACCTTGGTTGAGTATTTGAGGCCCTTGGGGATATCAATCGGGCTCCATTCGGCGTCGAATCGTTTAGCGGCATAAGCGACAATGCAATGGAGAGCAGTCATTTCGAGCTGGCGGTCGCTGAGTTCGGGATGATTTGGGCATATTTTGTTTCTTTGAGCATACTCCAGGAGGTAATCATGCGAAATGGGAAAACCGAACATGACGAGGTCGATTCGCCTATTTGGCTTGTACTTGTAACCATACGGCGGTGGTACATGGAAGTCAGACAAGTTTGTGCGAGGCTTCTGAGAGTGACAATTGGAGGGAGCAATAGACATATGGGATGGTAGATTTAGCTCGTCAAGAGACGTTATAGAACCAGCGTATAAAGTCAACTGAAACACAACAGAGGGGGGGATTGGGGAGCTAGCTGAAAAAGCTCAACTTTACAGCTGTTTCGGAAAACCCTGTACAGTCGAACTCCTCTTAACCCATACCCCCTCCGTGGACGGCCCAGGGTATGGGTTATTGGGGGTTATGGGTTGTGAGGGGAGTGCCAAAAATAGACCGGGAAAGTGGATGAAAAATACGATGAACATCTGGGTAGAATAGTGCATTTAGGCTCACTGCAAGTAATCCAGAGGGGTTTGGACATTATATTGGTGACAAGGTTGCCCTTGAGTTAGGATGAATCATGCTCTCGGGCTCGCCTAGACGATTTCCTCCATTCAATGAGTGTACAAGCGCCATTTTAATGCCAGTGGGCACAATGTAAACGACCCATGACCGGCCTGATTTTCCGTATGAGCTACCGAATATGGACCACTTATGTCCGACTTGTAAGCCATCTTTCGCTCTCACGGTTCTTTGGGACAACTTTCATTAGTTTTTGGCTGTTTTTCGGTGAGATGCAAGGCCTTTCCATCAAACAGGGTGAGTTGCCGCCCCATGCCAATAAATGAGACTAAATAGGCCCTGATGGCCGGTAAAATCTATGGGTTTTGCCCGCGAAGGGGTATGGGGTATGGGTTATTGCGGACCTATGGGTTATGGGATGCAAATCCCCGCCCACCAAGTTGGTGGATCGAGAATCTTATGGGATAAAAGGGGTTATGGGTTATTAGGATCATGGGTTAAGAGGAGTTCGACTGTAATACTAAAAGCCAGGCTGTACTATATGCGCGTGACTTAGTGTCACAGATCACGCGTTGTGTTGACCGCGTCGCGACCTATCGGAGTTCACGTTCACACAATACCTTGTATAGGCCTGTACCTTCTGCCAAGTTTCAGGGTGCAGCAATTACGACTTCGAAGTTCGAGGTATCGGCAATACTGGAAAATTAGCATGAAATATCTCGCGACTTATCGTCAACAATCATTAGGATGAGGTATAGCGATGACCATGTCGCGTCGGATGATGTGAGATAACTTCTCCTACGGCCTCTAGTCGCTTATCAGACCCTTCGTGCAGCTTGAATGTGTGCTCGAGTACACCCGTCAATTCCAAACAGCGACTCAGAGCCGCAATGCCCAGGCCTCATCTTCAAGAACGGCTTCTAGCAATCCAGCCTATGGCGAAGAGAACGTAGATTTCCGCTCTCCCAGTCCCGACTTCGAAATCATCACTGCACCGTCGACCATGGCTTCCAAGGCCACAAATGGACGCGATTCTTCCTTCAAACCATCCTCTTCCACATTCAAATCTTCTATACCAAACTCGAACACTCCTCCAACAACCATGGACGATACAGAGGAGGTGGAGGAGCGAATAGCCCGGCTAGATGCGGAGGTGCTTGGCTGCCGTGCGGACATTCAGCTCATTGAGCAGCGGATACGAAATTGCCTCGAAGAGAAGAAGCTTCTGGAGGCGGGGCTGCGGGCTACTCGTGTTTCTCGTGGTTCGGGTGCACACCTTCAGCTGCATGGTATCGGGCAAGGGAATGGGAACAGCAATGGCAAAACGACGACAGAAGCGTTTATTAACTATGAGACGGAGCCGTTTGACTGGATAGATGGGCTGAAGGCGCGTATGCGCGCGGTGTTCGGGATTCAGGAGTTCAGGCTGTGTCAACAGGGGTGAGCTTTCGCTGTCAATAATTTGTTCGTGTTTTCGTTGTTGATTCACGTCGTAGAGTATGTAACGCGAATATGGATGGGCGAGATATTGTTTGCATCATGCCTACCGGTGAGCTGTAATTCTTTTTGAAGAAAAAACGCTGCTAAAACAACCTCAGGTGGTGGCAAATCGCTCACGTACCAACTCCCTGCTCTCCTCACCCCAGGGTGCACCCTTGTCATTTCTCCACTCATATCTCTCATGACCGACCAAATTCTTCATCTTCGCGAGGCCGGCAGTAGGTTCATTTCGATCTTACGTCTTCATACCTAACCAAAGTATCAGTCGAGGCTGCTATGATAACATCCGCCACGTCCAAACCCGAGAAAGCACAGACATTGGAGCGGTTGAGGATGCTCGCTGGCCGCAAGCTTGGCCCAGGACAAAAAGAGCTCAAGTTGGCCTACGTCACTGTGTGTTCTCTGGACATGTATTGTATCTACTCACTGATATCAAATTCAGCCCGAACGCATGAATAAGGATAAATCCTTTCGCTCTCTTTTGCAGAGGATGGACGAGGCTGGGAAGCTCGCAAGGATCGTGATCGACGAAGCCCATTGCGTCTCGCAGCTTGGACATGACTTCCGGTGTGTTTTCCTCCTCTAAGCACCCGGCCGTTGAGGCTAATAACGACGTGGCTGGTAGACCAGATTATAAGGAACTTCATCTTCTACGCAAGATTTTTCCTAACGTACCAATCATGGCGCTCTCTGCAACGTGCGGACCGCGCGTCCTGGACGACCTCATCCACATCCTTGGGTTGAGAGGGATCGTTCCTGGCGCCAGTGGGTATTTTGACTTGGGTTTTGAATGTATTGCTTATCGTTAATCAATACTAGGAGCGCCCAAACAAGGCACCGTCTATTTTACTTCGCCTCTCTACCGCAAGAACCTGCACTATCGTGTCGTACCCAAGCCGGAGAGCGCCAAGGAGCAGTTTGAAATAATGAAGAACTACATTCTGGAAAACCACAAGGATGATTCTGGTATCATATATTGCTTCAGTCGCAAGGTAGCACACGCTTCTTGTCTTCCTATCTGGCCACCTGCGTCACTTGGATATCTACTAACAATTTGCCTCTGCAGGACTCGGAGGTCGTGGCAGAGACCTTGCGAGATATCAGCGGAGGAAGGATCAAGACGGGAGTGTACCACGCCGAGGTGGGCGACATTGACAAGCAGAGGCTGCACATCGCGTGGAGGGAAGGCGAGATTAAGGTTGTTTGCGCAACTATCGGTAGGTAATCTTGTTCTCTTTCGTCCAGCTCTACCCTGGTGGTTCCTGCGCCCCACACCAAGGTGATTGCATGGAATCGAGTTCGATTCAAGCTTCAATGGAGATTACCTGCGTTGCCTACCTCTCTCCTCATCTCCTTGTGGCCTAGTTGCTTCGCGGGACCGGAACTTGAGCACGAGCGTCGCTGACTATTGTTACTCCATCCAGCGTTTGGTATGGGCATTGATAAGGGGGACGTGCGTTTCGTGCTGCACCATTCGGTGCGTCCTTTCTTCTTGTAGTGTTCTTCTCTTGTGTGCTTCGACTCAAGAGCCATTTCATCCTTTATTAACCGTCAACTGCGCGGTGGATCTCCCTCGTCCCATTCTACTGCTCTGTCTTCCTTGTGTGGCCCCGCATACGACACAACACTCTCCACTGAATTCACCTGTAGATATCCGTGAGTATTTGCTCTTGTTGTTCTCCTCAGTTGTGGTGCTTGCCAGATGCCAACCTCGCGACCTTGGTGTGGTGCGTAGCGCGTAGCTGTTTTCTATTTGAAATTTAGAATTCCGCCGTTGCGCCAGGGTGTCGTATCTGGCTACGCCTTTCTTTCCTTCCTCTGCGGCCAATAGAGCTATTTTGACTAATATGCCGCTGTCTATGCGCAGAAATCACTTGAAGGGTTCTACCAAGAGTCGGGGCGTGCCGGACGAGACGGAAAAGACGCCGACTGCGTGCTCTATTACCGCCCCCAAGATGCCTCCACGATGGCAGGTACCGCGGGTTACGACAGGGATGGGAAGATAAAGTGTAAGTCTATGCGTTTAACACTGGCTCTGTCGTTCTCTGCGGTAGGGCTTTGGGGATGATCGCTTGCGAGGGCAACCGATGAGGTCATCGAGAGCCCTCAGGGTCCTCACATGGTGATTGAGAAGACCAGCGAAGGTCGATCGCTGCGTTCCGGAGATGAATGTGATCCGCTGGAAGAAGCAACCCCAGAAATAGCATTTGGACTGATCGCTCCTTCCTTCTTCTGCCCTCGGGTTTTATTTTAGTGCACGCCATGCTCGACTTTGCAGAGGAACTTCGGAAGTGTCGGAAGAACCAGTTCGCAGAGTAAGTCGTGTTCTCACACATGTTCACGGCTTAATGCCTTTGTTTATTGTCGCGGCGCTGGAACTTCTTACTAATGGACTACCGATCAGGTACTTCTCACATGCGTCCAAATTGGACGTCGGCGCATGGGCAACTTCTGAGCGAGGCGCGCTCGAGCGATGCGGGCACTGCGACAACTGTACGCGCCCCGCAGACGCCAGCGAGCGTCGCGATGTCACTTTGGCGACATGGCAGCTCTTGAAAATCGTGCAGGCTGTGAAGCAGAGAGGTGGGAAGGTCACGCTCAGCAGTCTTGCACACCTCGCTCGTGGCGGGGGCAAGGGTGCGTTCGAGGTTGCTGCATCTGGGAGGGGACGGAATCGGAAGGAAAAGCAGACATGTACACTGGATTTTCAGGAGGTAGCTGGTGGGAAGGTTGAGCTCAGCAGAATCGTGAGTTCCTCTCTGCTCATAATCTTTCTTGCACGTTATTAAATTTCTTATTATTTATTTTCAGGATATCGAACATCTTATTGTTTACCTGACGACACACAACTTCCTCCAGGAAGAGTATCAGTCGACCCCCTACAAGCTCATCGTGCACCTTGGGCCAGGGCAACAAGCAGGCAGATTGCTCTATCATTCGCGGGACGCTATACTTGCCGGCGGCGCCAACCTCAAAGTGGAATGCGATTTCCTGAAGGCAATCGCCAAAGTCCGTGCGTCGAAGAAAAAACTTGACGAAGCCGGCAAACGGAAATCGAAAACGAGCGGCAAGACCAAAGGCAAAGGCAAAGGCGCCGGTGAAGATAGCAACCCTGAAGATGACGATGACGGTGATATTGGTGAATATAACATAATTGAACAACTAACGCGGTCGCGACGCGTGTCTGATCCCAAGGGCAAGGGGAAGCGGAAGGCTGACGAAATGGACGACGACGACAGCATGTACGCCTCAGACAGCGCGGCTCATCCTGAACGCGGCTTAGGCGGCTTCGGCGACGACAATGACGACAGCGATGAGGGCGAATATTTCGATTGGTCACTCACCATGCGGGAGGGGCCGAAGCTTGCTAACAAAAGACGGAAGAGCAGTGGCGATGCACTTGGCGTTGGTGTTGATGTCGGTTCTTCGAAGAAGACGAAGGGAAGAACCGCGAGTGGCTTCAAGATGAACATTGTCCAAGAAGGGGATAACGAGGTGATGGAACTCTCGTCTGACTGAGTTTGGCAACCCGCCCTATCGATGCGAGTCCTGTACTGTATCGGTGTACTGTATAGATGTACTTTGAGAAGATACGAATGTAACACTTACAGATCTTTTTAGTCGTGGTCTGTATACTGCAAGGGCATTTGTCGGGTTTCAAGGCACCATTTGGGCGTTGACTCGTCCCCAGGTGCGAGAACATTGGATGATAAGATATCATATGTGCTGTCGTCGACTAGAACTCTTCATCCCAGCACCCCGTCAGTATTAGACTAATAGTCAATCTGACCTAGCGGCTCTAGATCGACCGCCGGGAATACTCCCCGTGGGCCGTCGGTGCGCCACAGTGTCTTGGCGTTACAATTTATTTCTAAATTATTTCCCCAAATGGTAGTTAGTGTACGCCTAACCGACGCTCAGGGGCGGGCCCCAACAAACGTCAAAAGACTTCCGTAAAAAGCAACATGGGCGGGACCCCAGGTGCCTTCCGCGAACGTTCTTCGACCGTGTATAAGAATAACTTATTGATAGATGTGTATAGCTTTCGCAGGAGGCCAATGGAACGTCGCGATAAGAAGTTATCTGTCAGGGTTGACTCGGGAAAGTTAGGGAGAAGCAGTACCTGTTGACCGAAATTCTGACAGATGAACTGTGCGGTCAGAGTGACCTTCACGTAAGTCAACCAGCCTCATGTTAGGGATCCTGGAAGTTCTTACGGTGGTTTTCTGCTAACTGATTCGCGGAGTGATTGAAAGGTGCTTCCCAAGCAGCAGGCCGACCGTGATTGTTGAATGCTTCGATCTTCTTCGAAGAGCACGACAGTGAGGTCATTAATGTCCCCGGTTACCCAGATCTTATCTCGATATTCACAACAACGGAAAGGTAAACGAAGGCATTACGCCAAAAACGTGGTATAAGGCGATGATAGTATGGTACAAGTGGTTGATACAGGTGACGCGGAACAACACTGGAGCATGTCCGACCGAGAATGAATAGCTAAATATGGTGAAAAGCAGCGGAGAACCCAGTTTCCCGTCATAAGAGCAGTGATACATCGAAGTAGAACCGAAAAGACGAAAGGGCAGTGATAGTACAATGAAACGGACGAGATAGGGAAACCTGAGTAAACGCGAATAATGATAGCAAATAGGAGCACGCAATCGAAGGGAAGTCCTGACCGAACAGTGTGCTATAGCATGGAGTGGTGTAAAGTGTAAGATGATGTAAAGTGCTGTGAGGGAGAACGCGATAGTCGATAGCGTATATTAGTATCTTACAGTTGTCGTCGCTGTCGTGAGGGTGATACAGTCTTGCAGCGCACCCCAGAGTCGTTGCGCTAATTAAGTTTCGTTTGCTTCAGTGCGGAGCGGATTGGGACTTTGGGGATGAGGTGATGCCCCATGTCGATACGGGTCCCTTCTTCGTTCATCCAGCCATCGCCCATTTCCGGATAGTCGTCCAAGTCTGGGGGATATTGCTCGTGCTTCGGTGCGGGGATGTAGCCTCCGTCATTCTTCCACAGCTGATCTCTGTTGCACCTACGTCAACGCGGGGGTTACAAAGTGAAATTAAAATTGATAGCTTACCCTCTCCGGTTGAACCATCCCTTTCGACGAGATGGGAAGACGGGCGACGGGCAGATCAAGTTGTCGTTCCAGCGCACCGAACGAGGAACAGGGGCAGTGTCCAGCCTAGGAAGCACAGGACGCACTGCGAGCGGCGGGTTTTTGTCGCCGTCAGAGTAACGTCTCTGATGCTCTGGGATGCTGGACGGAGTGGTAGGGCGCGACGACTGGGAGGTGGAGGAAGAAGACGGACTCGGCCAATCGTGCGGCGCCATAGCCCCACGAAAGCTGGTAGTGTTGCAAGGGCGATCCCCATCCGAGTGCCTGCGATGAGGTTCAACGTGGATCTGCGGCTGAGGCGGGACGATATAGTATTGGTGAGGGCGAGACGGATCGTGGAACATGATTCTGGGGTATGAGCCTAAAGGAACAGACGGTGCTTTGGAAGGAGGATTGAAAGTCTGAGCAGTCGATGTCTGGCGCAGTGCTTGCTGAGAGGCAGAGGGCACTTGGGTGATGCTGTAGTGGGCAGAGCTGCGGCGATCAGACTCTTTAGAATGCGCCGTTCGTGCGGTGTGATTGGACGAAGTCGTGATTTTGGGTGAAGACCTGTCTGAGCTGCTGCGGCCAGAAGTCAGATCGGAGGATTTTAGTGCTGAGCCGCGCGGAGGGGCCGGATGTGATAAGATAGGAAGAGCATGGTGGCCTGCAACCTGTGGTATGTTCGAAGAGGAAAGTGTCAGAATCGGCCGTGTCGCGTTGGAAAACGAGATCGATCGAGTGCGGATGCGACCGGTGGAACGTTCTAAGGACTCCGTGGTTCCGTAGGAATCCCGAGAGCGGGTGGGAGTTGTCGCGTCGTAATCGGTCGGACTCAGTCGAATTTGCGTGGGCGAAGAGGAAAGTGGGCCGGTCGTGAAAAGTTGGTGAACAGGGGTAAACTGGGACATGTTGCATCCATCGCCAGGTGGTCTGAACACGTCTCCAGTGAATGAATCACGTCGCATGGGATGGGGAGGTCGTCGGTCGTCGGCGTCGCGAGGCGTTGGTGTCCGTGCGTCTTTCCTCAGGTCTGACGCGCTGGGAGGGCGAGCAGGAGCAGCTTCTTGCGGGGTAGCGTGTGGTAAGGGTCCTCGTGGGGGAGATGTAGAGCGCCGCGATTCAGAATCTGGTTTGGCGTAAATGTAGTCTCCTCTCGGGCCTACCCTTGTCGGTTCCGCTAATCCTCGGGTAGGGTCTGCGGTGTCATTTGTGCGATAATCAGGCCCAGCATTAGGCACGCCGTAATCCTTCACATCAACGCGTCCTCCCGCGATTGGCGACCTTCGGTCCGCGATGCTGTGTTGTGGAGGATGGTCTGAAGAAGAAGGGAAGCGGTTCAAAAAAGGAGCGATGCCGGCAACTTCCTGAGCGGGCCGGGAGCTTGCGGGGTGCGATTTAGATGATGCGGTAGGTGCACTGCGCGGAGGATAGTGGGCATTTTGCGACCTAGAATCGGAATCAACTGTTGCATCGCGACTCCAGTTGTCCCTTTGAAGAGCATGGGAGAAGGAAGACTGCGATTGCGAGGCGTTCTGCGAGACCAGCTGCTCTGATGGGACCTGCGACGGGAGACGCTCGACACTGGGTGGACTGTCTCTCAGTGCGGGGTGTGCTGGGCCATTAGGATGAGAAGAACGCGGAAAGACGGAATGTGAATGCGAGAAGTCGTGCTCCTGGGGCCTTATCGGAAAAGGCAGATTAGTCGGATGAAGTGGCTTAGACGAGGTGGTTCGTTGATTTTGGGGTGTAATCGACACGAGGTGCGTTCCTTTGTCGCTAGAGGATCCTGTGCTAGAAGCATAGAATGATCCCGTAGAGGCAGAGTTGTATCCCGCGTTGATCTGGGCAATTCTATCGCGTTCCTCAACTTCTAACTCCGAGAGGGTGCTGGCGGCGTATTCAGGTGTCTCAATCGGATAGCCGCCGGGACGAGGTCCTATTTGCGTCATCGGGTCATTTGGACCTGAAGGAGGCCGAAAGGGAATAGCCGTGTGGCTCTGCAAAGCAGGTAGTCTTGTCCGACGTTCCTCGATCGATTCCGCTGCCTCGTGTATGTAGGGTCTCGCCGACGAAGTTTTGCTCAGAGCAGGACCCTGAAGCGAAGCCGTGATGGCGGGGGGAGGATAGGCTAAGCGTGGGGTCTGAGGGGACGAAGGTGCTGAACTGTTGGATAGGGTGTCGCCGACGGTCAAGTCGGGGGCACTGGGACTTTTGAGCGTCGTGGTGCTGTCGGTAGAGAGTGCCGGGGAGAATGCAGACGTAGAGGAAAATGTCGCTGTCGAAGTTTCGAATTCCGAGTTGGAGAAAATATCGGATTTGGAGGCAGCCGATTGTTGATAAATAAAAGTGTCGTTATGAGCACTAGGATAAATAACGTAATTTGCTGTAGCTCGTGGTCGCGCATCATATGCTGCATTAATGCTGTTTTGGAGAAAAGAAGTTGGGATGGTTAGTCTCAACTACGTTCGTCATGCCTGGTCCAGGTACGTGCCTAGTTGGGTACCAAGGTTGTTCGCCTTGTCCAGGACGGTATCCAACATCAAATTTTGCGTTTATAGGGTACGGAATAGGAACATTCGACGGCGTTTTGAAAATCCGAACAGAAAAGCGACTCGAGGGCTGCGCAGGTTTGAGCGCGGGGTAAGGAATTGGGGGACCATTGACGAGCACGTACTTTTGAAGATCCACTTTTCGTGCTCGAAGAAGCGCTGGGGAGGATACCAGAGAGCATACTGGGCAGGAGTTCGTACTCAGCATCAGAGAGCGACATTCCAAGTCTGGGAGATTTATGCCTCCGCTGGCCACCGAGCATCACGCTAGTTACACGAGTAAAGCTTGAGGTGATGCATGCGGACTTCGATCGACAAATCTCCAGACGGTCGCAATACAAGGGTCATATTGACGATCACTGTTTGTGATACTGAAATGGCGAAGACATCTAGTGTTTAGGTAGTGTTGTCTATAACGGTCAGACTCCCATAAATTGCAAGAAGCCGCCACTCACACGCACGAGCCCTGCATTTCGCCAAAAGCGAGCACTGGGGTTTCCACGACTGCTGCCACCCGCGTGTCGTCCATGAGATTGAGCGCAAGTCGTTTTGGGCCCGCGCCTGCGCTACATGGAGTGTAGCGGAAAGCGAGGTCGACGTGTTCCTGATCGTTGTAGAGGCATGCTCCAACCTGTCGAAAGGAGCGCAGACTGGTTGGTATCCATTCATCGATGGAGAATCTATCGTGGTGTCACCGAATGCCCGTTGTTCCGGGGTTTCAGGGACCGCAGGACGGCAATCTACAGCGCGATTAGGCGCTGGCTACCGCCGTGTTCTTCGAAAGAGCACAGGTCGACGACCCTTCCTTCTCAACGCGTGCAGGCAGGTATGGCCTCACCCTGCACAAACAGGAACGGTAAGAAAGATGAAAAGCTTTATTTGGACAACACCCACGCAGAAGTCCATTCTTTCATTGACATTTCCAAGGAGATCCAGTAGAGTGTAGTTTGAGGGTAAGAATGATAAACAGATTGACTTAGCAAGGCTGACAAAAACAAATTATATATATATATTACATAATATTTACAGCAGCCAAGGGGAGCCCGACCTTGACCTCTTTCTCTACCCTAAGACTCTACGTCCACTTCTTAAGACTACACTAGACGCGATACTTTGGCACTTCTGAACAGTATGCATGCTCTACGTCAAGAAATTCTCCCTCCAAGCGGCGTTGAATTTGCCACTAGCTTGAAGTTGACGCCGTCGACGCTCGCAGCACCAGTTTCTACGCGTCATGAATTCGTCTCTCGCGTCTTGTGCAATCTTGTTGTCGCTCGTGCCAATCTTTTACGGATATTCGAAGTTCGGGAAGAGCCAGCACCACTTCCATTGCAGGCCAACGATGACCGGGACCGTTCGGGGGTTAGGCGAGGGACTGAAGCAGTGGAAGGAGAAGTGGACATGGACACGCAGGGCGATGGATTCATCAACATAGCAAAGGTGCAGTACTTGTCGACTTCATGTATTCGTTACCATAATCCTATCCCACTTCCTTGTGAAAAACTGGGAGAGAACTCGAGCTTTTGCTAATACAGGCTCTTACCTTCAGTCTGTACCGCAAAAAAGCCCTGTCCATGTGTCGACAGTTACGCGTTTTTATCTCATTCGTGAACACCACCTCCATGGCATTGTTACTGGCATGGAAGGTGTCAAAATCGTCACCTCTCAAGAAGACAATCTCGACCGGCTTCTCATTTCGTTCAAGGACGCCAAGGTAAGCTCCGCGTCCTCTCGTTTTAGGCGTAATTTCATGTCCATGACGCCTCCAGATAGCCCTCCTCGAATGGTCGGACACGATTCATGATCTCGTCACAATCTCGATACATACATACGAACGAGCCCCCCAGCTGGTATGGTCTGCGCCGGACTTTGGTTCCTCTACTCACGTCCGTGGCAGCTAGCGCTCGATTCACCCCTCTTCCGCGCAGAACTAAGATGTGACTCGCTTTCTCGCTGCGCCGCACTTTCCTTGCCCAAACATGCCTTCGCCATCCTTCCATTTTATCAAAGTCAAGCAGAGCTGGACGTTATGGATCAAGATCTGACTCAGCCTAGGTATACTCCTCCAGATTATTTGCTGCAACGCCATCTCAAGATTCTTTCAGGGATGTCCCATATTCGCCGAGTTTCATTCTCGATCTTCCAGCCCAAGTGGATTCCAATATCCGCAATGTCATCGACTTTGTATTCCTCCCAGGGTTCAACAACCCTACCCTCGCTGTTCTGTTCCAGACTGATCAGACATGGACGGGGTACGTGGCACACCATCTTCACTACGACGGGAGTAACATGTTTGCGTTAGTCGTCTGAAGGAATACAAGGACACCGTAAAGCTGATTGTCTTCACCCTCGACATCGCCACACAGAAATATCCAATTGTCAGTTCCGTCGAAGGTTTACCTTACGATTGTCTCTCCCTCCTGCCGTGCTCTACTTCTCTCGGAGGCGTCGTAATCACAGCCAGCAACGCCCTCATCTACATCGACAAGGCCTCTAAACGCGTCGTACTTCCTCTGAATGGATGGGCGGCCCGAATCAGCGACATCCCCCTGCTTACTACCGACCCAACACGTACTTTATTTTTAGAAGGCTCTCGGTCGATTTTCGTCGATGACAAGACTTTTTTTGTGATCCTGAAAGACGGAAGCATCTATCCTGTAGAGATAGTCGTGGACGGAAAAACGGTTTCGAACCTCGTGATGTCACCTGCGTTGGCACAGACTGCTGTTCCGACTGTCATTCGAAACATTGGCGAGGATCATATCTTCGTTGGAACCATCCTCGGGCCCTCTGTTCTACTGAAGGCTGCTCACGTTGAAGAAGAGGTGGATGAGATGGATGTCGCTCCGACTGCTGTCGTACAGGACGATAATGCGATGGACTACGAGGACGAAGACGAAGGTATGCTAGTTGACGTCTTTTTCACCACATTCGAAATGACATGTGTCTGTTTCAAGATATCTATGGTGTATCCTCAAAACCATCTGCCACTTCGACCAAAAGCGAAGCGGCCAATGGCCATGTCGCGCCGAGGAAGACCCGAACCGTTATTCATCTTTCTTTGCGTGATTCTATCCCTGCTCATGGTCCCATTTCGAGCATGACTTTCTCACTTACGAAGAACGGTGTATGTCACTTCTTCCACTTCTTTTCCATGATTTAATTTCTCGCATCTAGGATCGGCCCGTGCCCGAACTCGTGGCGGCCACGGGAGCAGGCACTACCAGTGGTTTCACTCTTTTTCAAGTACGTTTGTCTGAGCCCATTCTCCAATTTGGTGTTCTCTGACTGTTGACACAGCGAGACTTACCAGTGTTAACAAAACGCAAGTTACACGTCATCGGTGGTGCTCGAGGGCTTTGGTCGCTACCCATCCGGCAACCAGTCAAAACGAGCGGCATTTCGTATGAGAAACCCGCAAATCCCTTCCAGAGCGAAACGGATACGTTAATTCTGAGCACCGATGTGAACCCATCCCCTGGACTGTCTCGAGTATGCCGGTTCTCTTTTTCGTAATTCACCTCATTCAACCCTTGATGGTGACAGATTGCTACGAAGGCCGCGAAGGGCGACGTTTCAATAACGACACGTATTCCTGGAACCACCATCGGGGCGGCGCCTTTTTTCCAGCGCACGGCGATTCTACACGTCATGACAAATGCGATTCGGGTTCTCGAGCCGGGTAAGTTCGCAGTCTGTCCTCCGCAGGCAGGGTCTCATGAACGGTCTAGACGGTACGGAGAGACAAATCATCAAGGACATGGATGGCAATATGCCCCGTCCGAAGATCCGGTCATGTAGCATCTCGGACCCCTTCGTGCTCATCGTTCGCGAGGATGATACTATTGGGCTCTTTATTGGCGAAACGGAGCGTGGAAAGATTCGTAGGAAGGACATGTCGCCTATGGGTGACAAGGTACGCTCTTGTGCTTCACTTTCTGAAAATTCACCTTGAAGCATTGCGCTGCAGACCTCAAGGTATCTGACAGGCTGTTTCTACACTGATTCAACCGGTCTTTTGGAGAAGCACTATGATACCAGTATTTCACCTGTTGCTGTAACGTCGACCCTTCAAGCAGCTGTGAATGCGGGAAGTAATCAAACGCAGTGGATCCTTTTGATGCGTCCTCAAGGCATTATGGAGGTAGTACTTTGTTTGATTCCTTCAACCTTTTACGAACTAATAACGTTTCTCAGATATGGACATTGCCTAAACTCACGCTCGCCTTCTCGACTGATGGTCTTTCAACACTTCAGAACGTTCTCATGGACTCGCACGATGCTCCTGCGTTGTCGCTACCACAAGACCCCCCGCGGAAGCCTCAAGAGCTGGATGTTGAACAGATTCTTCTGGTACCAATAGGCGAGAGTTCGCCTCGGCCACATCTCTGCGTAAGCTTATTTTGACTATACCTGCATATCGAACCCTTAATATATCAACGCCTGTCATCTCCAGGTTTTCCTCCGCTCTGGGCAGCTGACAATATACGAAGTCGTTCCTGCTGGGCAGCCCTCAGAACCCTTGGACAAAATACGACCCTCCCATGTCAACATCATGTTCGTCAAGATGGCCTCCATAGCATTTGAGATCCAACGGCAGGATGAGGGTACAGAGAAGGAGAAGAGCATTCTCGCCGAGCAAAAACGGATCTCAAGAACATTCGTTCCCTTCGTCACAAGTCCTGCTCCAGGCGTGTCATATTCTGGGGTTTTCTTTACTGGCGATCGGCCGAATTGGATCCTTGCGGGCAACAAAAGTGGGGTGCAGATTTATCCATCGGGCCATAGCGTCGTGCACGCGTTTACAGCCTGTTCGTTGTGGGACTCGAAGGGCGATTTCCTGTTGTACACCGAGGAGGTGGGTCTTTTTCATTACCGCCTTTCTGGCTCCGTTGTGCTCAACACTCCGCATATGCGTAGGGGCCAAGTCTATTGGAATGGATGCCACACTTTCAGTTCGATACACCGCTACCATCAAGGTCAATACCCCGAGGGCGGCCGTACTCCAACATCCTGTTTGATGCATCTACGTCGTTGATTGTGGCGGCGTCTTCCATGCAGGCGAAGTTTACAACGTACGATGAAGACGGAGTGAGGATATGGGAACCTGACGGTATGCGGAACAGGCGTTTGCGAGCCGACGACGTTGACCTAACACGCTGCTTGTAGCACCGAACATTGCTGACCCGGTCTGTGACTGCTCAACCCTGGAGCTAATATCACCTGACCTGTGGATCACGTTGGATGGGTACGTAGATCCGTTCACTGCACGAAAAGCTTATTGAACTCTGTAACAGTTTCGAGTTTGCTACAAATGAATTCGTTAACGATATGGCATGCGTCACCCTCGAAACGGCAAGTACTGAAACAGGAAGCAAGGAATTCATTGTTGTCGGCACTACCATCGATCGTGGGGAGGATCTCGCGGTAAAAGGGGCTGTACGTCTCTCTTACGTCTCGTTGATTGACACTTTCGATTGATTTCTGGGGTTAAGACATACATCTTTGAAATTGTGGAGGTTGTCGCGGATCCTGCCATCCTGCCCAAGCGATGGTACAAACTTCGTCTTCGGTGCCGCGACGACGCAAAAGGGCCTGTCACTGCGATTAGCGGTTTTTCGGGCTACCTTGTTTCTTCCATGGGCCAGAAGGTGTGCTCGGGTTTCATTTTACTTGCCCCATTTAATAAATATATTTTCTCCAAACCTGCTGCAGGTGTTTGTTCGGGCCTTCGATTCGGACGAGCGCCTCGTGGGTGTCGCGTTCATGGACGTCGGCGTCTATGTGACGTCCCTCCGCACCTTGAAGAATCTACTCCTCATCGGCGATGCAGTGAAGAGCGTCATGCTGGCCGCATTCCAGGTGCGTTATGTCTTTTCGAGAAGTGCAATTGCCAGATAATTTAGCCAACCACCTTCCTTTCTCGCCTGTTCCAGGAAGATCCGTATAAACTTGTTCTTCTCGGTAAAGGTCCTAAACAACAATGCATTACCAACGCAGACTTTTTCTTCACCAACAATGAACTGTCGATTATTTCTGGGGACGAAGAAGGGATACTGCGAGTGTATGAGTACGGCCCCCAAGGTTTGTCTCCACTCCTACCTCCACGGACTAGACTGACGTGACGAATGGATTTAGACCCTGATTCATATGACGGACGGCACCTTCTCCTGCGGACTGAGTTCCATGGGCGGAGCGAATGGCGAACATCTATAACCATAGCTCGGAGAACGAAAGACGACCCCGACATTCCTCAGTCTAAGCTTTTGATGGGTAACGCATTTTCATTAGCCACGCTCATCCTCGTGCTAATCCTCGGACCTAGGCTCGCCCGACGGCTCCATTACTACGCTTACGCCTGTAGAGGAACACGCGTACAAACGGCTGCAGCTTCTTCATGGCCAGCTGACAAGAAATATACAGCACGTCGCTGGGCTTAACCCCAAGGCGTTCCGGTATGTAACATTTCGACATTTGTAAGATGCAAATGACTAAACTTCTTAATAGCATTGTGCGAAATGACTATGTCTCGAAGCCTCTTCCGAAGGGAGTTCTCGACGGAAATCTATTAACCCACTACGAAGCCCTACCGATAACTCGACAGAACGAAATGACACGCCAAATTGGGACAGAACGTGTGACTGTATTGCGTGATTGGATCGCTCTCACTGGTCCTTGGTAAAAGCCATGTCTGGCATTGTCTGCCGAAGACTCCTCTTTCTTTACTACACCACCAGATTTGTATCTCTTGCTTATCAATGCTCACTATATTTCTGGAGCCTTGCTTGGTAATCCCAAGCACGACATCCTTGACAAGGATTGTTGAACATCTTATCTTCTATACGTATAAAGGACCTTGCTTCCCTTTCACACCTTCTACTCGTCTTACTCCCACTAACTGACTCGAATTTCTCGCAATGCCAGAGATAATTACTCTTTACACCGCTAAGGTGCGAGCAATGACTTGTGTTCGAATGGCACACTGACAACTTCCTGTAGATTTGCCCTTGGGCTCATCGTGTGAGATAGCTCAGGCAGATCCTCAACAAGCAACCAAACCTCATCCTTTGATATGATTAGACCGAACTAGCGCTTAAGGAATCCAAGCTTCCGTACAAACGTTTCGAGATAGACTTGCAAAACAAGCCGGAATGGTATGCCCCTAAAGTTAACCCTGCAAGCAAAGTACGATGATCGACACTCGTTGGAATGTAGACTTACTGACTTCGTGCTACAGGTACCAGCCATTGCCTATGGAGGACCCGACGTCTCTCCGGATACCCCTTCTCCGGACTCTGAAAAGCTCGCCGAGTCTGGGGTACTGATCGAATTCATTGCTGAGCTCTCTCCAGTGCCTCTTCTCCCACAGGACCCAGTCAAACGCGCCAAGGCTCGCTTCTTCATCGAAACCGTCACCTCGAAGTTCACCGGCGCCTTTGCTGGCGCTCTCCACCGTGGCGAGGATCCCAGCCCTCTCCTTGACGCGATCGAAGTTACGCAGAACCTCCTTCCACCTGAAGGCTTTGCTGTCGGTGAATGGACTATCGCCGATGCTGCAGTGACACCGTTCTTTGCACGAGCAGAAGTTGCCCTCAAGAACGATGTCGGGAAATATGCAGAAGGCCAAGGCAAGGCGGTTTGGACGAAACTGGAGTCGGACCCGAAGTTTGCTCGTTTCAGAAAGTATCTTGCAGACGTCAAGAGCAGAGCCAGCTTCAAGGAGACATTCGATGAGGCGAGTAAAGCAGATTTGATTGACTGGCCAATATATTTGGAACTAACCGATTCCTCAGGCGTACGTGACGAGTGCCTATGCAAAGCGTTTCGCCCGAGCATAGTAAGAGTACTATGGTATATACTAGCTCTAGCCACTTCTTTCTTTATTACATCTATCTACATAACATACGCGGAAATTCTTTTTTTATGTGATCAACTGCGCATTTTCTGAACGTGAAACTCAAGAATCAGGATTTGATGATTCTGTGTGAATCACATTGGACGGTACCTGTGACGCGGAACACCATCATGATCTCCCGCCTCTTTTCCCCATTCCATCGCCGACCCGTAGGGCCATCGCCCAGAAAGTCAGTAAACATGAATAGCTGCCCTTGAGGACCGTGCTCTCAAATCAGATTTCCTGCTACGGTCTCAAGAATGTATCCGCGCGCTGATCCCGACACTCTTTTCCTCCTTCCCCTAATCCTAGGCGTCCAGCTGGCAGTTCTCTATGCCCAAGACCCTGGTTGTGGACGATAATGTGTTGCCGAACTTCAAGTACAGTGGAAATTGGGAGTACCTAAGTGGCTCGACAAGGCAATGGGAGGGTGGTATCCATTCCACCTTCCAGAATGGCGCCACGGTCTCATTCAGGTTCAGAGGTATGCCTGTCTCTTCCTTTTTTCCAAACATCTCTGATGTTGGGATCGTACTTAGGCTCTGGGTTCAGGGTCCAGGGTACCATCCCAGGCGGCAGCGGCAACGTGTTGTACGAAATCATAACGGACGGAGTGTCTTCTGGGATCCTCACACAAGCAGGGAGCTCCGCAAATGTCTACGACGCCCAGTTCTACGCTGTCTCGGCTCCTGGACTGCGCGATTTTGTGCACACTGTTGTTATTGCGAATAGAGGAAGTCAATCAAACCTCGATCTTCGGTTTGACCGCGTCGTTCTGGAGTCCCTTGATGCCGACCCGACTATGACAAGCCCACCGCCGGACCCTACTCCAATTACAACTTCAACTTCGACTACGACGCCGTCACCCCCCAGGTCCACTACTTCAACCACAACCACTAGTTCGACGACGTCGACGACCAGCTCTACATCATCTTCCCGGACAACCGCCTTGAATCTTGTTGGGTCTTCAACGACGTCTTCCTCCTCCTCCTCCTCCTCTCCGTCTGGTGAGTTTTTCTATATAGGAAATTGGCTTGTCATTCACCTCATGAACAATTTCTTACAGAATCGACTTCTCTGGTGACAACGACCGACAAAGATGGAAAAATCGTGACGACCCAATTAATCGTAACGGGGGGACCAAGCTCAGTTACTCCAACTGGCAGTGTCGAACCAACAACTTCTGCTACGAGCGCAACGGGTAGTAGGGGAGTTCCATTGGCTGCTTTGATTGGTGGGATTTTGGGAGCGCTGGTCGTTGTGATTCTGGTCTTCTTGCTCTTCAGACAGTGTCGGAGACGAAGATACCTCCGCCAACATTCCCAATTGAAGGACGATCCCGCAGAGAAGCGGGGCGGAGGTGCGATTCACTGTCTTTAATCCCGCATGAAGCGATTTAACGCAATTATATTGCAGTGTTGCCCACCCCGTACGACCTTGGACCTCATCCTGGCCCCTCTTTCGGCCAGACACAAGACAGAGGACAAAACCCATTCGCCGAGAAGACTGCTCTCCAGGCAAGGGTGAACGAGCCAGAGTCTGGAACACTCGGTCAGTCGTCCTCCAGTGGGCAGGGAGCGTCCTCCCACCACCATCACCATCATAAAGGTGCCTCTACTTCCACAAACCCCACCACCACCCATACGTGCCCGTGCTCCAACTCTGCGTACACATCAGCCGCGCAGACGTCCTCAGCCGCTGTGCTCTCCCATCGCCATTCTACCTCGATCCACGCCAGCTCCGACGGCCATGGACCACGGACTGGCCAGAAACCGTCACAATCCGACCAATACCTCTCGGGTGCCACGGTCGTTGCAGGCGGTTCCTCCGGCATGACGTCGATGTACGGAGAGACGGTGCGAACGAGTCTATATGACTGTCCTCCTGCGTACCAGGCCGCGTCGACTTCGGAAGGGAGCAGGATACCATCGAGGATGGGCCATGCCCCTTCTCACTCGATTAGCAAGCTGCCTAGCGCCCCTGAAGCGAACTCTTCATGATCTATTCCCAATCTTAGACAGACATCGCCTTCTGCTCGTCGGTTCATATACCATCACAAACTGATACTATTCACACCTCCATTCCTTTCACACTGAGCGCTCTTTAAATAGGTATTTGTTCATCAAGCCGCTCTTTGACCAGTATGTATCTATCATTTGTTGCTGCAATACTAATCTACTGTCTGTTCGTTTGTATACCAATTTGTTGGGAAATCGTATAACCTGGGTTGGCAGGCTTGTGGCAATAGTCTGGTACTTTCGGCCATGCCTAACAAAGACGCCGGAGGTGAAGTCTATTAGGAAACCCCTCAGGTAAAATACTTCATTGATGTAAGGCCAGCTCGAGGTATACGTGTTCAAATCCACTGCCTATGAAGATTGAAGTTAAAGTGATGAACTTCCAGCCCACATAGTTCACAAGAATCCCGTGCTCATTATTCCGTCAACGACTAAGAGCTTAGAGAATGAACATAAAAAATGACCGAGACCCTTTGTCACCCATTCAACTTATGTGGTGATCATCGATTTTTCTTCAGCAATCTCTGTTACGGCCGGCTAAGATAGCAGGGACTTAGGCAATTGCAAGCTTTTCATGATCGAAAGTTGACATTTATTTGTTCATGCAGGTCCAAAGAATTCATCGAGGATAACTAGGTCTATGAAAATCCGACGTCTCGCCATCTATTGACAGTATGAGGCCATTTCTTGGTGTATTCCCTAACAGACCGTCGAGCCTCCGTCCGGTCCGAAAATCCACCTAACATCCAAAGGTCTCCTCCCACCTTAGCGTCCGTCTCTGCTCCTCCAGATGTCCGAATAACGCCTTGGGAGCCAAGCGAAACGCTAAGTCCGAGAAGCTCTTCTATGTCTTCTTCATCTTGGGGTATCCTTTCGTGCATAACTTCGGTTGCCGTAGAAAGGGAGTGATCCACCCAGGCACGGAGTTTTGTCATTAGTAAAGTGCCAAAAGGGAGGCTGAATATGCGGTGGGGTCGTGGCTTATTTCCAGGTATGGAAGAGAAATACGCCATGTAACTCCAATGGGGTTTGAAGTAGAGATGAGCTCGAGGTACGAGTGGGATTCCTAAAGTCCCTGGAAGGAGAATATCGACCTTGCAAGCTCGTTCAGTGCCTGCTGGCTTCGAAGAACCTCCCTCCTTCTTGCTTGCTAGACGCGCAGGCATCCGTGGCCGATTTTCGGAAGGTAGTGCATACCAAAGCACATTATGTGTTGCTCCAGATACACGAGACTTTACGAGAGAAAACCTGGTGTCTGTCGATACCAGTAGCTGTTTGATGTCCTCAGCACTCTGTTCTGTGGGCGCGTTGAGAACCAGGACATCAACGTCCTATCTGAAATAAATCAGCGAGCAGTCGGTCCTCTAAACATCTCATCCTGACCTTTGGAAGTCTGTGCTGCATCCCATGTAGCATTCCGGCGCAACTTCCAACAAGACATGCTTCGAGGTCGTGGCGGGAGAGGGCTGAAAAGGTCTCATAGATAACTTTCGAGATATGAGCATATTTAAGTGGTGATGAAAGATTGCCCATATCGTTCGCTCTAGTGTTTGGGATAGTGCGCGAGAGTGCTGATGAACACATGTCATACAGACGCCGTATCACTCATTCGGCATCACGTCTGATCGAAGTTCCCGTATGACGGTCCGTTCTGGACAAAAATACACAATTGAAGTTTTTTTTATGAGAAAGCCTAATTTAGGCCGGAACCAGACCGAATCTGCCCGAATCTGCCCGTTTCGTACTGAAACCGACGCTATCCTCCCGGATCCGCCGTCTTCGTACCGTCTCTGCTCGATTCGGCCAGATCGACCCTCCCTTTTTTTATGACCCATCGTTCCGATACGGGAGGAATCTGGCCGCGCGGGACGATTCGGGACGATTCGTACGGATTCCTCCTCAATTCTTTTTTTAAGAAACATCTAGTGATTTTTTTCCCCTCGTGTGTGGTCAGATTCGTCCCGAATCCGACCGTTTGGGACCTTATGATCTAGAAAAAAATTATAGTTTCGGTCAGAATCGGTCAGAATCGGGAGGATGTGTCACAAATCGGCAGGGGTTTTGGTTTTTTTTTTGGATGGCGACCGAAACGGGTCTACAGTCATCCACCGGCTAATGTTACATAATCAGCCGGTGATACACCCAAACCCGATTTCACTCTCCTGCAAGAACGGTGATATCTAGAAGCACAAAACAAGTTGTAGTGAGAAGAAGCACTGTAAAGGTGTCCTTGTAACGTGTTTCGTAAATAAATTAACCGTCTGAGAACTAAAGATTCTTCTGAATGCTTCTGTGTTCCAACCGAAATCCTGGGTTCTGAATTTATAGACGAAGGTGGGAGCACCTATGAGCGGGAATTAGAGCCAACGGATGTTAATTTTAATTAATGTGATACAAGTCAAGTCAAACGGAAGCATCTTTGCATGACTGGGGGCAACGTTGGCACTGTCTTACTGCGAGAACTACATGATATATGGTTGTTCAACATGCACAAAGCATGTCCAGCGCTTTTAAGCCAAAAAAAATTGAATTCCACCACAATAACATCGTATTCCCCACTCAACTGCTTGTCCTACTTCTTACTATGGTTGGCCGTCCCAAGTCGCTAGCCCAGCGGCAACAGGAGGCAAAGCGTGCTCATGAAGCGTTGATGTCACGTGCAGTCGAGGCCTACCGTGCTGAGCTCGAGAAGCCAGACCATCGTGCCCGTCGAGGGCTGCGCACTATCTGCAAAGATTTCGAACAGCTTTACTTCGAGGAGACCGGAGATTGAATCCGTCTCAGTCATATGACCCTTAGTCGACTGGCTGATGGTGGGCTAACTCGAGTCCAGGCCAATGCCACCCGTTCATGGCTCTCGAAGGGTGAAGAAGATGTTGTCGTCGAATTTATCCTGGACATGGCTGCACGTGGATGGCCACTCAGTCATAGACGTCTCAAGGAGCATGTCGATATGATTTGCCATGCCCGCAAACGCAAGAACTTCCCAGTCGAGGGTGTGGGTCAAAACTGGACCACACGCTTTGTGCAGCGACACTCCGACCGTCTCAAGATGAAAGACTCTCGCCCTCTTGAGGACAAGCGAGGCCGTGGTGCCAATCCGACAGCCAACAAGCAGTACTGGGCCCTACTCAACGAGACGATCAAGAAATACAACATCCGGCCTGAGACCACCTTTGGAACTGATGAGATCGGCATACAGAACCGCGGCGAGGAAAGCGAGCGCGTCATTGCTCCAGCCCATGGAAAGGGGCCACAATATCAGCAACGTGGTGGGACTCGCGAAAACACCACCGTTCTGGTCACCATCTGTGCTGACGGCACAGCTATTCCTCCTACCGTTATTTTCAAGGGTGAGGCCCTCCAAGTTGGATGGGGTGACAATAACCCTCTAAATGCGACGTAAGTTCTCCTCTCATTTTGTCACGACTCACCTTTTCTGGATCTAATCATGATATTTAATTGCAGGCTTGGCTACCAGAAGAAGGGCTGGACGGACGGAGAGATCGGTGCAGAGTGGATCAAGATCTTCGATAAGGCAACAAAGGACAAAGTCAAGCAAGGAGAGTATCGCCTTCTCTTGGTCGATGGCCACAATTCTCACTATACTGTCGCCTTCCTGCTTTATGCACGTGAACACCTTATCCTCGTCATTTGCTATCCTTCTCACACCACCCACATCTATCAGGGGCTTGACGTCGTGATATTTGCGGTCTTGAAGCGCTGCATTGGTGAGGAACGGGATGGATGGCTACGAAAGTATGGGATTGCGATGGATAAGAAGAATTTTCTCGAGATCTACAGCAGGGCACACGTGCGAGCACTCACCGAGGACAATGTCAAGGCAGCATTTCGCAAGACTGGCGTGTGGCCATTCAACCCCGATGTCGTTACTCCTGACATGCTTGCTCCTAGCAAGGAAACTTCGTCTGAAGCTACCTTGCCGCTCGTATCAACCGACCCAGCCATCAACGTTCTTGCGACCATGTTCCGCAAGCTGGCCGTATCATCTGACGTCGAATCTGGTACAATCTCCGAGGTACCTCCATCTGGAAGTGGCACCAAACATGCGGCGATCAACGAAGCGGTTGCTGGTCTATCACAAACCAAGCTGGCTCACCTCATTTCAACCACACTCATCACATCTGACGACGCCATGCCCACCACCATCCCTCACACCATCCCTACTCATGTTCCCGCACCACCACCCCTCCTGTCGATTCAACCACAGACCGAGACAGAAGTTCTCCTGCTGGCAGCCCTCCGTGAATCTCATGACACAAACAGCAAGCTTGCAAGCCGGAACATTGAGCTCCAGGCGAACAATCTGCTCAACGAGGTGTACTGTGGCAAAGCGAAATCTCAGCTTCAGCATCAGGAAGAGAAGAAGAAGGGTGGACGCACTGGGAAGGAGACGCTCAAGGCCGATGGTCTGGGCCGTCTTCTAACTGGGGACGAGTTTTACGAGGCACGGCAGGAGCATGAGAAGCGCAAACGACTTGAGGCGCGGGACAAGGCTGAGAGGAAGGACGCCCGAGCTGCATATCAGGCAGCGAAGGCAAAGTGGGACAAGGAGGAAGAGGGGCGGAAGGCGCTCAAGGAACAGGAGGCCGAGAAGCACAAGAAGGCTGTGGCAGCGTGGGAGAAGGCAAAGACAAGAGCAAATGCAGTCCGGACTGGACGTGCTTCGACATTCAAATCCCCAAAGCCCAAGATGGGATTTGTTCCCAAGCGTGTCCCCCCACCGAAGTTGAAGGATTTTTTGGGTGGTTCAGCGGCAGAGTCGAGCGAGGAAGACGAGGATACTGACGAGGCCGAGTAGGTGTCTTATCTCGGATCTTGTGTCACATGCCTGTCACGTCGCCGGCCTGGTGTCTCATTGGCTGATGTGGACATTTTTCCCATCTCTCCGCGGTTTCGTCGATATCTCCACCGTTTCTGGCCCTTTTTATTCAGTTTTTTTTGTATTGTATGCAGACGGACAATGTCTCGTAGCTAAAACACTATTCATCGCTGTGCGTGGACTTTTTTTCGAGTGCAAACGGTTTTCCATTTTGGGTGTATCGTTAGCCAGTGGATGACTGTAATCGGTGTGTTTCCTGCGTATTGGGACCGAATCGGACGGATTCCGCCCAATTCTTCCAGATTTGGGAGGGACTTATAAAAGAAAAACATATGTATGTATTTTTGTCCAGTATGGCGCTGCATATTCCCGCGACTAAAGACGCCAATTCGGTACCAAAGGCAGTGCTCTGCGGAGAAAATTAGTTGCTTTCTACCGCCATGTAGAAAGCGGCAAATCCAACTAGAGGCTACCTTTCTAAAGGCTCGGGCGCCTACTCTAGATCAAGATGTCGTCTGTATTCGCCAATTCTCGAAACGTGCTCATTACTGGGAGTCAATTGACCAGCACGTATACACAGACTACCGTTGAACCCACTCGGCGAGGTGAGCTCTGATTTGCTTCAGTGGCGGAGACTAGTTCTAAGGCAAGAGTGTCCGCAGGCATTGATCTTCTTCGGGACCATACCTGTTCCGGGGCATTGCTGGACTCGAACGAGCGCTTTGATCCTCCTAGATGCGCCCCTGATACTCGCGTTTCCATCATCCAGGAGATATTGGAGTGGATAGCCAATGACGAGCGCTCCTCAATTCTTTGGCTTTACGGACCGGCCGGCGCAGGAAAATCTGCCTTGGCACAAACTATTGCAGAGCTTTGCCAAAAAGATGGGCGCTTCATCGGGAGCTTCTTCTTCTCCCGAGCGACCCTCAACCGCAGCGACGGGAGAATGTTGGTTGCAACTTTAGCTTATCAACTGCTTCTTTCATTTCCAGCAATTCGCACCGACATACGAAATTGCATTGATGAAGACCCCACTATCTTTGAAAGAGCGAACACAACTCAGATGGACAAACTGGCTATTCAACCGCTCAACAGGATCACTCTATCTTGGACGAATATCTTCCTATCCGGCCTAAAATCCATTTTTAAGGACTATTTTCCCGTCCACCGACCTCGGCTAATCGTCATTGATGCTCTCAACGAGTGCAATGACTCTCAAATGCAAACCGATATTCTTAACATGATTAGCGACGCCACTCGAAAACTAAAGCACCCCATCAAATTTCTAGTCGCCAGTAGACCAGAATCCCATATCGTTCGCACCTTCAATCATGATCTGGAGGCTTTCTCCTTCATTAACCTCGCAGTTGACAACAATGCACAGAATGACATTCGAACGTACCTCTCAAGGGAGTTTGAAGCAATCAAACGGACCCATCCCATGCGCTCATATCTATCTTCTTCTTGGCCCCCACAAGAATCAATCGAACACATCGTTCGCAAAGCGTCTGGGGAGTTTATATACGCCACCACCATTATCAAGTACATTCGGTCCCCGAAGCATAGACCAGACGACCGTCTCCAGGTTATCCTCGGGCTTTACCCGGCTCCCGCGAATGAGGCCCCCTTCGCCGAGCTAGATGCATTATACAGCCACATCTTTTCCCTTATCACCAACTTCGAACTTGTCATGCGGATCATTGGTATTCTCGTCATTCCTAGATCAAAAGGCGACTGCCTCGGAAACTACAAGAGTCCAGCCGTCATCGAGGAGCTCCTGTCTCTTAAACCAGGAGACGTTCGGATCCTTCTTAACGATTTACAATCCATAATCATCGTCGACGAACCCGATGTCCCAATAAAAATTCTACACGCGTCTCTTGCGGACTACCTCCTCGACCGTGGTCGATCGGAGAAATTTTGGATTGACCTGCCATTGCTCCATTCCTTCATGGCATCAGGCTACTCAAAGCGCACTCTAAGGATCATAGGCGAGTTCCGCATAATTAGTACATCATATACCTATATCGCTGACGTTGGCGGTGAAGATGACCACAATTTCAATCCTAACACCTTTCAGTCTTCCTTGGTGCCATTCATTATGCACTGTGAATTATCTGTCATTACGCAAGATCTCGTGCGAGCAATCCTGTCCTTGGATTTTGCGTCCATTTGTCAAGCGATGGTCACTCGTTATAAGGCGTGGCTAGTGCTTAATAATTTCTACATCTGGTTTCTAGTCAGGACGTTCTTCAGGTTCCTCGAACGCGATGTGAGCATACCTCCAAGGAGTTCTGCATGGTGTAAAGGAGCCATACTTACGATTTTGTGACAGGTGTTTGGACCGAAGAGCGAAAGCATTGAACTGTACCGTACGCTGCAACTTGAAAACTTGAAGGGCTTCTTCATACAACAACTGGGTAACACCGTCCCAGAAATTTACCTCCCCGACTTGATTACTCTTATACGTGGGAAGGTTAAACGATGCGTATGTTTCACTCGTTTCTCCTTGGGCGCCTATTTGACCCTCCAATTTTCCCGGTCCGCTTATAGTCTTGTTCCGCGATGCCCGGCGCTTCCAAACACTTTTGCCACGCGAAACGCCCAGAAGCCTCGCCGCACATCATTCAATATCTTATCCTCGGTTGCCAGCTATTTTACTGGGATTACACTCCCTCCAACGCAAAGCCACGCGCAAGATACGCAGCAGCGGTCTGCAATTGTTTGAAATTTCTTTCAAAATATGATCCCAAGCAAGAGGAACAAACTGTGCCAGGAAAGAAGCACCAGCGGCGCTCCAATACTCCCTTCAAAATTCACTACCACTCAGACGAGCTCTGGGAGGCGCACTTGGACCTTGCGTTGGTACTCTTCCCGCAAGCCGATAACCTCAATGAGCTCGTTGCGTACCTTTCTTGTCTAAGATTTTCGCCCTCAATAGTTGCAAGGTACTCATCTCATATCAACAAGCTGACGAAAGTCGTCATTGTATACCTTCAGGTGAGCTTCGTGACATCCATGCCACCAAAAAGGTGTGAACACTAACCACATGTCTAGGACGTCGAGCCCTACATCGATCCGACACTGCTGCCGAAACTAAAAGAAAGATGGGTCTGCGACCCAGGACCACCTTCTTACAGTGACTGACGTTGTTAAAGTCAAGTTATGGGTATATAACTGATTACTAGATAATTTATAATCCGAAGCCATGTCCAATCTGTCAACAATCGGCAGGAACTGTCGAGTCGTCGACGTGATTTGCTGCGTCCATTCCAAGCCCACGACTAGCGAAGGCATTCCAAAGAAGGCACCGGTTTTCGCCTCCGTACCGATTAACATCCGCCTGGATCCACGCAGAGCGGGCGGTCAAGACTGCACGAAACAAATCTGGCTCAATTTAAGTGAAACTGAAGAAAAACCTAGACTTACAAGTCGGGTTGCACGGCTGGAGCGCCAAAGCGTCCATGAACAGATGCAGGAAGACTATGTTACCTTCAGTCCCCGAAGGATTCGTGCGCGCTGTAGCAGACCACCCATGGGCGCCTACGAGGGCAGCGTAGACGTTATGAAGCATGTTTGCCCATACCGAACCGATATCTAAGGTCAGCCAATGTGGGTTGGTATCTAATATCCAAGTCTAATGTGAGCATACCATAGATGTTAGCTGCTGTGTAACTCTGAAGATTCGAGTACCGCAGGGGGTTGGTTATTCTGAATAAACCACCGATCAGATCTAGGGACGTCGAGTAGGG